AGCTAGTTATATATAGCTTTTTTATGTGTTACTACTATATCTAGCATCTCTATTCTAATTCTGCTTAGTTTAATAGGCAAGGTAGTTAATATTATGTATTTTAGAGTTATTTTATAAACTGCTTTGTACAGTGCATGTACATTTCTGCCCTGCTACTATATATTTGCTTTATTAGTAACGTCTACTTTTATTATAATTGTATTAGTCCTGCGCTATCTTATTTTAGGCAGTGCCTCTAGAAATCTAGTTTTAGCTTTGTGTAATAATAAATCTAGCCTTAGCCCTCTTAAATTAGGTTTAATTTTTTTTAATTTACTATAATACTTTCTTCTTACTTTTTACCTACTATATTATACTTTTTATTATTTTGCCTTTTATCTGCTTGCTATGTTACTCTTTATGTACATATCTGCTAGGGCTATTTTACTTTTTAACTTTTTTATACATAAAGAGCTTATTAGGCCTATAGCTATTATGCTAAGTATTAAGTAGTAAACATTTATTTAAAAAATGCTTAATTAGCATTATATTGTAACTACCTACTTTACCTACATTAATTATAGTCTAACTAGACAAGAGAAGAGAAGTATTAGCTACACCTACTTTAACATAAGCTACTTTTATGCTACTTTATTATATAAGCTAATTTTCTTATAAAACTAGAACCTTTATTATTTTTTTACTATTTTACTTAAGTATAATATTTTTTTTTAACTTTAACTATAACCTAGACTAGCCTTTTGTTAATAATAAAAGTGTAATAAATTAGTGTTAGTAGGGCTGTTACTGCGGCCTCTACCTGCCCTATCTAGGGCAGCTTTAGTCCTAGATGTAGTTCCCCTCTACTGTTGTCTAGGAGTGGCCGCTCTAGGATAGACTAGTTTATAGTTAGGTAGTAGGTAATCTACTAGATGCTACCTAATTCTATCTACCTTATATATAGAACTATAACATAAAGCTTTTAAAGCTTATGTTTTATAATACTAAAGTAGTTAAACTAGAAGACTTATATTTTAAGCTTAACTTTTATTTCTAGCATACTTTTTAGCTAAGGTATAGGCGTGTAAGGTTAGAAGAATAGTACACATTAAAGAACTCTTTTTATTAAGTTTAGCTTAATGCTTATTAAGTATGTTATCTTAACTAGTTTTTAATTTTTTTTAATTATACTCTAAATTTATTATAATTTTAAATGCTTTATATATTATTTATTAGCATAATATTTTTAGTTATTGCTAGAAAATTATAAGCTAGAGTATAAAAATACTTTTTTACTTTTAATAAAGTTAATATTTAGTTCTACTTCTCTTTTTTTTATAAGCTACTATAATAGTAGCATGTTACAAGATCTCTAATTAGTGTAGATCTGTTATTAGGCAATTAGGCGCATAGATTAGGCTTATTAGCACTAGTCTAGTTAAAAAAGGAAGGCAGATAATTAATATTAAAAGTAAAAAAAACATTTTACTAATTAAATTAATAAAAATACTACTTACTTTAAAAAGTTAAAAAAGTTTATAAGTGTTTAAAGTTTTAAGCTTTAGCATTATTTCTTTAAAAGTCTTAATAATATATAGCTACTAATTTACTTTATATCTATTATAGGAATAGTTATGTGCAGCCTATAATCTAATTATATTAGCTACTTATTATAAGATTATAAACGCTGTTTTTTATATAGTAGGTATATTATTATAAAGTTAATCTATTAACTCTAGCAAAAAAAGCGTTAGTAGGTGTAGTGCTAAAGTAAACTGCTGCCACACTAACTTACATCTATCTAGAAAATAAACTAACTATCTAAACCTAGTAAACTAAAAGTAATTCTGCTAACTTTACTTAATGCTTTTAAAGTTTACTTTAATTAGTCTAAAAAAAAATACTAATAATTATTAAGCCTATGCTTACACTTTTTAAAGAATTTTCTCTTCTTTAGTGTGCCTTTTATAAAGATAGTTATATTAGTATAGCCTAGATTATTTACTATAGTCTTAACTTTTTTTTTTTTAATATTACTTAACTTTAACTAGATTAAGTGTTTATTATAAAATTATTTTATAGCTAATTAGGTCTTAACTTTTTTAATAAATAAAAGGTTAAAACTTAAAAAAGTGTTAGTAGAAACTTTTATATTATTAGTAGCTATAAACTTTTTATTATTAGTATTTTTTAAGTCTTTATCTTTTTTAGATTAACTCTTAGCTATGTTAGTGTTATTTATAAGCCTTTTTGCTTTTTTTTTATTACTATTAGCTAGGCCTTCTTTAGCATTAAAAGCTATGCTAATGTCTACTACTATGTTAAACTAGAATAATAAAGACTGCATTACTTTACTAAGTTTTATGCACTTATTTATTATAAGTTTTATTATATCTTTAATCTAGTTCTAGACCTAACTAAACTAGAACTATAGTAATTTATTATCTATAAAGATTACTTCTTAGAATAACTTAATTATAATTAGTAGAGCTATGTACATATTTTACTATATAGGCTAGGCTCTAGTTTTTAGAACTTAGTAACTAAATAAGTTAATTATAAAAGCTATAACTAGATTATAAGAAATAGTAGGTTTATTATAAATTAGAACTAAAGTAGCTTTTTAAAGGCTTAGATCTACTTTAGTTAAAGCTAATCTAGGCCCTTTTAGTGTTAGGGTAGATGTTAGCATAGCTAGACTTTTTTATAAAGTAGAGATGCTTTTTAGAGAAGTAGTAATATCTTTAAGTATTACTTTTTTTTTTTTTAGCTAATAGACTTTATTTTATTTAATAAATTTAGTTTAATCTGCTAATATATATTAGTATTTAAGTATATTTTATTTAGAAAAAAAATAACTTACTTTAAAAATTATAACTTTTGCTTTTTATACTATAGTAATAATTTACATAACTATAGCTAAAATAGTTAGAGATATATATATAGTAGATAAACTTACTATTTTTTTTTAAGCATTTTTAGTAAAGATCTTATAAGATCTAACTTACTATAAAAGCTACTAGTGCCTTAGCTACTTTAGAGTGTGTAACTTTAATTAGAACTAAGTTAAAGCTATTTTAAAAAAAATTAACTTATATACACACTATAATAACTTAATTTATTTATATTTTAACTAACTTTAAATAAGCTATTATAACTTTTATGTTTAAATTTTTTATAAACTTAAAGTTTATTAGGTGCTTAAAGAGTCTTATTATCTTTATAGTAGTCTAAACTTTTTTATATAGCAGCTTTAAATTAATAATTTTATATAAATTAGTGTTCTTTATAAAAAAGTTAAACTACTTAGATTTACTACTTAAAAGTTTAAGCTAAAGTATAATCTTTTTTTTTTTTTTACTTTTAGTTAGCTTTAACCTAGCTTTAGCTAGATCTATTTAATAAAGCAAAATAATTAGAGTTAGAGTAGGTAAGGCCTAACCTATGCTATATCTGTAATGTCTATACTAGAAATATAGTGGCATAAACTGCTGCTAGAAAAGGTATAGTTTACCTAAAGTAAATAAAAGTGCTTTATATTAAGGCTACTAAGTGTTCTAGTACAGACTCTAAGCCTATAGATATTAACCCTAGGCCTGCAGATATAGACCTTATAGTAGTAGATATAGTCTATAACTTAGCTAATAAGTAAATTGCTACTAATGTTCTCTATAGCTAAATATAAGTTAGATATAAGTAAAAGTAGGCTATAAAAAAATATTATTAGTTTAATTTTTTTTAAGTTATATTAATCTAGATTAATCTAAATTTACTTACACTTTTATTATACTATTACTAGCTCTAATTTTAGCTGCCCTGCAAGCTATACAGTCTAGTCTAGCTAAAGGCGTAGGCAGGCACTGTCTAGTTTAGTCCTGCCTGCAATGCTATTAGACTTAGGCAAGACTGCGTGTCTTCTAGTTAGAATGTATTAGGCATAAAAAGTAAAAAAGTAAGTCCTAATAATATATTATTTAATAAAGTAAGTTTATTATTATTTAGCGCTTTTATTTTTCTTAATTAGCCTTAAATTATAATATATGTAAAGTAAAACTTACTATTACTATTAGCACTAGCCTTTTTAGCTAAAAAGTTTTAGCTTCTAGTTAAGCTTTTACTTTAAAAATTAATAATAACTTTAGTATTAATTTTTAGTAATAAAAGCTTATTATTAAGTTATAACTAGTTATTATTTAGTGTTATTATAGTGTTATTAGACATAATTTACTATGTTAGAAGTAAGTAAAAAGTGTTAAAGGCTATTTTAATTAAATTTTAACCTAAAATATATAGATAAAGTAAGATGTATACTTATAGTGTTCTTAGCAGTTTAGAATTAGCTAGTAAGGTTGCACTGCCCTAGTTAGGTGGGTTAGTAGGCGTGGCAGGAGGAGATGTGAAGCTGGGTTGGTTAGATTGTTTATTGTGGCGGCTGTGCGCGTAAGCGAGCTGTTACGTAATCATTCCTAATTAGGACTAGCCCCCTTCTTCCTGGAAAGGAAGGCTAATCTGCTCGTTAACATGCTTCACGATATTTTAGAACTCTGGACTGGAGATCCCTTACAAGTTTGACAATTCCCTAACGGTCGAATTTGGAGCTTGAAGCGAAGGGGAACGTCTACCACCATGGTTTCAAACTCAACAACTCTCTCTTCATGCGTGAAGGGCGTCGGGAGTGGCATAAGGACTATTCTCCTGGAACATCCATAAAATTTGTACATCAACGCCTCATGATTCGAGAGCAAGAATTATTTTGGCTTTCTGGTATAAATGCGACATCCCGGGTTAATTTGACTAAAAGTGGGGAAATCCACGGGTATGATTGCATCCGGAATATTGCCTCAAAAGGGGAGGCGAGCGAATTCATCTCTCGGTTCGAGAAATTGTGTGTGGATCACTGATGTGGAGGCGTGAGAATTTGTTCAGGTTTGCGGCTGCTGAGTTATCATCGAGGGGTGCAGTTATCGTGTCAGACTTGCATGGCGATGGTGTGATAATCACTACCATCTCTAGAACTGCTACTTTTCTGCACTATTGTAAATGCCCATTATCCTTCGAAATACGGTTCTCGACTTTTCACTCCGGAATATGAGAGCAATATCTCTCCTCAAATATTCGTCCTAGATCACAGTAAGAGCCCAATAACAGGTCAGCTTTTCTCCCCAAAATTCCAGCCTTCCATCTCAAGCAATCACAGCATTCGCTTCATTCTCCCTCCTCTCTTCCTCTTTAGGTTCTACCTTCCCCGTACCCTTAAAAATACTCTGCAGCACAATCTTGATTTCCTCCAGGAATCTATCAACCTCTTTCTCTGTTCCAACCGTAATCCTCAAACATCCCAGACATCCATATTCCTTCCCTCGAAACCTAACCACAACACCCTTTTCCTCCGCTAGTCCCTCATATACCATCAAAGCAGTTTCATTCGATGGTTTCCCGCCCTTTTCCGCAGGCGCATCTAGCATCTCCACGAGTAAGAAATTCGACGCCGTCCCCCCCAAAAATTTCCCTACTCCTGGTATCTTCGGTAGCTCTTTCAGCATCCTATCCCTCTGCTTCAATATCAGATCTTTATTCTTTCGCATGACCTCTAAATGTTTCGGACTCAGTGCAGCCTTTGCTAGTTGACTAGTCGGATTCGGGATATTATACGGCGCTTTCATTGAGTTCAACACCCTTGCAATCGCCGGATCTGTGAACGCTGCCCCAAGTCGAATTCCTGCTAGACCGAATGCTTTGGAGAGAGTTTGCATGACGACGAGGTTTGGCCACTCGGTGACCCATTCCGCAAGACTTGAGCCTTCGGGCGCGAAGTCGATATATGCTTCATCTAGCACGACGACACCATTCCAAGTCTCGTGTTCTAGAATCTTCCGCACGTCGTCCTTCTTGAGTAATGCACCAGTGGGGTTTCCAGGCGAACAGAGATATGCCAGCTTTATACTCATATCCTTCGACAGTGCAGATGTTATGCCGGGTACGTCAAGTCCGAATCCATGTGTGAGCAACGGTACTTTTACTAGGGCAACATCGTTGACTTGCGCAGAGACGCTGTACATTCCATATGTAGGTGGACATACAAGGACCTTGTCCATACCAGGGACGCAGAAGGCGCGAAGTAGGGCGTCGATAGCTTCATCGGAGCCGACGCCGACGAAGAGGTGGTTGGGTGTAAGGGTTTTGGGCGTATGGGCGTGGGTGTTGCGAAGGTTACAGAGGCCTTGTTTGAGTTCTAGTTGGTGGCTTTATCCTCGAGAATACAAATTAGCACGCACCACACATGAGAAAGGAGGTAAAGCTGTGTCTGGGCGTGGGCGCGGAGTCTTACGGGTCTGGGTATCGATTCAATCCGAGCAAATCCACATCAATCGCGCTTGATGAATTCGATGCGCCATTAGTAGTTCTATTGAGTAGTTTCCCGTCATTTCCGAGTGCCAGGCCAGGTCCATACGCATTCTCATTTGCATCTAGGAGGATATTCGTGCCGTCGTCTTTATAGTCACTAGCTGTGTCATGATCTCTCTCCCTAAGCAAAGTCCAATTGAGCTTCACTTACTCTCTTGCACATCGATATGGCTCCAATGCCAGAATGTTTGGTCTTGCGCACTTGGATAGATCGAAGGGTGATTGCCGAGCCATACTATTGTAGTTATGGGAGTGGAAATATATTACCGTTGGTGTCGAAGTTGGTCTGTGAATTGGATCGCGGGGACTTTTTGTAGTGGGGCAGGGGAGCTCCGAGCGATGTCGGGCAGGAGTCATAACTTACCCACTCAGGAAAGCCACACTCGGGACTTCTCAAGCTTTTCAGAGTTTGGGGTCATATTCGCACTCTTCTAACAGTGAATTGACTTGAACGAAGTGAATCCAGGTTTGTTACTTCGTGACAAAGCTTGGGTTGGAATGAGGCCCAGAATCGCCCATAGATTTTCAGATCTGCGATACAACCTTGACCGTGGACTTGGCCACAGGGCCAAGGTATCCGGACCTGAAGTCTCTCTAGAAAGCGGATTATCGAAGAAGTGAATATATTCAAGGTTACTCCGTTGGTATTTGATGGTGTTTTTTTTATGAAAGTGGCGCTGCGATCGGTTCTCTGAACCACCATTGAACCAGCGATGTACTGCCGAACCAAGGTCTAATTCTCTGAATTGCAGCAAACAAAGTGTAAATCAAGTGATCTGTAGCGGACTACAAAGCCCATGACCTCACCGCACTAACCCCGCGGTTTCGGATCCCAAAATTTCTACCAATATAGATTTAATTATTTTCGCAATTTCTATAATTCGATTAAATCCGATATGGTGTACGCATCTCTCTCCCCATCTTCCAATTACCTGCTAATAAACCTACAGCTAGGTCAGTACATGAAGTTATCGTGTTTCAATACATTATCCTAACACGTATTCAGTGGCTAGGATTTGCCGCTCTCATCGAGAGTCTAACACTCAAGTAGTGCCGGCAAGGCCCGGGTTCGATTCCCGGTGTCGGAAGCAGTTTTTTTGTCTGCTTTGAGACGCTGGGATGCATGATAGTGGAAAATGGAGGCGGAGTGGCCATCGTTGCTTTTTGGCGGGCGCTCTTTTGGGGCTTCAAGATGACTTATTAGGATTTAGAGGTCTATTTCTGACAGATATAAAGGCTGCATGATAATGGAGACTAGATGTGCAGCTATGCTTTTCGCAACCGCGTTGCCGATAAGGCCTCCACACGTGATTTGTGCCTTTTTGGTCATCGCAGCAGGAATGCTGCATCATACTTAAGAGTGTAATTCATAAGCTCCATACTACTATTATGGCATTCTTCCAATAAAGCACAAAATCCTCAGGCCACCTCATACCCATGCCCAAGCTCCAGTGTATGTTCTGGCTCACGACTTGGAATACCCGACATTGAACACGGCAAATCATTGAATGGGAGATGTGCAGATGAGAGAGCACCTGATAGAAAGGCGATTTACACGGCCCCTACTGAATAAGCGTCTGGTCTCGCATATGGGTTATGCGGGGGGGCGAAAAGAAGTATCGAATTCTGCTTTGAGAGATGCAGAGATGGTCGGACATGCAAGATTCTGCTTTAGGAAAGCAAATGATTGAAATGTATTTGCGGGGCAAGACGCACAGAATTGTAGGATTCCGGAATCGATCGATTGAATTCTGGTGTGCATATTGATATAGGAATGTTGAGACTGAACACTCCTACATTACAAATTGGCTACATGATAATTATCTCAAACCCATTTTCCAATTCCAATAGAGGAATGAGCGTTGAACACATTGCGCACATTCTTTCATCTCCGTCCATCCTGACTTACCGAAATCACCAGCTCCTCTGGGGTTAACCACTAATATCACCAACGCCCAAGAGAGGAAATGCGGTTGTATTGCGTGCATCTGTGCAGCGTTGCCAGCCTCATAATGGACGAGGTTGGTTGTGCAGAACGCATGGCCTTTGCATTCAGTGGAGGCTGGGTTGCCTGCAATACGACATCCGGTCCAAGCAGCGTACCGAAGTCCGTGGTACGAGAACAAAGACCAGCCTTGTTCTGGACAGTCACGCGGACAAGTATTTTAATTACGTGTGTCTGCGGAGATGAGGCGATGTGAAAGCGAGGCTGAAGGAATATTGATGGTGAGGGACCGACCGTTCGAGGGTGGGTCGACTGAATTGGGGTCGACTCGATTCGTGAAGAGCGAAAATACCTACCACCACCGACACAGCCTCATAGTCCCGCGCTTAATGGCTCAACCATCCTATTGATAGGAACGAGAATCTATAGCGTCGCTGACGAGAACAGAAGACTCCAAGGATCGATAATCATGCATGATAACAAAATCGACGAGAAGTGGAGGTTTGTGTTCCTGGACACGAGAATCACAGCATTCCATTGCATTCACCGCAGGGACTAGGGAAGTTGTTAAAATGGATGAGATCTCGTTTCATGTTTCAGCTGCAATCCTTGTCGGTTCCGCGCAGTTTCTAGATCGGTCATGGGGTCAGCGTTTGAGGAATGAGATGCTTATGTGGGCGGGTACCTGCGCAGCACTGCTGCAGTGTTGCTTAAATGGCTCGTGGAGATGACGTCGTGGGAATGCGAGGAATAATTTCCGCGATGAGGAGAGATGGGAAGGATGAGAGTGTTGAATTTGGGATCAAAGTGGGAGTGGGAAGATGATTTCTAGGAAAGTGTTTTGAGTGGAATTGTGGCGATCCTGCGAACGATGCACGCAAACACGAAGAAGCAGAAGGGCTGCAGGATTGAATGCGAAATACGTCGACATGCATATATGCGCATCCAAAATGGGTATCATTCTTCCAGCAAATCCATGACCAGTTGAGGAATAACGTCAACACCCTCGGCTCTAATTGCACTGATAGGTACGGCTTGTACATCGCGCTTCCACGCGTTCTTGCGACTACTCGGATGAGGCTGCACACCGCTCTTCACACTATGTAGATACTCCTGTAGAGCATCGTAGTTCGCCTCGGTATCCGGCAGGTCGGCCTTTGTCGCCACAACAAACCAGGGCTTTGATGAAATGGGTGTTTGCGTAACAAAGGGGAGAAATTCCGGCGACGAGCTCAAGTCCAATCGCTCCCAATCTTCATACTCTTCAGACCTTCGAAGTCGGCTTCCTGGAGGTCTATAGGTAACCATCCTGCGCTCAGTTTCGGCATTCAACTCTTTTCCCCGCAAATTTTCGTATTCTGACACTTCTCGCCAAAGAAGTTGCAACGATTTAACGGCATCTCCGGCCGATAGATCAACAACGAAAGCGAGGACAGCTGCACGCTCGACATGACGCAAGAAACCTAGACCCAGCCCCTTGTCAAGATGTGCATCTTCGATGAGCCCTGGAACGTCAGCTACCGTGAAGTTCTCCTTCAGTTCGCCATCTTTCCCACGTTTCCAGACAGCGGGGCGGCCCTTATGATTGTCTAAGACGACTGTGCCAACGTTGGGTTGGAGGGTGGTAAATGCCCAGCTGCCCACCCGCGCTCGGCTGTTGCTGAGTGCCCTAAGTAGGGTACTCTTCCCAGCATTCGGCATGCCCACGAGCCCAAGATCGGCCAAAATCTTCAGCTCGAGCTGCAGTGAGAGCTTCATGCCTTCGTCTCCTCGCGTGGCCATCTTCGGTCTTGGCGAACATGGTGTCATAAAATGCGGATTGCCGAGGCCGCCCATCGCGCCAGCCGCAAGTAGCATTGGCGCCTCCATATGCTTGTCCAAGTCTAGCCATATTGGAGACTCGGGCTGAACCGCTGCAAGGTGCGATCGTCGTGGTTTCGGGAGGGCAGGAAACTCCATCTTGGCTAGTTGCGAGGGGACCGTTCCTGGAAACACCAGCCACTTGTCTCTCCTGTAAATACCCCTCATTTCCTCCACATTCTCTTCCTTGCTGTGCCAATGAGCTCTGCGCTCAGCTTCTTCTGCGTCTGCGACCGGATCCTGTCGTTGGATCTCTCTGACAATGGTTCCGACCGGAACTGTGATTAATACATCCGAGCCTCTTTCGCCCCCCTTTGTCTTTCCTTGCCCATTCCGGCCTCTCCCAGCTTTGATGAGCCGTCTGCGGGCAAGCTTGTGCAGCGAAGTCTCGCCGCGGATTGCCTGTATATAGACATTCCCCCCACTTCCTCCATCGCCCCCATTGGCCGGGCCTTCTTCTATATACTTCTCGCGAACGAATGAAACACAGCCATGTCCGCCTGAACCGGCTTCAACGGTCAGGATACATCGGTCGGCAAACGGTGTAAGGGCGTAGTCGTCTGGCGTCAGGTCGAACCTAGTAGGGACCGCATCGCGGGGGCCACGGGTAGTAGTGTGCTGGGCGGCAGCAGAGCTACATCTGAAGAAGAGTGGCAGTGGTCTATGGTGGCGGACCTGGCGGGCGACGACGAAGGTGGAATCGCATAGGGAAGGATACAGGAACGGCGTCAGTGTCCCGCTAAAGCTGCAGAGCCGAATTGAGAGCATTCGGCGGACGGACACGCGTCAAATGTTCCAGAAGCTTTCTTCTCTCCTCAAGATGTGCAAGGTCACGCAGGACGTTGCCAGAAGAGTTTTGCTAGGATAAAATCCGTAGCTCGCGTTACCTAATCACGGGTGGCGGACCGAGGTATGTCCCAGGCGGACTCCACCAACAACCTTGGAAAGTCCGCTCGCCTGCTTCGTCAACTCCCCTCCAGTCGCCTCACGCTCGATCTCGGACGGAGCTCATCCGTAAGCGCTGAGAGCCTGAACGAGCAATCACAGCTCGTCTTAGCTGTCCAGGTTCGTCAATTTCCGCAACGGACTCCCCCCCTTCTGCATTCGCCTAATTCAACGCCTTCCTACTCAATCTGAACCCCTGTCTCTCCTCTCGAGCGCCTTTTGTGGTATTGCCAAGCAGCCTTTTGGGTTGTCTGAAACACTTCACACGCATCGTTCATTCGTCCATCTTCTTCTGCTCCTCCAACTCTAAGCTACGGACATGATCCGAAGCCTCGGCTTTGTAGCAGCCCTCATTCTCCTGAATTCTGCATGGGCTTTCCCGGGTCCGAATTTCTTGCCTCTTTCAGAAGACCAACATGAATTGCTCGTCACCATCCTGAATTGGCTCTTGGCACTCTGTCTTGTCTGTGAGGTCAACACCGAGCTTAGCCGCTGGGCAGAGGATAAGTGGATTTGGAAAGATGACAAGAGCGTTTGGAATTGGGGAAATGAGGTGGCTGTCATCACTGGTGGTTCTAAAGGAATTGGCGCTATGGTAGTAAAAACACTGGTGTCTTACGGTATAAGAGTTGCCGTTCTGGATGTCGAACCCCTGTCAGACGTCTTCCTATCTGGTATGTCCTTCGCTGGAGAATCGGATCACTTGCGTGGCCATCTGACACTCCCGGCAGAGGAATCCAACAGCATCAATTTCTACAAATGTGACATTACTTCTCGTGTTCAAGTCCACGAGGCCGGTGAAGCGATACGCTCAGACTTTGGTTCCCCTTCCATCTTGGTCAACAACGCTGGAATAGGCAATGCCAACACCATTCTCGAGTCATCGCCAGAGGGCCTCAGGACCATCTTCGAAGTCAACCTCCTCAGCCACTGGAACACGGTTCAGGAGTTCCTGCCAGACATGATTGCCAAGAAGAAAGGCCACATAATGAGTGTTGCAAGTCTAGCTGCGTTTTTTGGCCTAGCAGGAATGACTGACTACAGCTGCACCAAGGCCGGCCTCATAGCATTCCATGAGGGGCTTACGCAGGAGTTGAAACACCGTTACAGCTGCCCCCAGATCAAGACAACAATTGTATATCCCAATTGGACAAGAACTAGGTTGATCAGGGCAATTGAAAAGGGAATCAGAGGGCCAGTTATGGACCCAAAGGATGTCGCCGAAGCCATGGCCAAGCAAATTATCTCTGCAAAAGGTGGGCAGGTCATACTCGGCCCTAACATCGCTGCATCCATTCGCGCGCTTCCCACATGGCTCCAAGAATTCATTCGTGATAGGATGGCACATATTGTCACTGTGAAGGCAACAACTGCTGTGGCGTAGTGAGTGGCAAGGCTGCCTTAAGGACAGAGTTTGAAACCGTGAATCCGTGGGATTCGCGGGGCTGGCTGTACCTTGAGGCGTGAACAGATGTTCGAAAGAGACAGGCTGATTTCAGTCATCGAACGCGCTATGCGCTTCCCTTGCCACATATCAGGTTTTCTTCACCCTAGCGCCCACCTTGTCTCATGACAGACTTTTGAATGAATAAATGGGGCCATGCACCAACAGCCGGCCCTCGCGATTTGTAGAAAATATCGAGTGGCGCTCGAGAAGATAATATACAACAGCTCTGAATGCGCCCCAAGGGATTCTCCTGCGAAATAGTCTGTACGATTACGGCGTTTCAAGTAACGCCATATACGATCCGGATGGTCAGCGTCGGCAAGGTTTCGAAATGCCTGTTCCTGATCAAGAGGCCGGTTGGCAACTTGGAAGAGGGAGCGCATTGGGCGGCACAAAAGAGAGTGGAATTCAAGCTTCTGACGTACAGGTGAGCTCTGCCATTCTTGTCCGTCGCTTTCCTCGCTTGGATGTGAGCTTTTAGTGCTTCTATTCGATTCTGGTGGTGGTTCTATTGTTAGCTGACGTGGGAATATTCTTGGAGGCACTGGGTGGATGGGGCTCAGCCTCAACCCCGAAAACCATCCATGTCAATTCGTGCAAGGATGTCCATCCCAAAACGGTCCCAACCTGACGGATTCAAAGCTGCAGCCACCATAATATACTGTCGGCCTTCGCAGGTCGCAGAGACCATGAAAAGGACTTGATAGCTTTCTTCCTCTTGTTTCAGTCTCTTGTCGTTGTGTTGCTGTCATTTTCTGTCACTCATTTTTATCGACAATGCCATGTGGTTCAAGGCAAATTTGGTCCTTCTCTACACGGTTTTACTCGTAGCTCCAACTAATGCAGCTTCCCACGGCCAAGGTATGCTTTTAATATGTTCTATATTAGTTATGAGAATTATGCTAACAGTAGTTGGTATAGATGAAGTGGTGCCTGTCGCAGGTGTGCTCCGCTATTGGAGGCGGTTCGACAATACAACAAGACCTGCGGTACCTGAGGTGACAACCTCGCCAAAAGGGATTCAAGAGTCGGAGGCTGCGACATCAGCGCCTCCAGAGAGTACTGTCATCGCTGTAACGAGTGATGAGCCTCCAATCTCGTCGGTGCAATTCACCCCTCCAGCACAGTCCCAGGTCGACAAGTCCTCTGTAGTAGTATCAGAGGCTCCTAAGTCTACTGCCCCTCCTGCTAGTACTCAGCTAGAGCCAGTAAAGTCGTCCACAGCAGTCAGTGAGTCGGAACGAAGCAGTATTGTAACACCGCAACCTGAAAAGCCTTCATCAACAGCTGAGGTTTCGTCTGCTGCTCCTCCATCTTCCCAACCGAAGTCTACATCTGGGCAGGTACCGGCATCCATTGCTTCAGCTTCTAGCGCTGGACCTACCTCACGAGTGCAGGAGCGGTCTACCACGGTTGCTCTTCAGCCTTCAACTCAATCTCCACCAAGTGTGCCATCCTCGCAAGCGCCTCTTACCAGCGATTCTCCAGCCAGCAGCGCGCTACCATCGCTAAAGGAGTCATCAGTAATCCAGGACCCTTCAAGCGCACGGCCATCAGAAACATCGAGCCCCGTAACCAGTCAGCTAAAACAGGATCCTACTCACTCGATCAACCTACCTCCATCAAATTTGGATTCAGCGAAATCCTCAGTGTTTACGACCGAGAGGCTATCATCAACTTCACAGTTGAAACCGCCTGATGTTGTTCCAACTAACATGCCAACCTCCGAGAGCAGATCAGAGCCAGAAAATCCGACCAGTGCTACGACAAAGCCTGAGGCTTCTGATGTGCCGACTGCTTCATCTGCGACGGAACAACCCCCCACACAAGCTCCTTCGCCTACATCTAATGTACGCCCAAGTGAACCAACTGGTGTGACACAAGGAAAGCCCGAGTCCACCAATCAGGGATCAGAGGCTCCATTGCCGACCAGCCCTACTCAATCAGAAGGAAAGACAGATGGTACTTCATCAATCGCAAATTTACCTTCTCAGTCGAACATACAACCTGGAGAAAACTCCTTTACCGCCAGTGTTATTGAGCCCAGTACGTTTACCGGCTCTGCTTCAGTTCCAACTTCAACGATGGCTATCAATCCAGATCCGGTCAACGGTGGACAGAGTCTCTCCGCCCCGGTCCCTACTGAGATTCGAAGTTCTGTCAGCTCGATCATTACAGGTTTGCCTCTTCCATCACAGTCCAATCCAACCGGCCTTCCGGTCCCTAATACACTAAGTCTTGTGTCTGAGATTCGAAGTTCTATCGGCTCGGTCATTACAGGCTTGCCTCTCCCATCACAGTCCAATCCAACTGACCTTCCGGTCCCTAATCCACTAAGTCTTGTGTCTGAGACTCAAAGTTCTGTCGGCTCGGTCATTACAGGCTTGCCTGTCCCATCACAGTCCAATCCTACCGGCCTTCCGATCCCAACGTCAGAAGTCAAGTCAATCGTTACAAATTTGCCTTCCATCCAGACTGATACCCCAGCCAGTACTCCTATTGGTAGCGTCATTGTGCCAGAGACACTGGTCCTTCCAACACAAGTCCCACCACTCTCCACGTCCACCACTGAGCCAGATCCACACTCCGCTGTGAGCGGCTCCCTTGGGGTCTCGCTTGTGGGCGCTTCCGGCACTGGATCTGCATCACTACCTGCTTCGTCACCATCTTCTTCAGATGGCCTTAACTTCCTATCGTCGCAAGTGGTCAAGTCGCAAGCTACAGAAACTGGACCGTTTGAGTCGAGCCTCAACAGTGCAACATCAACCTTGCTTCCCGCATCATCCGAACCTTCTCTTCCATCGTCGGTGCCATCTATTGCGTCGTCCACGATTATCGAACCTTCCACCATCCCATCTTCACTGCCTAACAGTCCAACTGCTGTCCCAACCGATACTTCGTCCTTGGTGACAGACCGACCTACCTTCATTCCCGCAAGCGAAATTCCAACAAATACCCCGACGATTACCACTGCCTTGCCGTCATCGACACCTATCTCAGATTCGCCTCTGCCAGGCTCAACTCAAGGGATCTCGAGTTCGATCAATTCATCTGCGTCCGACTCTGTGGCATCAAACCCTAGTGCAATCAGCTCATCCGTAACCCTAGTTGATACTCTTGCCACATCCTCTCAGGTCTCCCTTGTGTCAAGCGGTATTACTGATATCAATTCCCTTACAACAACTGCGCCTAGCTTAGCCGCAAGCAGCACAGGTGTCCTTAGCTCTACAGGTTCTGTAGATCCATCTGCAGCATCATCTAGAGCATCAACACTTCTTACGGATACAGCAACACTCGCTTCAGGAGGCATAGCAACTATATCGGTGCCTACAGGCTTCCTGTTAAGCACAACGGCGCCAGCTGCAGCTTCATCAACCACTGCAGCTGCGGGAGGCGATGATGTTAAACCCCCGCCTCTGTCGAAACCTCAAACGGCTGGTATTGTTATTGGAGGTGCAGCATGTCTAGTCATTGCTCTTGTCGCAGCTCTCTTCCTTGTCCGCCGCTACCACACTAACGCCGCTAAGCGCAACAGCGCGGGCAGTGTTTACCCAGAGGTCGCTTACCTATACGATCCTCCTGTACCAGGAGCTGATGATGCTGAAGCGGGAGGTGGCGTTCCAACGATGTCTGGAGGAGCTGGAGGCTACCGTGCTCTTTCATTACGCTCGCCACGTAATAGCACTGCTTCATCAAATCACTCCAATCCCTTCCAGGACCCGCCGCCATCGCCGCTCCCGAGTCCCCGCCTAAACGGCTATGGAGGCCCGGAAATGAATGCAGCAGCAGGGAAATACACATCTCTAGTGATAAATCCCTACGCCTTTGCCCCAGTAGCACAAGAATACCCACCCATGTCTCCATACGCAGCTCCGACCCGCAAACTCCCTGCAGTCCCAGAGCGCGCATCAGAATACAGCAATCCGTTCGCCGATGACTACGATCAGCAAGACTTGCTGCTCAATGTTGACATGCGAACTGAGACGCCAGACTCCATAGTAATGCTCACAGCACCTCCGCCCTCACCGCGCAATCACGGACGGTACACGCCTGAAAACGTATCCCTCCTTCACAGCAGCGCGTCAAACTCGCCACGCACACCGCAACAAAGAAGCGACTCCCCATCCCCGAATCAGCCCATCCACAAGGGCTGGGAAGAGATCAAGCTCAGCGATGCGGTGCCAATCTCCATGCCCCTCGCCACCATTCCTCCCCCAAAGAAACAACTTCCACAGCGTCGCCAACCATCCAAAGGAGGTGCGGCACAGATGCTTTTGTCCGGACCAGGCCTCCCATTGACGGTAAAGCGTAACGACAGCCCTGCTTTTGGACCAGCCAAGAAAATGGATCGAGGACTCGGCCTGGAAGTCCCACCTATGGGCATGGTATACGGGAGTCCAGGTAGTAGTGCCGACGAATGGAGCGAGGATCCCCGAGTGCGAAAGCAGAGGAGTACGGAATTGCTATTCGCGGATCCGAATCTGGTTGGACGGAGTTTCATTTAAGACAAACATGGATTCTAAAGCAGGAAATTTCAAGACTAATGGATGGGACTATGTATATACGGTTTGACGGACGGCGATGGAATCTATGTAATGGAGATTACCCGGCATTCTTTAGATCTGGGTGTAAATATCCTGGCGTTTTCTTTTCTTCAGAAATTCTTTTGTTCTTGCACTCCTTCAAGTATCCGGTCTTCTCTCCAGCTACGCACTGGTCCATTTTTCTTCGCTTCTATTCCCGCTTTCATTTTCTGTCTGGAGATGTTTCCTTTCTTCTGCATCATATCGCATCGCATAGCATTGCACACGCATTCCCGGGGACCCGCCCCCTTCGCAAACAAGGAGAAGTCGTCGTTGTATTATTATGTATTGTATAATCCCGATCCCTACTGTGCGCAATAAACCACCGAGCCCTCGTCTACTTAGTCCCCCATCTTTCTGTCTAGATCTTTGTACATTGGCCCAAGAGTTATGTGGGGCTTGCACAGTGGATTCGATAGTCGGGGTAGAGGGAGTTGGGGCTGTGGTCGGACTCCGAGGTCCGCGACTAGCCAGGCTGACTGGGTGGCGCCTTGTTGGGGCGAGAAGGCTTGAAGACGGATGGTAGTTTTTAATTCGGATTGGGTTGGACTGGACTGGATCTATTATAGACAAATTTTGGTATCTTTGGAAGGAAGTTTACATCGCACGGCGAATTGTCTATGGATGTGATTGTGATAGTTATAGTGGTATGATTCACGCGATGTGCACTAGACTCTCACACACTTTGCGTCGCCTCAGTCACGTGATGAAGCTAATCCAAATTAGGACTGTGTGGTCAAATACGGTACGTTCATCGCTCCATTTTGGGGACCTGGGTATGACACTTTTTCACCAAGCTCTATAAGGCTCTTGGAAACCCTTTGAGGCCCTCAGAAACCATCCTTTTAAACCCTGCATGGGGGTAAACTCACAAGGCAGTTAAGCAAAGTAGGCGTGGGGTCGAGGCAAGCATGCGGGTGAAAAACTCATCTCTTGAGAACTGAGGAAGCTTCTCCGTGGATAGTCAGACTTGGGGGTAGAGCAGAGGGTCATGTTGAATAGTCAGACACTGCCGCTAGGCTAATTGGTTGGAGGTAGATGTAAAAGAACACAGTGTATTGCTTTGTGCTTAATTTTACTTTAATCGCCTTTTGTAGTGCTATAGAAAGGCCTACTTTATACACTTACTAGAGATTATGTTTTAGTCGTTGAATCTCTAATCGGTGGGGCCAGAGCGAGTTTGGCAATACTGCTGCATGACCTTCAAGCAGGGAGCAGAGAGGGAAAAAAGTCAAAAGTGGGCAAGATGCTCTTTGAACGGCAACCCTTGGGAAGGAACTCTTATCGCTGCAATGAAGAACTGTCGGAAGCGTTATGTTATATAAGAAAGAATAGACGAATATGGAAGAGATAGTGATGGTCTTGGAGGAAATTTAGGACTGTCTTCCGGCTACTGATGTAGATTCGCTGCGTTGTTAGTTCATCAGCCAGGAACATAGTACGGTAAGGAAGGACTTCGCGAAGGCGGTGTTGCTAAATCCCACTAATAAAGGCACCAGAGAGGGCCTATTCGAACGCGGAGAGTTATAAAATTAAGGCTAAGCTCAACTTGACCGAAGACAGGCCATTATTTACCGAAAACCTGATACTGGAAAAGGCATAGGGTATGTGTGCGTTTCGTCGTTATTTCTATGACCCTGAAATGACTTTCCCTGCTGACTGAATACTAGGTATGTTTCTGTTCGCAAAACTGTTGTGTTCTAACCTCCATTTCAGACGTCAGTAGGTAAACTGGAGGAGGAGCTTATCCCAGGCTGCTTTCCTCAAGGGCCCAACGAAGTGTATGTTTCCTCCTACAGGCCGTCTATCCTAGGCCTTTTTTACCACCAAAGATATTCGCGAATTCTCTCCCGACTATTCGGAGAGAGCGGAATCCCAGCGAATGAAGACGTTATTAAGCTACTCGGAAGGCTCGTATGTGCTAAACTGCAGCTTACATGAAGAGAAATTCAATTTGCTGTATCGGCCAAGATTGAGGAGCAGGCTGTCAATTGGGAAAGAAATCGTTTCTGCGTCAATTCAAAGTAGATTTGTGGATTGCCAACAACACTGATCTCGTGCACCACACAGCAAAACGGTGAGTTAGACAACAACTTCAAGAGTCAATATCTTACTGCCGCACAGGTATTTCGTCGAGAAAGCTGCTGTGGACGCTGCTGCTGAGACTTCGCTTTTATACTTCTCTCCATAGGATCCCTAAGTTTGCCTGGCTTCGACTTCGATATAGAGCCACTGGATATAATTCTCAATCTATCACATGGGTATTATAGGTTTCCCGACTACGTATGTGCGTACTGGGCCCGTCACTTCGAGAAAGGCCCACCGACCCAGAACTAGGCGACAACCTACAGGTGCTTGTTGAGGTCGCAGGGGTATTCATGACACGCATTGGATTGAGCCTTAGTCGTTATAAGGCGATAGACAGGTCTAACCCGACAAACCCCTGTAGCTAAAGATAACCGAATAATATGCGATCTTTGGTTTGACTCGTCGAAGTCGATCTAACACCGTCAATTGGTAAGCATGTAGGTATGTTTTGGGGGAAATCTGAGGAGATTTAACCTCAAATAGAGTAGACAAGCATAGAAAGCTTGCCAAATATTCTAGACTGACTCTAAAAGGTTATTTAACCACTTCTAGAATTTAACTACTATCTGACAGGGTGTCTTTAACCCGTTCGTTAATTCTGTTGAACCTCGATGTTGGGCCGATTAAGTAGGTTTCTTCAAACTGGACACCAGTATTTCTCTGCAGGTGTTCTCCTCGGATGTAGCCACCCTATTATCAATATTCTTATATTCCGTCCTAAAGTTCTCGTCTTCTACCCCCAGCTTCTTTCAATCCTCCTCGTGGTTGAACGTAGTAGGGTAGTAATGGACTTCAAGAAAATTCTGATACTTCGTCTTAATCTCCGAACCCAAGTCCTTCTGTCTCTAACCCTAACTCCTCTGCTCCTTCCTCTGCCTCTGCGTTTTCTACCACTTCTTCAGCGTCTTTTGCGTATTCATTCTCAACTTCAGCTTGTCGTGTTCTCCTTACCTCTGTTTTCCATTGCTCTCGCTCCCACTTAAGTGTGCTCTGGAGGAATGTCATCTTTCTTTCAGTGCATTTTCGTTTTCTTTTCTAGGGATTGCATTTTGACCATGCTGCAAGGTTCGCTTAGATGCTTTCAGAGTCTTTCTACCAAACCAACCATCTCCACGTTAGAAAAGGGGGAACAAAGAAAGGAAAGGCAGAAGACTATGCTGCGAGTGCAAACCATCAAAAGCAGCAGGTGCGTCTACAGTCTACAGCATCTTATCACTTAATGTAGAACATACCTAAGGGTAAGTTTGTCTGTTAAGCGTCCTGCTCGGATTAGACACGTCAACAAGGAACAACTTTCTGTTCCAAATTCAAATCACCCCTGTCATGTTCCATATTCAGTAGTACAATGCAGTATACGCATCCTATAATCTGAATTCTATTCTCGACTGAGCACACTAATCAGAGGCAGGGATATAAATTCTTCATTTAGAAACAAGAGTTACTAAACCGGCGCATCGACACACCAATTCCCATGAATGCATCGCCATGCGACACTCCGATTCACCAACCTTCACCTGTCCTGTCTGGAGCCACCCTCGCCCGTCATCCATTTGTTCCCACATGCAGCGGAGTGAGGAGCATCCATCCCATTCATAAACCCCCATTCCATTCCCAAAACGCCGGCTCACCAAACGCGCGCGCCAGTCCAATCGGGGAATCCAAAAACTTCCCAGAGCTATGTGCATACGACACTCCTCCAGGCAATCCCCCAAGCGTGCAAAAAAGCTCAACCCACTACACCGACATCCCTCTCTATTCTAAATAGCGTGGTGTAAAGATGTCTTAAGATAAGATACCATCACCTCTCCCGCAAAATCATGATTCACCCCCATCACCGCTGATTAAAAAACCAACTACTCCTCTTCCCACCGGAATTCCCGCTCTCCTGCTGCAAATTACTAAGCACAGGCAAGACCGGGCCATCTTGAACAGGGCCTCCTCCTCCTCGCAGCGGCTTCGCAATACGAGATCCGACGGCGCCGCCGAAAGCGAAGGAAGCGCCGGTAGGCGAACCGAGGCCGCGAGTAGAGCCTGATTTGGCGGCTTCGAGCCGCTCTTTCACGGCTGTGAGTTGGCCTTCGAATCTGAGGATTTTGTTAGAAGAAGAGCTTGGCTGATGGCGTATGTAAACCCAATCTGAATTTGGAGATGTGGAGAGGATGGCTTCAGATTGGTCATATGACGGAAAGTTCCCCTTCCTAGAGGATCTTGAGATTGAAAAAGAAATTGAGAGTGATTGTTTGATCTTGAGATACGAGATTGGAAATGGTAGAAATTCTCCACATACCGATGATTCGCTGCCGTGAGTTTCTCCTGGGAATCCTGGAGTAGATTCTCGAGGCTCTGTATACGTTCATTACGGGCGATGAGCTTGCGCTCTGCGATGGCGACTTCCTTCTTCAGCGATGAGTTCTGTTCAACGAGTTGGCGCTGGACGACGGTAAGCTGCTCTAAGTTGCGTTCAAGGAACATCATTTTCTTTTGCTGGGCGCGGTTGTTGGAGGTGCGCAGCACGTTGTTGTACTGCTCACGCGTTTCATCTAGCGAAATCTCGAGCTCAACGACCTATTTATCCAGAATGGTAAGTATGACCCTTCTTATTCTCTAAGGATGCAGTAGGGGAGAATGCAACTTACCCGCTCACACCGATTCTGGAGATCCCGCATTAGGCTCTTCTTCATATTGTCGAATTCGGCAATTTGTTGCTGGACTGTCTTGCCGTTGATGCCATTAGCAACACCATTCGCGATCGCGCCGCTCTTTATCCGCTGCTGAAGACCATCCACTTCGGTCTTGAGTTTCTGGTTATCTTCCTTAGTACGCGCAAGATCTTGTTTGAGCTCTTGAGCAAGCTCGAGGTTGCCTTCTTGCCGTGCAGCATAAGCATCGGCAAGTCTTGCCTTGAGTTCCTCGGTGTCCTCCTCGGTGAGATTCCGTTCGAGGAGTTCTTCATACGATTGTTGGAGATTTGCAACACGGGCTTCAAGAGCCTCGCGTCGGCGCCCATGGACGTGGTCTTCTTCGCTCCGGGCAGTGAGAGACAGCTCTGCTTGTCGAACAATACCTTGGGTCTCCACGAGCTTTTGTCGGAGATCTTGGAGCGCATCTGGAGCGACGGCCTCGCCATTGGAACTCATCTCGTGTAAAGTGTCAAGCTGGTCGATCATCTTCCGGATGCTACGCTCGTTCTCGCTGAACACTTCTCCACCGAGGTCGAAACCAGCCATCATCTGTGCCATACGCTCTGCCTTCTTTTTCTCTTTTTCGTCCAAAAGCGCGCTAGTCTCTTTTGCGCTCATCTTTGCGTCTAAGAGCTGCTGTTTAATCTCATCCAGTTCAGAAGTGAGCTCCGAGTTAGCCTCCTTAAGACCATCCATCGTGATGAGGGCCTCCTTGCCCTCAAAGTTGAGCTTCTCAACCTGCATTTTCAACTCGTTAATCTCGCTCGTCATCCGCTCGTTGTCTTTGTTTGACTTGGAATCGCGTTCCTTGTAGTACTGAAGCTCATCCTTCGCGGTCTTGAGCATGTCTTCCGATTTCGCGAGCTGCGACTCTTTCTCTGCGACCTGGTCTTGAAGTTCGTTCTCCCGCTTGAGGAATTCGTCCTTCTCGTCTTTGTCTAGTGGTATGCTTGGTGTCCCCGACCGCTCCAGCTCCAGTCTAGAATCCGGTCTTGATGGGGTATCTGTGCCTCTTGCCGCCCCTAATCTTGATGGAGTCTCCGATCGCGATGGGGTCGATGGGGTTTTCCTGCCTGTACCAGGACCCTGTTCCAACGCTGGTGTCCATTTGTCCTTTGGAACCGTCTCGCCCGCACGCCAGAGCGAGACTTCGCCTTCGAGATTCGCAATATACCCTTCAAACGTCGTGACCTGTCCTTGGGCCTTCTTGAGCAGTGCCTTGAGCTCTGCGGGACTAAGCTCCGCGTTGACCTTGGCCTTGTTCTTGATTGTCTTCGCTCGCATTCCAAACCGTAGGGTCCCTAATGTTTCAGCATCGTTGTAGCTACTCGGGGAGCAGTTGATGATGAGAGTTGTTCTGGAATTACCACCCAGTGATTCTTGGAGGATACGCGTGAGTTTGGAATCTCGGTAAGGAATATGTGAAGATTTGCCGTCGGTCAACGAGTTGATAACCATTCCCAGAGCGCTCAAACTCTTGTTGATCTTCTTAGCTTCCTCCAATGTCTGCCCGCTGGCACCCGTCTTTCCAACCTTCTCGGAACCTGCCAGATCGACCAAGAACAGCTGCCCACTCTTCATAGACCCAGTCTCGAGGTTCTTCTGCGTGATGGTGATGACGAAGATTGAATGTGACCGCGAAGACTCCTGATTCATGTTTGTTGCTGCGACCGCCCTCGCGTTCCCACCCCTTCTCATGACTTCGTAGACTTCCGGTACGCTTGACACGTACACCTCCAGCAGACCCTTGACATAAACCCCCCTGTTCTTCTCCTCGTGTACCGGCAGGTTGTCATTGACGGGGTTTAGCAGGTCTCGAATGCGCTCCATGTAAATCTCCATGTAGCTGACTCGGACGGTGTATTCGATGTTGCTTGGGGAGGCAAGCATGCTGGCGAAAATCTGCTCCACGATACGCGGGATAATGCCCTTGCCCTCGTCGTCGTCAATATCGCTCCCCATCATGGTGTACGACTTTCCGGCGCCGGTCTGGCCATAGGCAAAAACGGTGCCGTTGTAGCCATTAAGAATGTCGTCGACAGTGTTGCGGATGGAGAAGTCGAATACGTCGGTCTGGCGGGAGGACATATCGAAGACACGGTCGAAGGTGAAGGCCCCCGAGGCCTCTTTCGACTATATTGTCTCATGGTAAGTAACGTTGAAATACCCCGGTAGTCGGCCAGCTTCGACGCACCTGAATCACACATGTGTCCTCCGTCTTGAATTCGACAATCGGCTCTCCCCCGCTGGCGATTTCCACCTTGTTCTGCGGGCGAAACCGCGCCACCACTGGACGATCGCAAAGTCAGTAACGCGTAGCCCCCAAAAAGGATGTCATATCTGGGGAAGATGACGCACCTTTTATGGTGTTGTAGCTCCTGTCGGCACCACGCGGGTTAGCTTGCACGCCTCTGCTTCCCCCAAACCCCCCCCAGGGCCACTTACGCCATGGTTGCTACAAGATTTCGAGTCTCGGCCCAGCGGCCCTCACGTCGTTGCGCTCGCTCGTTCTCTCAAGCCTGACGTGCGTACGGGACAACTGTTGCGAGGACCTGTCGCGGTACCGTTTGCGTTGGAGGTGACTTAAGGTTCGGCGCGTTGTGTGAAGGGCCCCGCCGTTATTAGGGGAAAACAAATGACAGCAACCCCGTTTCAGAGTAGCGTAGCTCGGCCAAATCACGCACAGCGCCAGTGTGACAACCTGGGAAGGGCGGAGCAAAGGAGAACGCGCAAATGAGTGAGTGCGCAGCAAGTTGGAGACGGCTGCATAGACTTGCGGCCAAGTGATTGGAGAAGTGAATTTGATGCACGCCGCCAAGCACGACTCCCGCTCGGTGAGAGTGCGGCGGGGGGTTGTTCCACCAGCCAAACCACCTCGACGCACCGCCTCCTCACAACGTTCCCTCACTTGTTCTGTGCGACAGGTCCTCGAGTCTTGCTATCTGTGCAGCTTTGAGTCGTTGCAAGTGCATGTAAACTACCAACTACCCATGCTATTTAAAATAAACATGAACCGATATGTGCACCTCATCCTCCCCCTCCTAGACCAAAGGCACCCACATTCATTCATTCATTCATCAATCAGCCGTGCAAGCACCCTGAACGCCTCGCTGTGGGACAAAACACCTAGAGCATTCAAACTTGGTATAACCACTCCTTCCGATCCCTATGAACTCCTCAAACCCACGTCTGGCCGTGCAGCCCCCTAACCCCCCTCCCCCCTCCCCCCTTATCACTCAGTCCTCCCAGCTCTTCTCTACTGTCTCCCGAACCCGCTTGGTATATTCCCGGCGGTTGTCCTTGTATAGATTTGATGCCTCGACGTTGGCAGGGGACGACGTGTTTGGGTCGTTCAGGAGACTGCTCGTCCCTCAGCACGATAAAATGCAAGCACAGCCATATTCATATAGCCTACCTCTGAATGCTTGTTAAGATGGCCGCTACATCATACGTCGGACTCCACCTATTCTGCAATATGTCCAGACAGAGCTCGCCAGTGCCGTACACGTTTGGGTGAAACATCTGGCTTATAAATTTGACGCCGGGCGGCTTGTTGGGGTATGCCTCTTCAAAATGCATCACCAGTCTGAATGTGCCATCTTCGAAGGGTGTATCTGCGGGTCCGATGATGACCGCGTTCCTAGTGCCGCGTGAGTGAAGTCCTACGGAATCGATGTCGTGTGCGGGGATCGCCATACCATGTCATTACATTGTCGGCGATCGGAGAGGCGGACACTCCAGCGGGGGGATCGGTTTGCATTCGCTATGAGCCATCTGCGTCAGCGGATTCAGTAGGATATGTTTGCAAGTTCTTGAGTTGCTTCATGCTTCAAAGTCGTGAAGCTAGACAGGAGCACTCAGTGGCGTACCTTAAAGTCTCGCATCAAACGACGGCGGGCGGGTGTGGACATTGTGGTTCTCTCCTAGGTCCTTTGCGGATTTATTTGTATTTGGAGCGGCTTAGGAGGTAAGAGTATTTTGTGAGGAAGCGTTGGCTGTGTTTCCTGGCACGGTGTCAAGTAGTTTTCGAAAGAGTCGGGGGAGCTTCCCTTTAACAGGGCGGCCCGCATACGCATCACGTGACCGCCATTCCCCGCGAAATGCCCAATCCAGCTAAATCATACTAAAGTTCGCGACTTATTAATGCCATCACTTAGCCAAGGGGGCAAAGAGAGTTTCACAACTGGTTTTAGCTTGATGATTAGTTCCCGACCGTGACGTTTTACTCACCACCTCACTCATGACACTCCTCATACTTAGCATGTTAAGATGATTATAATTACTGCCAAGCATGTTCCATAAACTTTTCTGCTATGTCCAGTGAATGAAGACGCCCAGAAGTAAGGGATCGATATCATGCTCGCAGCAATGCTAACCCGCTTTAACGCTTCATATGATATTGATAAATCGGCCAAAGAAAACGAAAACATTGAAAGACCAACTGTCCAAGACGGTCTGAAAGCATGACTCCCGTGATGGACTTAGCGTCCCTGCAATGAAGATTGTAAAGTGGCCTCGGTGGCACTGGTCGTCGATATACGTTGAGATATCGTTTATGCATGTTGAAAGAAAGCCAGAAATAGAGGAGGATTCATGCCTCAAATCAACTTTCGCACTCACTCGCCAATGGCCCCAGCAGCACCATGATGAGTGGCTGCAGCAGTGTGCTCTCGTCCAAGATAGTCGACGACGGGAAAGCGGGCACGGCGCTCCAACTCATCCAGTGGGATATGGGAACGGATGAAGCTGTGCTGTGTTAGTCTTTTCGACAACAATTGCTTGGGCAAAGGCGCTCACCGTTCCCTGTCATTGTATGGAGGCTGGTAGTCCCAAGGTTCCTTTCGACCTGTACACCGTTAGCAAAGGTAAATTGGATCATCGGAGAAAAGAACTTACCAATCTTCAACGCGCTCCAGACCAGCTGACGTTCACGCTGGCTGAGCAAGACGTCCTTATGAATTTGACTGAGGTCCCATTTCTGTCGAGCCTCTTTCTCGAATGCTGCAAAGGTTTGGGTGTGCTCGGGCTTGGTTGACTTTGCAAGATTCACAAGCTCCTGAGGATCGTTGACAAGGTCGAAGAGCTGCGGAGGATCCACAAGCGAAGTCGTATACTTCCATTTCCCGCGTCGGATCATCACAACAGGAGTTACTGTGCCTTCACCCATGTACTCCCCAAATACTTCATCCTTCCCAGGCTTGTCTGAGACAAGGTAGTCGTATAAACTTACGCCATCAACAGGAAGGATGGCAGAAGCATCACCACCGGCAAGATCAACAAACGTCGGAAGTAGGTCCATGGTAGAGACGGATTCGCTGACACGTTTAGGTGCAAAGCGGGCAGGATAGTTGATAATCATGGGGACGCGGGCACTCATCTCAAACCATGACATCTTGTACCAAAGGTTTCGCTCGCCAAGCATGTCACCATGGTCTCCAGAGAAGACAATGATAGTGTTTTTATCCAGGTGGCAGTTCTTGAGGAGTCTAAGTAGCTTCCCGATCTGGTCATCAACGAAGGTGCATGCACCAAAGTAGGCACGCCTTGCCCGAATAGTAGCTTCGTCTGGAACTGGGTTGTTCCACAGATCGACGGTCTTTAGGAGGCGTACTGAATGCGAATCCTGATCCTCTTGCGCGATACGAACCTTTGGCAGAGGAATGTCAACATTCTCATACTCATCCCAATAATCTTGCGTCATTATATAGGGGTCATGAGGGTGCGTCAAGGAAACAGTTAGAGCAAACGGACGCCGAGTCTGCGGATCAGCACGGACGTAGTCGTAGAGATACTGTGAAGCCTGCCATGGTGACATTAGCAGACGGTAAATAAAAGTGTGTGTGGGATTGCCACTTAATGTTCAAAGCTTGATGATGCTGCCCCACTGACTGTCGCAGATCGATTCTGGGCTGAAAGCATTTAATGTGATACTTTCAGATTTTTCTTCTTACCTTAAACATGACATCTTCGTCGTAGTCCAGCTGATTTGATCGGATACAAGGGCCGGCTTGCATGACCGAGGACATGTTGTGGTACCATTCCTGGCGCTCTTCTGGCTTGTCCCAATTGACAGTCCAGCCAAGATCGCCTGGGTAAATGTCAGATGTGAGTCTGTAGTGCCACTGTCAGCCTGCAAATCCGGTGGAAGGACTAGGCATCCACTAACCTATGCTCGAATCCATGAAGCTGGTCTGGTCCGATAAAATGCATCTTTCCAGCAAGGGCAGTCTCGTAACCCTCGCGGCGGAGATAATGTGCATAGGTTGGAACTTCAGGTCCTAGAATGGAGGCATTATCATAGCCACTAATCTTGCTGGGGAGCTGTCCCGTGCACATAGTGAACCTGGATGGAGCACAGAGTGGGGAGTTACAATAGGCACTCGAGAAGACAACGCCAGTCTCAGCAAGAGCGTCGAGGTTCGGAGTTTTGATTGGGGAGTGGGGATCGTTCATCTTGAGGAGAGGAGCGGCCATTTGGTCTGCCATAATGTATAGAATATTCGGCTTTGTGGAACTGTCTTCTGAGTGCGAGCCACTCGACGCGAAATTCAATGACTGCTCAAGGAGATTTTGCGAAGTAATGAGATCTTCCCCATCCAGCTGGCGTCCTACAAAAGGAGTGGCGCCAGCAGCACCATTGGTGTGGCCATTGCCATTGACAGAAGAAGAGGAATGAAAGGGAAGAGAGCCGCCAACAGGACCATGAGCTTCAAGAGAAATGCCACCGCCAACATCGAGACCCTTAGGAGACGTCGCTTGAGCGGAATGAATGTCGTGAAGCGGCTGTGAGGATGGCTCTCGCTGAAGCAAGATGCTGGGCGCCATGTTGCAGGTTGGAAAGCGGTTTCTCAGTATGTGAAGAGCGACCGGGAGTATTTATTAGAAACCGACCTCGTCGTTTGTGGGACGCATTGACTGTAGCGGTGTGTCCCCGGGGGTGGCTGAAAGAGAAGCGAGAGCCTGCAAAAGAGATTTCTTAAGAATCAAGATACCGCTTGGGACGGTTAAAAGACCGAAGTGAAGGTGAAAGAGGTCGCAGGGTGTTTCCTCTGGGTGGGAGGGGGCAAGGCCAAGTACTTATCAAGAGATTGCGCGTGGTAGCTCATTCGGAGCTTACGACGAACCACCCCTATTCGCGCTAAGCCTTATGAGGAAAGATGTCTTGTGAAGATGAAGAAATGGGTCTGCAAGGTGCCTCCGATATATAGAATCATTGCATAGACAGAGGGCAGAAGGCCATCGATCAAGGATAGAACCCCCCGCAGCTACATCTCCCCAGGCTGAGCGTCGCCACGGTGTCCGGTGACCCTCGCCACTCCAGAACTTCGGGCCGCTGTGTCATTCTGACCCAGACAAAGAGGAGAACAAATCCTGTTTGAAGCGGGTAGCCTACCTGTCAGTCGCAAGCAGATAAAGGGTGCTTAAGTCTTGATCTCCCAGTCAGCTTTGGAGGACGCAATCACTCCAGGGCAGGGAACGCCATGAGAGGACATCAGGGTCAGCATTGTGCACAATGAGGATACATGCAGGGCCCTCGGGTAAGGATACTTGCTGCAGGAGCCGACGAGCAGCTAGATAGGCGGCCGTGATTTGCGTTATTGAGGGCTGTTGAGATAGATGGGAGGCCTGCGTTGAAATCCCCGAACCCTGACCGCAACTTGAGATGAGGTAAAATCCGGCATGGGAATTATGCGCTAACTGCTCACCAGACGATCTGGTTCGTGAGATTCCGAAGCTCTTCTTCATCATCACAGTTCAAGATTCCAATGTTGGGCATATGATCACAGTGATCAGGCATCATCAACTTGACCGGAGATTAACGGAGGCATCCGGGAAGTGGCGGGAGCTGCATCCTTCAACTGCTTTTCTTGACACACCGCTTAAGTGTCCACACAGGAAGCAGTTTGCAAGCAAATCGGCTTCGAACCGAAGGGTTCCAGATGCAGGGCACGTGATCCGTATCTGCATGACCTAGCCAGAAATGGAGATTTTTCACTGGTCCACCAATCAGGACTATTCAATGAAGCTGTCCTCCTGCAAGCCGCACACCAGCTCGATAGCGCTTCTGGATGGCGTTTGTAACGTTGCTGAGCTCTGGATTTCCCATGGAAAGTGGAGTTCGGATGATAATCTTCTTCTCAACAGACCACGTGGGCAGGCTCTCCTGCTTACCCCTCAATTGGCATTGCGCACTACCAATTGCCTGAACAGCACATGTTTTCCACTAGGGCGAGAGGGTTTTTGGCTATATGTTTGAGGTTTCTCAAATCTTTAAGGGGCCGAGTTCGGAGGTATTCCACTACCAGCCAATCAGGACTATTCCTCCCCAAGATCCTGCAGCTCCATCAACATCGTGTTATCGGGCTCCCTGCAGGAAGACAGAGTGAAGATGCAGCTTTTATCTGATAACCACCTCGGCGACCTGCTCAGGCGACACAATTCCTCTCTAAGCGTCCCTCTCCGGGGTTCTGGCTCTTCTCTCAAGCTACGAGGACCCCTGTTGAGGATAGCAAAGACAAGTGAACAATCGCCACTTGGCAATTTTTCCATCCTCCAACGCGTATTCCACCCGGTCGGGTCATCAGCACGCCATCTCAGCTGAAAATCTGCTCTGCTCAAAGCGGGAGACTTTTCCGGCTAAAAAGTGAGAGAAGGCAAATCTTTGAAACTCACCCGAAGAATCGTGTTGTCTTCGGGTGGCTCAACTCCTCGTAGAGCGCAGTATTACCAATACCCTCGGGTCTCAAAGGATTCTCATTCCACCAGCGCTTCCTCAACGAAACGACGTAATAATTATCTCGCTAGTGCAGAAGTCCTTGTCACCAGGTCTTAATCTCCTTCCCGGCATATCAGCTAAGGGAATGGTAATAGAAGATCTGGGTATCGTACTCTCCCCTGAATGCCATTCGAGTGAGCTCCACCCAGGCTTCCATTCTCACCGGAGAAAATAAAATGCATTAATCCACTTAAGAAGGTATGTAGGTTCATCAGAGAGGCTGCAATGCAAATAAGCAACATATGAAGTCTCTGAACTGGAACTCATTTTACCCCACAAATATCACGACCCGCCAAGAAACAAAGCCCCTAAGAACAGATCTAGCTCTCTTTTCAATCTCAACTCTTGTATCTAGATGCCACATCCTGAAGAATTCATAAAGCTCTCATACATTTCCCTAACGACTTCTACCCCAGTCGCTCATACTAAAGTCTACACCAAATCTTCTGCCGCAAAATGGTTTCCTGAAGCGACGAGCTTCTGTCACCGTCACATACCGACTTACCCATTGCGCGAGAGTCTCATTCTCAATGCCCACCTAACCCCAGGCACACCCCCACTACCAGATTTTCTCTTTAGGCTCTAATTTCCAAACATGCACTACCTACAAGCAACCCTCTCACAAGCAGTAACCTACCAATAGCCCCACTCGCACTCGCACTCCCACCATCAGTCGTCAACCTATTCCCATCACCTCCGTCGACTTCCAGCCACCCTCAGGCCAACCGAACCTAATGCAGCAAGGCAGAAATACACTCAAAGCCCTCTGCCCGGTCGCGTTGACTTGTGCCCGTGCTACACATCCACTCCAAACACGAAAATTGTGCGCTCTATGCGGTCACTACCATGTTAACCTCCGTCTCCATTCTCGACCGAAACCTCTCCACAAGATCTCTTACCACATTCAAAAGATCTAACGCAACAGCCCCTCACAAGATTGACTATCCCCTCACCACCACTAAGGCCAAACTTCACGTCATTCTCCCTCCCCTACATCAACACCAACACCGCAACATCACATCGTATTGTATCGCATCACACCACTAACACCACAATTCAGTCAGTGAGAATTTCTTCCATTACACATCATACCAATTTTTCCTTCCCTTCTAACCCATTCCAACCTATCCTACTAAACACCTCTCCCCTAGAACCAAGATTGGAGATGGATTGACAACAAACAAAAACAACAAACAAACATGAAACCCCACAAAATGTCTTAAAAAAATTCCAGTCCCGTCCAGTCCAATCCAGACCTAATCCGATGCAGCCTCTCATCCAGACTCTTCATATTTCGTATATTATACAATCAGGAGAAAATATACACGTAAAGAGGAGGCTGGGAGGAATGGTAATCTATAGTACAAGGTCATATCAGACTCGGTCGGTCGTTGGCTGAGCTATTTCTCAGGATTAGTGTGTGACGTTTCTGGAGGAAAAAAGGGCGGAGGAGACTCTCCTAAAAGAGATTCGACAATTTCCTGTCTCTCCTCTCCCTGTCACCTCGACCACTGCCTCCAAACCCACCGGACCTTCTCTCCCCACCTGTCCTATCGCCTCCTCTCCTGTCACCACCGAACCCACTTACTCTTCTATCCCGACCCGCCCTATCGCCTCCTCTCCTATCACCACCGAATCCACCTCCTGACCGCCTTTCTCCTCCCATTCTATCTCTACCAAATCCACCTCCTGACCTCCTCTCCCCTCCCATTCTGTCGCCACCACCCCTCCTATCACTGCCGAATCCACCTCCCCTTCCTCCTCCAAAGCCTCCGGATCGGCGACCACCACCAAACATGCTTGATGGAGGGTTTGGCGGCTGTTCCATTCCCCATCCATGCTGCGCGAGACGGTTGGCTGCTTCCAACAGGCCTTGTTTATCACTGTACCATTGGAAGCTACCAAACAAGCCACGGAAAGCGTTATCCAGATGCTCTGGGTAGACTCGCTTATGAACCTCCGCTACCTCCTCAATTATCTTTGCTACGTCCTCCGAAATCTCCTGCTCTTCGACTGCCATATCTACAGCTGCGGCTTCTAATGTGTTATCGTGCACAAGCGGGAGTTTGTGAAGGCGTCTCCGAACTTCATGTTTTTCAAGCGGCGAGAGGAAAAGCCAGCCTTCTCCTTCTTTACCCGCACGACCTGTACGACCAAGACGATGGATGTAAATGTCGCGGTCCCTTGGGAGACCAACCTGAATAACGTGGGTTACGTTCGGGAAGTCCATGCCACGAGCAGTAACATCAGAAGAAAATAGAATACCAGAATCAGAAAAGCGGAAACTCTCCGACGCCTTGGTACGCTGACCTTGTGTGAGCTTGGCGTGGATTTCGTAGGCACGGCAGCCATGGAGTGGCTTATCGCGTTTGAAGCCTCCAGAAAGCTTGAAAAATACCGAGGAGGCGAGGGTAACTTCGGCGGTAGAGTTGAAGTAGACAATAGCTTTGAATGGACGGTCGCCGCGAGATTTGGCATGTCCTACTTCGCGCGAGACGAGTTCGTAGAGGGCAGGCATGATGTTTTCGAATCCGGGGAGATGGACAACCTTTTGCGGGATTCTTTCGTGTGTTGGTGCTTCGTCCTCATTGACGCACTGGACGAAGTGGAAGCCCGGCTTCAACGTACTCCGGACAAGGCTGACGACTTCGCGAGGAACAGTTGCAGAAAACATCAGAGTCTGGCGGTCCACGACTTTTGGGTCCGGGAGATACTGTTTGATTTCCTCAATGTCCTTGGAGAAACCGTCGTCTAACAGGCGGTCGGCCTCGTCTAAGACCAGACTGTTGAGCCTCGGGGCTTTAACACCCGAGTACTCATCGGAGAGGATATCGAACAATCGGCCAGGGGTGGCAATAAGGAGATGACAGCCTTCCCTTTGTGTCTTCTGAAGCATCATTCTCTTTTGTGTGCCACCTACTGCAACCTGCACCACCACGCCTGTGCCTGATGTGATCTTCCGAGCCTCAACCGCAATCTGCTCCGCGAGCTCTCTGGTCGGCGACATGACGATGGCCCTGATATCGTCTGCCCTGCCCTTTTTGTAGCCGCGAGGCCGCTCCCCTAACTTCGGATCTTCTGCTATGATCTTTTGGATGACCGGGACCAAGAAACCGAGCGTTTTGCCAGTACCAGTCTTGGCTTGAGCAATTCTATGGTTATTTAGTTGGGGAATCGTTATATTGCTAGGCTTTGCTTACACGTCAGTGCCAGCCAATGCCTCGTTGATTGTCCTCGATTGCACGTCTGTCATTGTATCTATTCCCATCGATCTCGTGATGATGTTGATCACATTTGGATGCACCAGTCCGCGTGTCGCAAGCTCTTTGAACTGTGTAATAGGCTCATATGAGCTGGCAGGTGCATCGACGTGAACCTGTGCGGCTGCGACCTGTCGCCACTTTGCGCTCTCGTGGAATGCGGCAATAGCGACGCCCGGCGTTCGAGGAACTATTCTCCATATTGCGGGCGACGCCTGGGATACTGTTCCGAGAGTGACCCTAGATGAGATCACGGCCGACGATAAATTCCTCGAAAGAGACACCGGACATCTTCGCAGTGCGCCGAGCATGATCGCAAGGGATGCAGAGGGGAACTCCGCGAAGAACAGGTCAATTACAAGGGGTATCGAAAAAGAGAGTGGTTAAATCAATAAAGCTTCTAAATAACGTGCAAAATAGCTGGGCCTCGCAATGAGAAGGAATGGGGCATGTGGGAGCAGTTGTACCTTAGGAGAGTAGCAGAACTTTTTTCCGAGGGACTTGAGGCGCCTTTCCCGTTTAGCATGGCGCTACCGCTATCTTATCGTCACGTGATATTAAATGTCCCTTGCGCCCACCGACTATTCCTAGCATTATTGTATTAACACCATTTCAGAGAACGGCGAGAATGGTTTGCAACGCGTACCAATTTAATGTCTATCTGATCGTATTATCGTAACCAAAGTGACTAGCCAGAACCATCTCAAAACGCCAGTCTACGGCTTATTTAGAAATGGATGAAAAGCAGGTAATTCACTAATTCAATCAATCCTCTCCACCCGACCTTTCGAAGTCTGATTCCTCTCCGGACCAAGGATGACGACACCTTCTGATAGACCTTGTTGAATACCCCCGGTTAGTCCTCGAACCCACCAAATCGTCAAGTCATTAATAGCCTGTCCGACTTTGCCGTCATTCATCCGGCACACTGTCTGCGACAGCTGCAAGCTCCTTCGCCCCAACTCATCTACCGTCGTGATGCTCTTACTAAAGAGACGCTGCGTGACCTTGTTCTCCCTCTCCCATCGATATGCGTGCCCAATGAAGAGCCTGATGTAGGGCAGGAGGAATTGGATTAGGACGAAGGTTTGGAAGACGATCGAGGCGGTGAGGCGGTGGAGTAGTGACGGGTTTTGGACAGGGCCTTCTTGAGACACTGAACCTTGTTGTGGGAAAGGTATCAAGGCGTGGGCGTTAGGGTCGTTCTGCAGGTCAAGGATGCCAACGGGAATGGCGGCCTGTAGGCTGAGGGTTTCCTCCGGCGTCAAGTCCGCTGGGATTCCTCGCAGAAGGTATGTCATGCCATGGAGGTAGAGCTGGCGGGCAAGGACGGCTGACGCATCAGCAGCACCACGAGCGAGGGCGTTGGACTCTTGGTATGCTTGAGTCAAGAGGCTGATTCCTGACAACAGTTAATGGGTGTGTTTGAAGAAAAGACGAGTTTGCCATACCTTGATTAGAGTACTTCCAGTTTATGCCAGTCTCCGTTTCTGAAAGAGGGAAGGGAGGAGGTATAAAGCTCAACGATTCAGGACGCTCGGAGACGTCATCTCGAAAGTCGATTTCCTCAGTATCGGATGACACAATCGAGTCTCGATTTGGTGTTTCCCGGCCAGCTCTTGACGAATACCTTGGAGGAGGAGACTCCGGGGCGGAGACCTCAGTGCTTATGCTGAGACTCTTGATATGTATCGAACGGCCACGGAGGTCACTGATAGACCGTCTGATGGAGGGGAGAGTAGGTATCCGGGTTTGGACAACAGCAGGGAGAACCAAATACAACATGCTGGGCTGGATGTCTTTCTGGTCTGTGTTGGCAGAAGTCGATTCGAGTTCTAACGAAGGTGCGGGTGCTCTTCCGTCTGGCGCCATATTCACTGCTATTAAGTACAAGATAAGCTACGCAGTACTACAATTCTCTCGCTGCCGCAAGCTCAGGTCATGGATGGAGGTCAAAATTATGCATGATGGAGAAGAGCCGAGTGCGGCAGCTCAAGATAAATTTGGACGCCTGCGTGGGTGGTTCGCATGACATAAAGTTTGGCCCAAGTGGGATCCAGATTAGAAGACTGGTTAGGTACGGTGAGGAGCTTGTGAAGCATGTGAAATTGGTTGGTTTTGTTGAGACATGCATGAGCTCGCTAGTGCCCGTTTTACGAAAACGATCGGGCTTCGGCATGATGAAGGGCACCACAGCATCGAGTCAAGAAGACATGTGCTTATTTGCTGCGTACAACTTTCCCACTATCCATCACAAGCTGAGCTTCTTGTGCCAATCCGTTATCATCGAATCGCTTGCATCGCTCGAGATCGTGGGTTGAGCGCCACCGGCCACAAGCGAGAACCACCCCGGGCCTGGAATGTGCAATCACAGACGGTTGCCGAGATCAACGCCTTATCTTAATGGGACGGAAATGTACAGAGGGCGGGCGTTGGCGTTTGGACTCAAATCTTCATACGAGGTTGTCCGAATAGTGCTCATTTTCAAGCCTCATCCTAGCCCTTCACAAGAGAGATTTGAGGGCCGCGATGACGACTTCAAAGGCATGTTAGTGCGCCATTTGCATCGGGTGATCACACAATTCCTAATTGTCCCTACAAGATGAAACATGTTCTCCTGATATTCAAAGTATACTCTCCGAATTGTCACGCCTCAAAATTAACATAGCTATCTCTTCGTTCGATGCTGCATATTTCCGTCATGAAGGGGTCTCGTCTTTGCAAACCTTGGCGGTTTGCCATCCACTTCTAGTCTCTGGAGCGTTCAAGACCTGGCAAGCTTCCTTCCCCACCACACTATACCAAACCGCAGCAATCCTGATAGTGGAGGCCGAGATGCATGTGAAGGATCCAGCTTGTTATCATCCGCGGCTTGGTGATGATCAAGCAGACATCGACGATGGTCAGACACAGCCAACTTCTCGAGGACGTGCATACACAGGATAAGACTAGATGTCAATGTTATCCAAACAAGAGGTAAGAAGGTAGACCGGGTTCTGCGAAATCTAGTGGTACGTCGAGAGTGCCGTTGGGAGCCTTCGACACCGTGACGATGGGAAGAACGTGAAGGCACCCCCTTCAACTCTTCAAATTCGTCCATCGTTCTGCCGCCTTCCAATAATCTTCCATCTCCTTCACCAGACTTCTCCACATCGCCTTCGTCTTCTCATTCGCAACGTTACCCCCTTCAGCTCCCTCCCACCCCTTAACATGTAAACTCTTGACCCCTCCAACAAGCTCATCCACCATCTCTCCATCGTTCGCGCTCCACTCGATCGGAATCCTAGTCCAAGGCATCTGCCCCTCTAGCCTGTGTACATAAATCAATAAATCTTGTTCAGGGTACGCTGCATTGGGAGGGGCGTCCGGGCCAGTCAGCACATAGCGGTAATAATCGAACATCTGCTCACTGGGTGCGAACAGCATGAAGCATGCACAAAGGTAGTTAACATGGCCTGGTTGTTCCCATTCCGTTTGGTCGCCGTAGGTGTCTGTGCTAGCCGCCATGATGAATTCTTCCGGGGGCTCGAATACCTTTCTCCCATGGCTATTTCCTTCAACGTCATCCTTGCTCTCGCCCCCAGTCTTTCTCGTTGCATTACTCGGCAAAGTCTTCACCGGCACACTATACCTCTCATCCAGAAAAAGCCCATCCAACCTTTCTAGCAAAAAAGAATCCGCATCTAAATAAAGCACCCTCTCATAATCTGTCAACTGCCACAACCTCAGTTTCGACAGCACATCCCTAAACCGTGATCCCATGATATAGTTCTTATCAAATAGATCTGGTAAATCAAGCGGCTGGACTTCCACAATCGTCGCGCCCTCTTTTTTCAGAACATCAGTTTGGCTCTTAGGGACTTGAGGTAGAACGAGTACGAGAAAGGGGACGCCGTCGAATTTAGTTCTTGTCTTTTCTGCATGCATGATTTGGTAGGTGAGGAGTCGGACTGAGATGAAATATGGGTCCTTAAGGAGAATGGATGTGTAGTCTGTACTGTTTTGGTGTTCAAGGGCTTCCTTAGAGGTTGGCGGGCCGAGGAAAGTGGCGTATGCGTATTTAGGCTTTGTCTTCCATGGCGGAGTAGGAAACGTTGAGTGCAGGCCGGAGATCGGCCGCGCGAGAGAGGTGTTGTAGAGGTAGACGGAGCAGGTGAAGAGCGAGGCACAAATAAGGAACAGGTAGAACTTCCGGGCTTTTGGGTACATTGGTTGCGACTTTTGCGAGCACTGGTAGATTAATGAATAATAGGATGAATGTCTGGGAGTTTTTGGGAGTTCATGGGTGAGGTGTCGTTAAATATGGAGCTGGTGGTTTGATCCAGATATTTTGAGGTTCAGCTTGACTCGATACGAAAAACGGACGCAAAGCGCCACCGTGGCGCCATTCAGGTGATCTGGCCCGTACGCAGGGCGGATGGAACGAGAATGTCTGAACAGAAGATCGTACAGTACTTGAGGGGCCTCGATTGGACAGGAGACAATAGTGTGGATAGGTCGTATTCGAATGTGCTATCGGGTAAATGGGTGGAGGTTACGAAAAAGTCCTGCTAAGCGAACAACTCAATACTGTAACCAAGAGCGCTATTGGTCACCTGCGGGCATTTTGAAACGGGCAAAGACACAAAATGTGAGTGAATAATTGTTTGGTATTTGATTGGTGCCTGATTCTTGCCGAGTAAGCTCGCAAACCTGCATCCATCTCACAGCATTGCAAAAGCCTATCGACCAACCCAGACCACTTTTATTCGTCCAGGGCTTCGTTGACCAAGGTTAAAGCATATGGCCTTCGTGGGGAATCATCGAGCAGACCCGCGTTACGCCAGCATAATCCTTCAAAGCAATTCGAGCCCTAGTTCATCTGCTTGATCAAAGTGTTGATATAGTCCTCGCGGTTGCCAAGATCTCCTCCCTCGATAAAGTGTTTAAATTTTCGAGGCCGGAAGCCACCCGTAGGGTTGGAGAGCTTCTATAATGCATGTTAAGATAAATTCAATTACGTAGACTGCGATTGGACGTACGAAGGGCCATAAGAAGTTCGAGACTTGCTTGAAATTGGGACCGACGGTGTAGATCTCGTGGATCAAGTCTTCGATGCAGACGATGCCAAATTTGCCAAGATGCTCTTCGACAATATCATTGTCTGAGAGCGGGAGGCGCTGCTTGTTGACTTTGCCGTATCCGCGCTTGTAGATTAACTCACGGACGCTCTTGAGATTTGGGTATCCATAGGCGATAAAGGGCTCGACGATCTTGAGCATCTCACTTGTAGCCTTCGTCACTCTGATGAAGACGCCATTGTTGATCTGAAGGAGCCGGAGGAGTTGCAACGTCTTGCGCTTCTTGGGATCAATCTTGTTGATACTATGCTTTTGGTCAGCTCCTGATGGTCGACAGGGACGCAGTGTCGCTCACCCTTTAATGCGGATCGCGAAGATGAGCTTGGGTTCAGCTGGCACGAAGAATGAGTGATCCCGCTTCGCAGAGCGCTTTGCCTGAATCAGGTCGCGCTCTGCTTTGCGGTACTCCGCCAGATAGCCTTTCGCACGCTCGAATATGACGGATCGTTTCTTCTTGTTGGCCTAAGATAGTCTTAGCCAACTGTGTTGCTCCTAACTGCAAAAGCAGATCTAAGGAGACGGGTGCCGGACCTCGCGTTTCTTCTGCAGCTCAGCAGCGCGGGCAGCGGCGACTTTCTGCTGGGCCTTGTTCTTCTTCAGAACCAACTCGGGGACAAGGCTGTCCTGTGTAGGGACGGTTCTGCGCAGATTAGAGGTGTTAGAGGCGAGACTCAATCACACGGAAGCGACTTACGTCTTTCCGGCCATTGTTACTAATGCAAGACCCGAAACTGGGAGTGAAGCTGGTGGTGAAGCTGGCGGGGGAGGCTGGAGAAGTTGTTTCGAAGAGCCGGCATGGAGAGAGTTCGCGAAATTGAACTGTTGTGTGGGTGCCAAGACGCCAAGATTTCAGCCTCCTTGCACCTGCCCCGCCACAGAGCTCCTTCGCCCAGAATTTGTGCGCAACTTCACACTCTTCCTCGAGACAGCAACCACGAGCGACATCACTCGTAGCCTTCGGATATAGCCCCACCAACTGTATCTGAGTAGCTGGTACTGCCACTTGCTAGACTCCTGGCGAACATTTAGAGTAGTAGACTTCAGTCACAGGATATTCACAGCTTCTCACTCGTCCCGGGCTCAAAGTTCGCTTTAGCTACTCGCGACTGCCAATTGAGCTCTACTCACGCGAGAATGGCGCGGGGAGGCTCCAAGGTATGCTCGTTAGAGGCCCACCCTGCTAAACAGCCGCTGACCTCTTCCAGAGGGGAAACCGCGGAGGTGGGAACCGCCATGGCAACAAGAAGGGGAGCAAGCGCAACGACCGATCTAATGCTGTTCGCAGCGAGCCGTGGTCTACCATACCGAGAACAAATGATTACTATGAGGCCTACTACAGCCAGGGCGGGTTCATGGGATACGATGAGCTCACTAAAATGTGGGAGTACATGAAGACAGACCTGCCCACCAGCTGGCGCTTCACTGGGACCAAGACGTGGGTCTATACTTTTGCATGCTCACGTTATGTCAGCTGACCTCCTAGTGATGCTCTCGCCGTTCGAGACATCTTCAAAGAACGGTACATTCCCCGAATTGCCGCGACTGAATGGGAAGGACAGCCTGTGCAGCCTCCAGAGCCTGTCTCTGCCTTTCCCGACGAGCTCACCTGGCACATGAAGACTGACAAGAAGGTCATTCGTCGGAACAAGCAGTTTGCAGAATTCCAGAAATTCTTGGTCGCAGAGACCAGTTCAGGCAACATCAGCAGACAAGAGGTCGTAAGTATGGTCCCGCCACACTTCCTCGATGTCAAACCTGGAATGGTTGTCCTAGACATGTGCGCCGCTCCAGGCAGCAAATCAGCTCAATTAGCGGAGATGATTCATGGTGATGAAGAGGACCGTGTCCAGATGGCTGCCTCAAGTAACGCACATGACATGTCCGACAAATCTGGCGATTATAGCGATGATGGGCGATCAACGGGGCTGCTGGTCGCAAATGATACCGATTATAAGCGCGCCGGAATGCTAGTTCACCAGGTCAAGCGGCTTAATTTCCCCAATCTCATCATTACCCAGCACGACGCAGCCGCCTACCCGTCCCTAGAGATTCCTGCCGGACCTGCTGGAGGAAAGAAGAAATACCTCAAGTTCGATCGCGTCCTCGCTGACGTCCCCTGCTCTGGAGATGGCACGACTCGAAAGAACACCAATGTCTGGCAGAAATGGACCCCCAAGGATGCACTCGGACTTCACGGCTTACAAGTGCGGATCCTCATCCGAGGCCTTCAGTTACTCAAGAAGGGTGGTCGCCTGGTTTACTCTACCTGTAGCATGAACCCTGTCGAAAACGAGGCTGTGGTCGCAGACGCTATCAGGCAGTGCGGTGGCGTATCTAAAGTCACGGTTGTGAATTGCGACGACCACCTCCCCAACCTCATCCGACGGCCCGGATTAAAGACGTGGAAAGTCATGGACATGTCAAGCGTACTATTAGAAGATAAGAAACCTCACATGTTTACAAGCTGGGAGAAGTTCGAGGAGGTGAGGGAATCAGTCAAGGATGAAAACCGCTCGTTCTCTCGAAACATGACTCCGGGCATGTTCCCCCCCACCAACATGTCTGAAGAGGAGCGCATACCACTCGAGAACTGCATGCGAGTCTACCCGCATCTGCAGGATACTAGCGGTTTCTTCATTACCGTCCTCGAAAAGAAGGAGGATATCAAGGTCGCCCAAGTACCCAGCAAGACCGAGGAAGAGTCAGGGCTAACGGAGACACAAAATGGTACTTCGTTGTCAAGAGCTGGATCAAAGAGGCAGCGATCGGAGGGTGCGGATGAATCTCAGTCACCAAAGCGAGTGAAGACATCATTCACTAACGGTACTGAGCCAGATATTGTAGCAACAGAGGATACCCAAACTCCAGTTACTACCAACGTGGACGCTAAAATGTCAGCAAACGGCGCCGTTAAAGACGAGAAGGACACCAAGGAGATCTTCAAAAAACTCAACCGAAATGGCCAGCCCGCCCAAACCGAGTTCTTCGAATACCTCGCCCCGGATGACCCAACTATCAAAAACATCACCGACTTCTTCGGCATCTCGGCGCGCTTCCCTCGCAACCGCTTCATGGTCAAGAACAAGGAAGGTATCCCTGCCAACAAAATCTACTACACATCCGAACTCGCAAAGGATATTTTAACCATGAATAAAGACCGCGGCGTCAAGTTCGTGCACTGTGGCGTCGTCACCTTCATGTCGCACAAAGTCAAAGACACCGACAACCCTGGCGCAAAGTGGCGACTCCAAGACGACGGAATCCGGATCCTCGAGCCCTGGGCTGCGAAGCGCATCATCACACTCAAGAGCAAGGCCACGTTGCACAAACTGCTCATTGAGATGTTTCCGATCATGCCAAAGGACGGGAAGCACAAACTCGACGATGTGGGCGACCAGCTTGCGGAGATGGATGTTGGTTGCTGTTTCCTCAAGATCGAGAAATCGGATGGCGGCGATAGCATGCCATTCCCAATGGTCCTTCCTGTCTGGCGACATCCGGGTTCGATCAACCTCATGGTATCGAATGAGGATCGGTTGGCGCTGTTGCTGAGGTTCTGGGATGAGCTGAACCCGCCCATTATCAATCATGTCAAGGACAAGCAGGCTGCGAAGGAGGCTGCTTTGGCTGTTGAGGATCAGGAGACTGCTCTTGCAGTTGAGGGTCAGGAGATGGTAGATATTGAGGACAAGTAGGCGCGCGACAGGTTTTTCATATGAGGGCATTAGGTTCCAATAGAGCGAGGTGAAGGTAAGATAGCAGAGCACTCACTGTGCTCATATATAGTGCATATGGAGAAGGCTCAGCCTTCTTCCCAACCGTTCCTTTCTAGTACAGCATTTCACCATTCAACGTACAACCTTACCAGAATAGAATTGATATGCTGAACCTCTTGCTGGAATTAGCGAGAAAGGCAACAGTAGGCACATTTCCGCCCTAAGCAACCCCTATCCATTCTTACTCTCCCCAGTATGCTATTAGATAACGTGTACCAAAGCCAAAATAAACCCCAACCACCTAGCCTCTTACTAGAATCAGCTCGCTCATCAACATGATGCAAATTTCTAGCCTAGTTTCCCCTATTCATTCACACCCCCCTCTTTCTCCAACTGCGCAACAACCTCATCGATCCGCTTGAAGCTCCAACTCTCGAAGAACGCGGGATACAGAAACGGTCGGAGATCAAAGCGATTGTCGTCAGGTGAGTAGCCTTCGGCGTGATAGGCGGGTGTCATGGTTGTCATTTTGTGGCGGTTTATCGCATCTAAATATTTGATCAGCACAACACCACCTGTCACCCGCAGAACTAGCCCTAGGATATGGGAAGGAGGGGAGGAGAAATGGGAGGAATGGGTATCTTACAGAAATGATGAAACCGCTTAACCTTAACCGCAACCTCGCTTGGCGAGCACTTATCTCGCCAGTCATGCAGCAGGCGTTGAAACATGCCATAGGGACCTAGTTTCGCTTCTTTACGTAGCTTGCCAAAGATGCTGAGCTCGTCGTACGTCATCCCCATATCGGCTTCATCAGATTGCACGTAGTCGTGGGTTATGGGCTCTGTGGGTGATGGGTTTGTTAGATAGACATAGAATCAATAGTGGGGTGGAGTGGGGAGGGTTTTTTTACCTAGTTCGGCAGTTGGGATTGCGTCGATGAATTCGTCTAGGATGGGGAGACTGAATTCGGAACAAGCCCAGTGGATGAAGCGCTTTAGGTCGGTTTTGGAAATACTGCCGATGGGATTTACTGGAGTTTGTTAGCTGAGGGAATCGGGATAGTGGGGAGATAAGATGGCCTACTGTCTGCACTACTGCAGTCATACTTGGTCAGGTAGCCTCGGAGGCATTCACTATGAGCATCAGATGTTAGCCTAGAATGAGAAGCTGGAAGCTGGGCAAAGAACATACTCAACGTTCGCTGATCCAAGGACGAGCAGCCCACCACCGCCAGGACGTTTCCGGACCGTCGGCAGCATCTGTGCGAAATAGTATGCCGTCACCATACGCGTCCGTGCTTGAATGTTCTGAAGAGCGAGATTCTCGGAAACCGCTCCACCATGCACTTTAAATTGTGGCTCGAAGCCGGTTGCTTGTGTGAGAAGTCCTTTCTCTGCATGGAAGACATCGTCGATGTTCATGTCTGTGTGGTACGCGCCGATATCCTTTGCAAGTCGTTCAGCGCGTGAGCGAGTTTCTTTGGACGACTGCGCAGCCATGCCCATGTACACGGTGTGGAAAATGCGGTTACAGAGTTCCTGGGGCGTCTTGGGGAACCAGTCTTCTGCCTCGTATGCACCAGCAATGCGTTGTACGTCCGCTTTCACTTGGGTATTTCCATTCTTAAGAGCATCCATGATGATCCGACACATACTGAAGACAATGACGGCCGTGGCGCAGGAATCAATACCTCCGCTAAGAGGAACGAGGAAGCCTGCAGCTTTGCTCCTGCGCAGGTAGTCCCACAACCAGCATGCAGGTCCAAGTGCTATCTCCTCCTCCGGTTTGTGGACTCGAAGGCTTTGATGCCTTGACGGAGTCACATTAGGATCAAAATCGCTGTCCCCACTAGAAAGACTAAAGGTGGTCTCGATTCGTTGATAAGTCGGTGCTTGAAGGGACTGGAGACCTCGTGATGGCGCAAACCTGTAGGCTCGAACTTCCTCGATATCGACAACTGCTGTGACAACTTCGACGTCGTTCAAAGAGAACTGAGAGCCTTGGGCTACAATTTCTCCGTTGATGATGACCATGGCACATCCGTCGTAATACAAGCGGTCGCCATCACAACCTTGTTGGTTTGAGTACAGATAGACGCCGCCGTTTTTGCGTGTAGCTTCCTGAATGAGAGAGATTCGAGTGTCCAACTTGCGAAGACTATGGTGACTGCCAGAAGAATTTGTAAATATCTCAACGCCGTTCAGACCCATGGCATTGTGGGGTGAATTTGGTGTGAACAGCTCCTATTCGACAATTCAGTATAGGCATCCGAAAAAGGAAGTAGTAAATCAGACCTCGCATGTCTCTGCTCCGAAACATGTATCCGGAGTTGAAATCACAGCGTCTCCTATGGGAACCTTCTGGCTCCCTTGTACGTTAGCAATCAATCGAGGAAGGTAGTATTCCTCAACATGGGTCGGACGTCCTGAGCCTATTAGCATTCACAGTTTCAACCGTTAACGGCGTCCATACCCCAGGGGATGAAGTATCTCATTTCTCTATAGTTGCCGTCATTGGCGAGCCATAACTTCGGTCTAGACTTGGTTCAGTATGGACAACCATATTATACATTTGTAGAGCCACACCCACCGGATCAGGATAATCTTTCCGTTTAGGGCGATTATTCGACTGTGGCAAAGTAAGGTTTACATGTCCTACTGAAGGTCCGAAAGCTATGTTACCTATTGAACCTATTGTTGCGATGTATGACTGGCATCCCAATGTCAAGGAGTATGCTATGGCAAGATGCATCATTCAAGATATTGAGGAGCATTTCCCAGCAATGGAGATACAGGTCGCCTTCGAGAAAGTGATCCAGACAGCCATAGCCACAGACCTGTTCCAGACTCGAGGATTAGGAAGGCTTCACAAGACTCGGGGAAGATGTACCTCGAGTTCTGGTCCGACACGAAGAGTGGCTCCCCGAGCTTTAGCTTCATGTATACTCTCTTTAATTCTCGCGAGGTTACCCTCCCAGTCAAGTGCCCACTCTAGAATACGCGTCAGTTGTCAGATGACATTTAAACGGGTATTTGGATACGCACGATTAAGCGAGCAAGTCGCCACGGTCATTAAACGCCCCATGACTGCGTGCTGGGTTAGCGATGACTTCAAAGCAGTTCTGTCAAGTTGACATTGGCTCGAGTGGACGGATGGTACAGACGAGAGTGGTGGTGATTGGCTCCCTTGACTCATACAAGCCCTCCCAGGAAGAAGTGGCCCGTCTGAGCCCTAATTCACAGGAACAGAGACCGAACTTACTTTAATAAAGAATCTTCACCCCGTAGATACCATTCAGCTAAGACTCTGCTTTCGTGTTGTGAGGCAACCGTGAAGCACAGCGGATCCGTTCCAAGGCTGCTGCTCAGAAGCGCGGACCGGATGTAAGGCTGAGTATTTGTGTGTATGGGTCACGTGCTCGGCAATCTCAGCAACAGAAACCCAGGACCAGAAAACATCAAAGCAGGCATCGGCAGCCCGATCTTGAGACACAATGCCAAAGGCGCTGATCGGTATGTTCACATCGCGGCATTTTCCAGGACAATGGTTGGCTGATATGTCAAAACTCCCGAGGGATTGCTTCCTCGCACGGATGGCCTCTTGAGCCTGGAACCAGCAAGAGAACCGCAGACTCTGAATTTAGGCTTGGCGCGGGGTCTGAGAACTTCGGCGTCGATCTCTGCTGGGGGTAGAGTAGACGCCAGACACACTCCAGCTCTGGCTGCGGTGGTTCAACAGGGCCTAATTGATGAGTTCCGCTCCGCTTATGACATCATACCATTGGTCCCGCACCGCAAAGAATCGGAAAGCCTGCGCGGTCTGCGCCCAGTCACTCCCGCCCTCCACCCTGCGCCTGACAAAGTTCCTCCCGGCCAAGTCCAGACCCATACCTGGTCGAGCCTTCATTCCACGACTGCCACTGTCTTCCTGTCCTCACGTGCGCGGCATGTCCTCTTTCCTCGCTCCTCGTCGCGCCTTTTCCGCCCCCTACAACACTCCATGATGGGCGGCCAACTTCCTTCGTCAACGAGCTCTGTCCCCGCAAAGGCCTCCAAGCGAGAAATGGAGGTCACCGACAGGACGAAAGAGCGGGAATTCTACCGGTGAGTGTCTCTCGACCCTACTCGAAGTCTTCTGGTTCTGACAGGCCTGCAGCTACTATCAGAAGTCGCAGCCCCTTAAGGCCGACGACGTCCCTGGTCTCCAGCCTGTGGCGCGCGCACCAAGTCCTCCTCTAGTAGAGCCGTGCAAGCCTTGTCTTTCTGATGATCCTGCCCTCACTGCTTTTGCGCAATTGGGGGCCCTCCGCCTAAACACGCGTCGCTGCTTGATTTCGTTCTTCGATCGAAAGACTTGCTATATCCTCGCAGAGGCCACGAGGACTCTGTCTCTGCAAACCGGCGAAGCTCAATTCGAGGAAGACAATTTGTGCTGGGGTACCACGACATTCCCAAAGCAAAAGAGCATCTGTTACTATACGGTGAATCTGCCACTGGACGATGCAGGGCCGGACTATGACGATTTCAGCAACATCCCGTCACTCGTCGTCAACGACCTATCTCTAGATGCTCGCTTCAACGACTACCCCTTCGTGGTCGGCTATCCATACTCCCGGTTTTACGCCGGTGTACCCATCCGCAGTCCTAAGGGACATAGTATAGGCACGTACTGTGTGCTTGATGAGACACCACGCGATGGCATTTCTTCCGTAGATTTGTCTTTTCTGAAAGGCATGGGCTATACGATCATGAAGCATTTGGAAATGAAGCGGGCTGCGGAGGATCACAGACGTGGGGGTACTATGGTGAGGAGTTTAGGCTCGTTCGCAGAAGGCAAGGCTAGCCTGGAGGAATGGTGGCAGGACCCATGGGAGATGGAGGAAGGAGGAACTGCTGGGCCCGTGGAGACAGCGACTGCGCCGCGTCAGCGTCGACAAACCATGTCTTCCGCTCCAACGCCTAGACCCAATATGGAAGAGCCAGTGCTGCTCAACCGAAACGACAGTCTGGATTCAAGCAACCCCAGCGTGAACAGTCCGAATCCGACGTCTCCTGGAGCCGTTGCTCCTGGTAGTGCCAATATCACGCCTGTTTCCGAGATCACTGCAAACTCTCGCCCATCAGTGGTTGCTACCAAGTCTGCGTCGTCAACAATAGATGGAACGCAACAAGATCGAGTGTCCCCGGAGGTTAGGGCAACCTTCACCCGGGCTACCACTATGATCCTAGAGGCGACAGAGGCGGATGGCGCAATATTCTTCGACGCCAAGGTCAGTACCTTCGGTGGCCTTGTCGAAGATGAGCTTGCGCAAGAGCAACCGGTGGATCCATCTGAGCAAGATAAACCATGTATCATCCTTGGCGAGTCTCTTGATAAGAACAGCGCGACCTCTGACGACTTGCCTAGTGGGACATACACCATGACGGAAAGTGTCCTTCGATATCTCCTACGCGCGTATACTCATGGTCAGATATTCAACTTCGATGACGACGGAGCCTCTGAGATGCCGGGTGGTGCCACTGCAGTGGAGCCGGAAGTACAGCCGCAGCTGACGCCTTTGGCCGAGACGCTCGAATTCCTTGCTCCTAAGAAATCGGAATCCGCAAGAAGCCAGGACGATGAGAATCTTCTCCGTGAGGTTTTCCCTACAGCTCGTAGCCTCGTCTTATATCCATTATGGGATGCGCATCGCGATCGATGGTACGCTGGAGCCATCATCTGGAGTTCGGACCCCATGCGTGTGTTTACTAGCGAGCAAGAACTCAGTTATCTCGCGGCATTTGGCAACATTATTATGGGAGAAGTGGCACGTCTCGACACAAAGCTGGCGGATGCTGCTAAAGGCGACTTCATTTCATCAATTAGTCATGAGCTTAGGTCACCTCTCCACGGTATTCTTGGATCTTGTGAATTGCTTAGGGACACCTACCTCGACACGTTCCAGCTAAGTACCGCCCAGACGATCGAGACGTGCGGAAAGACTTTACTGGATACCATCAATCATGTAAGTTTCCGCTTTCAACCTTGCGCTTGAATCGTCTAACATATTGCACAGGTTCTCGATTTTGCAAAGATCAACAATCTTACGCGCGGGACGTCCAAGCGTCAGAAGAAGCGTTCTCAAAGCTCCAAGCAAGTCATCACTTCTAGCCAGGGGCATGCGAACGACATTATGACTCTGATCACCGATGTCGACCTCAGCGTGTTGACTGAGGAGGTTCTTGAGACCGTGTTTGCTGGACATAACTTCCAGAAGAGCGCCGTAAAGGCATTCCAGAAGCATAAGCCGGCTAACGACGTTGCTCCAATTGCTGTCATCGTCGATATCAATAAGAGTGATAATTACGTCTTCCGGACTCAGCCTGGAGCGTGGCGCCGTGTTCTCATGAACCTATTCGGCAACTCTCTGAAGTACACACAGGCCGGCTATATCAAGGTCAAGCTTCAAGCTGGACGTGGCAGTCCAACAGATGAAGTCTCTGACGTTCGCCTTACGATCAGTGATTCTGGCATCGGAATGTCGGAGGACTACGTGAACAATCGAATTTTCCATTCTTTCGCGCAGGAGAATCCTCTCAGTCAGGGGACAGGTCTCGGCCTTAGTATCGTGAAACAAATCGTCCAGTCTCTAGGCGGCGACATCGACGTCCGCAGTCAAAAGGGATACGGAACTAAATTCACTGTCTACTGTCCGTTGAAGCTGTCAATGATGTCTCCTACTGTTCATGCCGCCATGCCGGACAAGGATCTGTGGTCTATCACGAGGCGAACCAAGGGCATGAAAGTTGCTTTCGTGGGATTTGATGACGAGATGGAATACTTCCCAGTCAAGAACCCCAAGAGCAAGAATGCTAGTGTGTTGACGCTGAAGGCGCTGGACAGTCTCTGTACTGACTGGTTTGGAATGCGAATCCAGCACCATGGATCCCCCAAGGCCACGACACCAGACCTCTTCGTAGCAACTGAAGCTGGCGCGAAAATGCTTCGCCAGCAGTATATAAGCAACCCAGACTCAGCTCCGATGTCTCCGGTCATTTCCCTGTGTCAAGGCGCCGCGTCCGTGCAGTCATGTACGGCGATTACTGTCCCAGGCCAGATCTTCGAATGCGTTACCCAACCTTGTGGTCCACACAAACTCGCCAAGGCTTTGACCTCCTGCCTTGATCGCCATTCAAATCGAATAATGACCCGGTCAGCAGAGACCGATACTGCGATCCCCAACGTAGAGGCTCTCAGTCTTAAGGAGAACATTAAGGCTCCCACTCTACCGACGGGCTTAGACACCCTGCGACCACCAATCATGTCCACGCTCAGTGCCCCAGAAGTCCTAATGTCACCCTTCAAGAGCTCTGCGATCAACCTCGGTCAAAACCATCACGCGCTGAACTGTCTCGCGGTCGACGACAATCCCATCAACCTGCGTCTCCTCCGCACCTTCATCGAGAAGCTTGGCCATCGCCATAGTCTCGCAACCAACGGCGTCGAAGCCGTCGACCTCTTCAAATCTAACCGCAACTTCGACGTAGTACTAAGTAAGCCCCTTCCCGCACTCTCCATCCCCTTTCCTCAATACGTAACTGACAGTACCTCCCTAGTGGACATCAACATGCCCGAAATGGACGGCCTCGAAGCAGCACGCCAGATCCGCGCACACGAACGCGATACTGGCGCTAGTCCGGTCACCATCATTGCACTCACGGGTGTCGCATCATCGGAAGCGCAGCAAGAAGCCCATGTCTCTGGCATTAACTTATTTTTGATTAAGCCGGTCAGTATCGCGAATTTGGAGGTGGTGTTAAAGGGCGTGGTGAGGGGGTAGGAGAGAAGGAGGTGTTGCTGAGATGGAAGTTGCGGCTGCCTCTTCTTTTAAGATGGTGGGGGAATGAGTGTATATATATTAGGCGTTTTGTCATAAGTGGTTTGTGTGATGGGGCTGGATACCCTTTTCCTGCTTTTGCTTCTGCTCCTGCTTCTAATTGGCTGGCTCGCTGGAGCTCTGGTCTGGATTCTTAGCATTTCATGGTATGGCATAGCATGAGTGGGTGCATAGCGTGGCGTCTATTACCTTCTGCATATTACGATAGTCACGAATGAATGAATAGCAGTAGTTGGATAGTTCTTGCTTTTAAGACAGTGACTGTTTTGGCTGTAGTTTTGTAATAAGTGAGGGTGGGAAAGAAGGTTGCTGGATTTTCGGAGTCGGGAAAGGGATGCTTAGTTCTGTGTAGTTTTAGGGGATGTCGTAGTTTGTACTAGAGCATGTTTCTATCACAGCTTAAGAAACACGTAACTTAGAAATGTAAATTTTGAGAATAAGAACTCAAGGAATACATTTACAGATTCCCGAATATGTTCACAAAATATCAAACATATTTCGAAACGCTTACTAGGTTCCGTTACAAAGGAATTGGATTCATGATCTGCGCTATAGACCATACACATACAGATAGTCGAGAAGGGCCTGTATTGCATATTCCGATAATCCTGTTGCTGCATATCAATAATTCCGAAACGCCAACTCAATAGGATTCATTTTGACACGCCTGCTCAAACCTTAACCGTCACTAAACCCTTATCCTAGCGATCTTTAATTCGCCATGCCCTCGATGTCTTCAAGCGTCCGACATCCCGTACCTACGCTCAAGCAATGTAACCCTGCTGTCTAGCCTGAGCCAAAAACTTGCCCAAAGCTGGTCCCATAATAGCCCAAGTCTCAAAAGCCATGATATGAGCGACGACAAACACCAAAGCAGTGATGATCAAGACGATCTTAGTGTAAAGCTTAATGAGACGGCGACGGGCCTCCCAGTTGAAAGACCTCCACGCATCCAAGAATCCAACGCAGCCCGTTCCGCCCAAGATCTTAGGAACAACTTTTCCGCCGAGGGTGCGGTCAAAAGGAATGATGGTGTCTTGGTCTTCGGGGAGGATTGAGGCTTCGACACGGATCTGGGTGACGTGGGCGGGGAGGACGATGAAGAGGCAGCAGGAGATGACAATGATAATGACGGCGAGGACACGGAAGACTACAGAGACCCACTCGGCACCTGAAAATGCGGCGGGGTTCTGGTTGTGGATGCGGTGCAGGCCGAGAAGCATGCTAGAGCCGTGGGCCACATAGAAGGAGAGGTAGCCGGCAGAGGCGTTGATAGCGGCAGGGAGAGCGAGGAGCTTCCAGTTAGAGCGGGCGGGGATGCGACGCAGGAACTTAGTGTCCGAAGGCATGGAGATGACCTTGTGGGTCCAGGCGGCGTGCAAGTTCGCACAGAGAGCACCAGCAAGGCCGGAGGCGAGAATAAGACGGCCTGGGACGCGGGGAAGGATGGACTCTATGAGATTGCCAACAATGCTAAAGCACAAGTTGTAGAGAAGGAAGGACTTGATACCTCGCCAGCGCGAGAAGCGGCCAGCCTGAGAGATGAGGTGTCGAATCGTTCCACGGATGCTGGAGGTAATGGGCTTCGTGTGGACGAGCGTGATGGTAGGGCCGGTCTCAAGAAGGTCTTCCTTCACATCTTTGGGTGGGGATTCTGAGGATGGGGAGACGGTGATGGCGGCCGAGGGCGTCTCAACCATGGCAAGAGTGGCAATGACATCTTTGAGCGTGTATTCAATCTGTCAGGTGTCAGCTTATACCGGAGTAATAGTGAGAGGTGGGAAACACTTACAGCACTCACGCCGAGGATGAGGACGATGAGGGTGATGGCCAAAACAGCAACACCCCATTTCGGGATCTCTACTTCGGGTGCCTTTTCAACTGCCCTCCGGATGAAGTTCATGGCACGCGGGTGCTCAAGGCTGCGACGAACAGCATGATCGACGTACCCCATGATGAAGAAGTCGTGAGGCAAACAACGAAACCTGTCAGAATGAGAAAACTAGTTTTCGGTGGAAGTGAAGTCAAAGTGGGGTGTTGCTTCAAGGGAAAAAAAAGAGTGGTCAGAACACTGGAAGAAATAGTCGTGCCAGAGAGTGAGAGCGAGTGGGCGTGTTCTTGAAGGCGTCTGGAGACTGGCGGATCGAGGAGGCGCAGCTTGACGCAACCGTTGCCTAGAAGCTCGGATCCTCGTGATCCTGATTCAGCTTGGCCCTGCGCCTATTATTGGCTCCTCTGGAATCCTTCGTGAATCCCACACTGTACTCTCACCCCTTTGCAGTCAATACTTTACCCCTCTTCGCCTCAGGCTTCATGAATTCACAACAAATCCGGCGTGGACAGACTCGTATGTTTCAGAATAGACACAGGAAATACTGATTGATAACATCCACTCATCCACAGCACTCCCTCTCTCTCATTGCCCCCTTATAGATATGTCGGTTGAGCATGTTTTGCGAGAGACAAACAAAGCAACTCTAAATTGGCCTCCATATCTATGACTTCGAGTTGAAGCTGCAGTCTAGCTCCGCCCCTCAGTTTCTGAATCCCCAATGCTTTGTTCCTTTCCAATCCTCGCACCTCCGACCGTGCCGCTTTCCGGTGAAGCTCCGTCTCGCCCCCATATTCGTCCGTATCGGGGCGGTGATACTTATACCTCCGCCCCGACTCCCTATGAAGGCCTTAGCTGGAAAGTAGTGAACCCATTAAATCATTCAATGTGGCCTCTGCTCGCAAAGGGCAGTCGCATGACTCTGACGACCACATTTTGCGAACACGATTTGGATGCTGCTCATCAAAGACTGTGCCAAGGAAATCGTCACCTGTCTGACTCTGAAACAGCCTTACAAGAAGCACCATATTACCGCCCCAAGGGCTAGTTCCACTGCATTGGATCCAATATTATGGCTCAATATATATGCTTCTGTAGGGAAGGGACAAGGAGCATCACTAAACAAAGGGAGTGGATATGAATGTCAAAGCTATTATGATACCACCCCCAGAAAGACCTATCTAAAAGGAAAAAATAATCCCCTCGTGGCCGTCGCCATCGCCGTTCCACACCCTGAACGCTTGTCGTGTACGGAAATGAGCCGACCTCGCCAAAGCCAAGTCCTTCAGAACAAAACCCACCGAAGAGAAATATTCGAATGAAGAATGGGCTAGAGACGCTGGTGGAGAGAGCTTTTGAAGAGGAGATAATACAAGCTAAGGGGGAGTTGTGGTAAAAGTTCCAATTTGCACCAATGCATGCTGGATCTCGACAGTCTGAGAGCAGGAAAGGAGGAGTCGTGATTGGCGTCATGATGACCGTGTCGAGAACCAGACATTAGGTATCGTTATATCCGTGGTCTTCGTGAGTGTACGCGGGTATTGTGTGGAAAGAGTTTTCGCTCAGAGGTCCGGAATATGCAGCTTTAATGGGATTTGGCGATCACGAAAGCCGTTCCAGTGCTTGTCAAGTTTGGCTTAAGAAGCAGGCTCAGGAACTGGTCCACCCTTCTCAGTCACAGGCTCGTGCTTAGGAACCACAGGGAAGTCCCTCTTGACCTCTGGGGAAGCAGAGCGGCCACGATACTGGTTGATGGCATCCTGCGCCTTATGTGTGTACTCGCCTGCGTAGGACTGGAAAGTCTTGGCGGCATTTCCGGTATGCTGGGCGGCCATGTCCTTGATCTGAGTAGCCTGCTGATTCACCATGTGTCCAGCCTGCTCAAGGTGAGCATCGATGACCTTCTTGTTCTTGATGTACACGAGTGGACCAAGATACGCAACGGTGGTGGCGATCAGGGTCAGGCCCCAGAGAGGAACGAATTTAATCAGGAAGTAGGACATCAGCGAGGCGAAGAAGGCCTAAGCATGGAAGTCAGTATGTCATCCTTTAGAGAGGGGATAGAGAGGGAATAGAGTATTGCAGAGTTCAAGCTTACAGAAACGGTTGCATAGACGTTCTCGGCGAAGAGAATCCGCTGGGATTCGATGACGAAGAAGTTGATGAACTGCTCGACATCATCCAAGAGGCGCTCGAGGGAGGCTTTCGGGATGATGAAGTACTTCCGTGGCCGGAACTGGGAGGTGAATCCCCTGCCAAAGGCGAGCTTTCCAGCAATTTCTGCCGTGGCAGTTGCTGTAACCTCTATCAGCATTGTCCCTCCACAACCGAACTGAAGCACACGTACCACCCAGTATCATGTAGATAGCCTTGAAGATGTAGCGAACAACATTGAGGTACCTCGCGGCGAAGATGAAGAGAACCGAAAGCGCAAAGGAAATGGCGGTAGCGCGGGGGTTTTTCCACTTGAATGAATTAGCAGGCATTCATTAGGGGGGCTACATCTCAAACTAACACTAAGCAGACGGTAGAACATGCTATGGTAGTCTGTTCCACATTAGTCCAACTCTAGGCAATAGAGCTTGTGGTTGCGAGGTTGCCTACGTGTTAAGGGCTGACCAGTTGCCGCTGGCTGGTTCGGGGTGGTTCGAGCATTTGCAAGATCAGCAAATTCGCTCTTCGTCTTCGCAGTCTCTGCCTTGACATTCTGTGCAACAGGACCTGGGCATATTAGTGTTATCCTCAGGGATCGGGCGTTGTGGGCACCTGTGTCGCGAGACCACCGTTAGCTCCGAAATTTGCTGCGAGGATGGGGTTGCCTGATGTACATACCTCACCATTCCTGAGATTCTGAGCAGCGGGGTGGTTTGCAACTGAAGCCATTGCGGATTGCGCTGCTTGGAGGTTGTTAGGGTCGGGAAGGGGGATGGTGTGCGAGGTGCAGATAAGACTGTGATGTTATGGCGTTAGGTGCATCTCGGCAAAGGTCGGAGGGGGTGGCATGTCGACGTACCTTACCCTCCAGGAAGCTGGACCCGTTCTGGGCACTCTCCGGATTTGAGCTGCCGTTGGTATAGCTGTCTGCGTTGGAAGGTGCAGATGGGTCCAGGTCTGGCAGGTTGGTGTTGCTGAGCTCGAGATGCGGTGCCTCAGACATGATTTGTTAGAGAATGGGCAAAGGGAGGACTTTCGCAGGGCAGCGCAAGCAGGAAACAAGGACTTTGCAATGATGTCTTCTTGCAGAAAGCTGGGAGCGGGAGCAAAGAAAGTTGTGAGAGGAGTTGGGAGTGTGGCTTGATTGGGGACGGCTTTGTGGGCAAAAGTGTCTCTTGCACTGATGCTCGTGTGCCCTGCCCATCTGCCATTACCTATGACGTTTCACGCTAGCCACAGACAACAAACAAATGATTTCAACCTGCCAACAAAGACTCCACAAAAAAGCCTGCGATGATGCCCTCGAGCGAACATCGGCCTTCACGGGAAGCTCTGTGAGCTTTTTTCCGAAGCCCAGTGGTGGCTGCACCTTTCCACAGCCGTATCCCCAAATCATTCATCGAAACTTCCTTTTTGGTGATCTGCGCCGAAATTGTCACATGTGAAAGCCACCATTCCATGCGAGGTGTCCAGAAATCACGAGGACAAGGCACGATGCCACACTTCTGGAATCCTTCTAGAAGCCTTGCCTTACCTCCCGTCACATTTACCTTATCTGTCATGCAATAGTGGATGCACGAGGAGCTTCGAGAGACTTGAGGCCCATTTAACAGACCAAGCATTGTGATTTGTCCACGGACTATCTGTATTCTATTACGACAACAGTATGTGCATTTGAGCACTCTCATAGACAAGCTTTGTCGCATCCCTAAATTCTCTTCCGAGGAAATTGTGATAAAGTCATAAGACGAAGTCGTTAGAAAATAGTCGGAGAACCTTTACTACAAACCATGCACAAATGGCTTCGTACTCAGCGATTCGGCGAGTATTAGTAACTATACATCTTGGTAGAGAGGCTCACTACGATTAGTCTACCGCATTCGTTCTTTTAATCGTTCCTCTAGGTCAACCTCCTGGATATTGATTTGAAGCCAGCAGAAACATCGAACCCAGGGTCGCGATGAGAAAATCTGGGACGTGGCCGCCTCGAGGAGTAATGCCAGGGTAACGAAAGAGCAGCAACTCACTTTGACACACATCCGATAACGTGTCTTAAATATTTCTCATATTCAATGACCGTTCCAACACCAGCAATGTGAACATAGATTTCGATGGAGCGGCGGACGGGGCGTCGCATAGAGCTCGGAAAATGAGTGGATGGACCGTGGTAGAGACGTGTACGTTCCAAGTACTTGCGTAGTAGAAGCTCATGGTAGAAGTTCACAGTAGAAGTTCATGGTAGATGTTCCACTTCCGTGAGCAACTGGAGAAGAACTGTAAATAGTTGCTCCAGCTGTGCTGGATCGCCACAATTCCGCGCTAGAGACGGTTGGCTCCAAAGCGAACCCGTTCAGACTCAATAAAGTGGACCTGATAAAGGTGTGGCTGAAGCAGATGGTCGTCATCGTCTTCCTTGGTATGTAGCGCCAAATTGCGTTCGTTTAACTATCACTTATTAGTATGCTTACGTATTTCGACATATTCCACATTTGTACTAGTTTCATATTCTACCAAATAAAGCAGCAATTAAGTTCTGCTGATGTGCTCTCGAAGCGGCCGCTTCACCGGACTGATGATGTAGCTGAGTTACCAGCAAAGCCAAGTCAGTATGCCTGGATGATGACCTCTCTTGCCTTGGCCGGCGGGGAACACCTCTTCCATTGCCACTTGATTTCGTCCCCGTTCCCACTCCAGAGAAGTAACCGAATTGAAGCAGCAGTCTAACTTCCTTTTTGGACTTTGCATTCCCCATACCAGGAGTTTCCATGACAGATCTACCCAAGGTCAGAGCCGCCATCGTCGGCGTTATTAGCCTGACTATTCAGATCAAGCACATGGTCTTCGAGCTTGAGCAGGACTGGAAAGATGCGCCAGTAAGTCTAAAGAGCGTTGTGGTCGGGACAGTGATATCTCAAAGCCATCCAAACAGAAACAAACACGAGCATTCTTCTCAACTTAGACTTCGCAAAAGCATTCCAGGGCATATCATTAGTACTGCCATTTGGGCTAGGGTATCGGGCTCAGGTAACATCTGATACCCTTTTTATGCTAGAAACCTGTCAAATCAAGCTTGGATGCCTGAAAGATGACTTAAAGAAGAAAGTTAATAGCCATCTATTCGGCTAGAAACTATATAAGGGCGCTTTGCTGGCTAAAGGGACCTAGGAAACAATTGAAAATTACCACCAGAAATACTAAACAGTAAACAGAATAGTGTAAGTTGATGTAACAATCCTAGGAGCGACGGCCTTCAACGAGGTCAAAGGAGCAAGCAAAAAGCAGCAGGATTACTGCGAGGCTTGAAGCAAAGCTGCCTCAGATATTAAAGATCATGTAGATCACTGGCAAAAGGACCACCAAACTCGCATCATCACCACTTTGGCTCTTATAAATGACGTAGTCCAGTTGCACGAGGGTCATAATAATCGAGATCGTCATGAAAAGCATCAGGCCATTCTAGATTGACTCACCGCACTGGACTATTCTAATCAGCAAAACGACATAATTAGTAGGCAAACAGAAGGGGCGGGGCAATAGCTGCTAGATTCTAAGGAATTCAAAATTGGTCCAGAAGAACGAAGCGGACACTTTCTTTCCCCGGATATTCCGAGGATCTGGCAAAACCCTTACCACATCTATAGTTGCTAATCATCTCCACGTCACATTCTAAAATGACATTACTGTTACTGTTGCATCCCTTCTATTGCAAGTCCATGTATAAACACGTGAGGACACCGACTAAATTTCTTCTACGTCTACTCAATCAGTTGATCTAGGCCCAGCCTTTCCAATCTCTACTAGTAGAATCAAATACAGCCATCTTTCGAAGAAAACTCGAAAGTGCTAAACTTTGTTCTAGTAAACAATTCAACGATTTTCATCCTTGTAGACGCATGACATGAGAGCCAAATCTCTAATAGAGATTGGAAGAAGTTTCTGTTAAAGATCCTCAAACTTCATACTTAGACGGTAGTAAATATCTTGGGAATATCAAGATGAATCCTAGAAGTTGAGAAAGTATTGGGAGGAAGTGTCTCGGTAGAGGCCCGTGCTACTAATGATGATGTATAGAGGTATCTGGAAGCACATATATGAATCCTACTATCATTCGTATCACGCAAAGATGATCTGCAAGAAGAAATCAAGACTAAGATTTCAAAGGCAGTGGATGGATTGTACGTTCTTTCCTCTAACGTCTTACTATATAAACCAACATTTCGTAAGGTTTCCGTTCGCCCAACTCTATGTAGCATCATTAGTTAGGAAGAGATCGCCAAAAACAATGAGAACCTGTATTAAATAAACTGCCGACAGGGTCTAATGTATATGGCCACGCATATAAAGAAGCGATGAAGAGAATTGAAGAATAAGTTGCAGATTCTGAAGAGCTTGCAACGCAAGTACTATTGTGGATTCCCTGTGCTATGAGACGCCTAAAACACGAAATGTTCAATACGCACTTGCTGTCGGAATTGGTAAATTTAAACTTACCTAGGATAATCTTCTGGAAATTGAGGATACGGATAAAGAGAACGATATTGTTTGCTGTCATGGATCCCTCTGAGCTCTATCACAAGCTCGTCTTCATAAGATGTCTGGTACTATGAGAGCGCACTACATTCCGCACGGAGGATAGACCCCCACATTGACACTATCCTTTATCAGCCCTTATTTTACATTCACCATTACAGCTTTCGCGCCCCATCGCATTATGGTATCACAGCTAAGAGCGAAGTTAAGGTGGTGGCGTCTAGCCAGGCGATACTACTTTCTAGGAGTTATCTTTTCAAATACAGCGATCAACGTGTGTCGTGACAACTGAAAAGGGTAGACCTTGTAGCATACTTTAGATTAACAGACACACTTATGGCCTCGCTGAAGTACAGAGCTGATATCGACCCCAAGGACTCTAAGAACGAACGGACGCCGACAGAGGATAGGGTAGTAGTTAAGATGGTGCTAGAGAAGGATTAATACGGCTGCACGCCACAATTATATGCAGTAGGGAGAGGCGTTGGACTGTAGTGAACCTGCTGACTGTCCAAGGTGCCTATATTAAGTCTCAAATAGAGAGCCTGATGACACATTTCAAGCGTCTCCAGACACTGTCCTTTCTTTAGCTAAGCGATTTTGGTCTATTATATTTGCTTCTATAATCTCTTTTACAAAAGGATCCGGGGAGTGAAAGTAGTGTCACTGCAGTAGGCCTAAAATATAATCTACAAATTAATCCCTATTGGTCTATCGTTTCTTAGTAGCAATCTACGAGAGGTAATAATATGCATTGCGAGCTTCTAATGTGAAATACGCTAGGAGAGAAGGCGGTTGACTCAACTTCGACCATACCCTTGTGTAAGCGTCTAGGTTTGGTACGCGAAGAGTTGAGAATGTGGTAGAATATAGGCGACAGCAGCTAGCTTTTGAACTAACAAGAGGGATCCTGTATTTTCTGAAACCCTGGATCCATTAGCTTAGATCCCTCTATTTTCGGAGGCAAACTTAGTAAGGTGTGGTGGTCTCTAAGCTAACCTAACATAATCTATAAGGAAAAGAGTAAGATATGCATCGAAGCAAGGTACCTATGGCAATGCTACCCAGACAAGTGATTTTCCAGGGAACAAGCTCGGATCCGCTGGAGGAAGCGCATGGGTAGTGAACGACACCGTTGTAGGTATGATAACGGCAACCCCAATGGTTTTAGAAGACCAAGACTAAGATAAATCGGGTAGAAGGTTCCTGGATGATAGGGCCAAGTATATATGCCTGACTGGTCAACATAGTCCTCCCAACGCCCGTACAAATTTCGAGACTGCCATAGAGTTTGATTGCCTTTCCGGATAGGAGAGTCCCTAAAAATGTTTTTGGGAGTACCACTCGTTCCAATGTTTGAGGTGTTACAGAAGAACGCACGTTCTTCTTTCTGGCCATGTCGCCAGTCATCAACACCATGTGAATGCCATGCAGGTGATTGCACAGACCGCAAACAGATTTGGGCCCCAAGCACCTGGGAATTGCGACGGCCCTTGCTCAAGTCAGTACATCGAGCAATAGATCAAGAGCCAGCAATCAGAGAGCGGAGTATGCAGGAGAACTTCCCCTCAGCTGGTCAGCTTTGAAATGCTGATTGTCGAATTTATCCGGTGAGCCCTTTGGACGAAGGAGCTAGCATACGCATGAAGAGACAACTGACGCCACACAACTGAACGATGTCCGACTCCCTTTCCGGTTGGTCCTAAATCGGCGAACCACGGTTCTCGTGGATGGCGGGGTTGGTAAGCGCATCACCACCAGGAATGCCCTAGCAGGAAATTATATGAAGAGCCCGAGAACCAGAAACCTTAAGAGGGACCGACTCTGGTGATATCGTAGCCTATTTGGGGAGGAAGAGATATTTGAAATGAACAGTGCTTTAGAATACAACTGTACCCGAGCCAAAAGCGCTGAAGGCAAGGATAGGGCGAACAAATAGTCTCTGCCCAGTGCTCTGCTCTTTCGTTCTCGTAGCACCAATAAATCTCCTGCATGAAGACGATGTGCTGATGGCCCATACGCCCGTATCGGTTTGCGAATACACTATAAGAGCGTATACTCAAGTGGAAAGTGCTGATGGTCCTGCTCCCTCTCTTGTTTCTCGGGAACCGTCTGTTTTCTCGTGCCAGCGCAAATAAAGGCCTATAATAGGGGCACGAATTACTGGAGTGGTTTCCATACTTGTGGGTAAATTCTCCGCTGTGGCTTGATGAGGGCCTTTCTGCAATTTGTCCTTCAAACATGCTCATTCGGTTTCGAGATTCAGGTGCCGGGACATTAAAATAAGGAGGGCTTAGAGACTCATCATGGTGCAGAAGGCGGCCAGCCTCAGAAAGCGGGGCGGCTGAGGTTGGATGGGGGAGGCAGGGATTGCCCATTACTGCGGGACCAGTGGGGGTCCAGCGCCGGCCCTCGCCTTGCAAGGAGAGCGCCGGGGGGAGCGAGATCACGCTTTCAGGTGTGCTGGCAGCAAAGGCACTGGTTGGAGTTGTGATAGCGATTATGTTGGCGCTTAACTGAAACAATTCGTGGTCCGTACCTCATTGCCACCCCCAAAAATCAAAGTCAAATCGGCGAACAGCATCACACATGCCAGTGCACCGCGGCGCGGGACTTGATGGGGTAGAATGGAATCAAAAGCCGTGATCATGCGGTCGTGGTGCTCTTGGGAATTGGAATCTGAAGGCCCAACCAGGGCTTCGCATGAAGAGTGGCTGCGTGTTGGATGCAGCTCGGCCGCTTTGGCCGAGGATGGACGACTTTCAGAGGTGCACCTTTTGATCTTCGCATCCTTGTCAGCTGGACGCGCTGCATGAGGCAGGCTGAAGAAACCAGGCGCTGGGCCCGTTTGCGCATTTGAGTCTTTCACTTCTCCACCGGAGACTGCGCACTCGAGCGCGTGGCAGCGGATATGTTCTTGGAACACAAACAGTTGGCAGTCTCGGATCATCTAGCTCGCGGCTGTCGCTCCACAAAAATTCACGAGCCCAAGACGCTCGGGTGGATTGACAGAAGACGGATGGCTGGTCTTGCCTTCAACCGAGCCTAGGAGACTGGATCGAATGGTGGCGGTGATAACGCCCTCTTTCTGCATCATCCTGCGCGTCTGCGATAAGTGCCGTATCTTGTCCTTGCACGAGGCATATACCTGCGGTGACAGACGCCCTCAGCCTCCTGCTCACCGTCTTGCCCCCCTCTCCCTTTCCCTCAGGCCTCTCCCTCTGCTCATCAACCAACTCTATATTGCTGGCCGGTGCTCTGAAGTCATCGGCCACTCTATCCCGCGCCCTCGGTACCCCCCGCGACGTATGACAGACACAGACATGGTCAAAGCGCTGTCACAGACTCATCGACAATTACCAACCGCTCTGTTTGCATCATCAAACCGCACAGTGAGCACGCGACAACCCAACAGCTCGCCCTCTCCGGAGGTGGGAGTCTGTTAGGTATCTTCAACTACGACATGATTATCCCCCGCACTATCTATCAAGAGTCGCCGCCAGAACGACGCTCGCGCATCTCCAATAACCCGACCCTCCTCTTCAGTTGGTGGTGCACGATCTTCTCTCTCGTTATCATAGGCTTCCGGCTCTCTGGCCGCTACATCAGGAATGAGAGACTCTTCCGGGAGGACAAGATAATGGCATGGAGCATCATTCCGCTAATGGCAAGAATGGGCTTCGTCCATGTGGTCCTCATCTACGGCACCAACAACGTTGACGTTGATGGACTAGATGACCCACTATTGCTTCACCATCGAGAAATTGGATCAAAGATGGTCCTCTGTGCTAGGATATTCTATGCACTCTTGTACGCTCCCCTAATAACTTTGATTTATTTCTTTTCCTCATTGTAAACAGCATCTGGATGGCGAAATTCACCGTCTCCGAATTTCTCAAGCGAATGACGGAACGCTTTTGGAAGAAGGGCTACGAAATGGGCCTACGATTGATTCGCGGCTTTCTGGTGGCCACTTTCATCGCCGTCGTCATAGGGACTTTGGCAGAATGCGATCCTTTTGATCACTACTGGCAGGTCGTCCCGGATGCTGGCCCGAAATGCCGACAAGGCTATGGGCATTTGCTCACCATGGGCGTGACTGATATCATCACCGACGTCCTCCTTGTCTTGTTCCCGATCCCGATTATTATTCGATCTGCCATGCCCTTAAAGCGTAAGCTTTCCCTGATCTCCCTTTTCTCGCTGTCCCTCATCCTCATTGGCATCGCCGGCGCTCGAGTACCTTTGGTTATTAAACGCTTTGGGTTGCAGCAGTTCCGCACTGTATTGGCATCCGTAGAAATTCTTGCTGCGGCCGCAGTTTCTAACGCCATCATTCTTGGCTCCTTCCTTCGTGACCGAGGTATCAAGAAATCGAAGTATAGGTTCGGTTCCGCGACCGACAGCATGGATCGCAGGTCTTCCACTCGTCGGCCAACCTTACAGCCATGGGGAAGTGATGAAGACTTAGCTCGAGATCTGGGTTACCGGCCGAATCCAGAGCTTACACAACAACCCAATAGCGTGCCAAGGCCGGCTCCTGTTGCAGATCTAGACCTCTTGTCGCCTCACGGAAAGCATGTTCCCTTCCCAAACAGCAACTGGGCGTTCCCGAATCGGCAGTCCGGGATTTCACAGGATAGCGAAGAGTCGGATCTAAAAGCAAGGACCCCAGAGGACCCAATGCCTAGCCCGCGAGAATCAAGAGGAGCAGGGGGCAGGCGAGTTTCTTTCTTTGACGTGGGAGGATTGTTGGAGGGAGGTTCGCATTCAAGCACAACCACATCACCCACAGATTCCGTCATCGCTCACGACTTCGCTGCGCCTCCGAGACGTGGATCAAGAGCTTCGAACGGACTGTTCCCCAATGGCCGGGCCCATCCACCATCGGCGCGGCGTTCCTCGCGTTTATCACAACAGTCAGAGGACTATGAAATGACGGTCCGCCCAAGTCAGCAATTACAAGATCCAGGAGGACTGCTCTGCGAGAGCCACGAATTAGCGGTCGAAGAAGATACCTCGTCCCCTACCCCTCCCCAGCGTGCTCCAATCGAACTCACCATTACTGAAACTAGCCCCGGAAGTGTCTCATCACTGCAAGATGCTGGTGGTTTAATCCCTTCTAATATTTTCAAGCATTCTCAATGATACCCACCACCCGTATACTGGCTTTCTTCATTCACTGAGGCACGGTTTCCCGGGTTAGTCTAGCATCTTGGTACTTTTTGTTTTTAGGTTTGCTGGGCTTTGAACTGGATCATTTCATGCATTTTCTGCTTATTTCCTTGGCTCAAGATATCCCCGAAGACCACGGCGTCTACGGTTCTTACGAATGATGCGTCATGATCGATTCTCTTATGGTGTAATTGGGCGACATGCCAGGTTCCAGATCTGATGGCATGGGTTGGATATAATGTTTTTAGCGTTTGAGCCTTACGGCTCTCGATCCGTGTGGTGTGAGAGTTAAGTCTCTTGGGTCCCTGTACAATACTATCTTCTGGGCACTTATGGTTCCCATGTGCTAGGAGCGTCGTGAATGCGATTTAGCGATCTGGAACTTGGAGATGGCTTGATGATTATGATGGAGCTCAAGCCAGGTATATGCAATACAATTCAATAAAATACATCTACAGTTCAAATTCTGCATGTCCAGGAAAATCTGGCAATCTAGTGACACCGGCTGATAGTACAGACCCATATCTGTTCCCAGGCCCTCGGTGACATTGATCGGCACCTCACGTCACCAGTGGTCCTTGCCCCTTAGCCCAATCAGGATTAGCGAGGAGTGATGATCATGCCCAGGATCAAGCTTCTTCACCTCTCTCCCCAACTTCAACACAACCCAGCGTCGTACTCAAAGCAATATCCAATGGCTGGTACAGACGCATCTTCGCTAAACAAGATCATCGCACTAATCCGCAGCGACCTTACTAACTCGCAGGGTGACAAGTCAATACTCGAATGCGGGAGCCCCGCCCTTTACCTTCTCCCACAACACCCAGACATGTGCCTGCAATTGGCTCACCAGAAGTTACTCTGCGTACCATATAAGGACGTGAAGGAATGTTGGCGCCGACTGTATACGGACGCGGCGCTCTGGAAGGTAGTGGCGGTGCTCGAGAAACAAGAGATTTCTGGGGACGGAAGTAAAGAGCTGGAGGGCGCGGGGCAAGAGCTGAAAGAGCAGGATGATTGGATTACAGAGGTTGTGAAGATTATAGATATGGCGCTTATTTTGACGGGCGCACCACTGAGGGAGGATTTGGTCGTGGATGTCTTGGACGCGTTAAAGGGTGTTATTGCGGAGCAAACCGATGGACCTAAACGTCCTTTCAAAAGGCAGAGATTGGACACAGAGCACCCAGCATCTCTAAGAGCATCTGGATACCCGCTGGTGTTTCCTTCTACCATCCGACTTACCCCAAAACTCCGGTTTCCCATTCCCCGCATCAACAATATGAGCCTCGAAGAATTCCAGACTCGCATTTTGAATCCAGAAACCCAGACACCAATCATAATCACCGGCGCCATTGATCACTGGCCGGCTTTAGAAAGTAGGTCATGGAGCAATCCAGCATACCTCCTTTCTCATACCCTCAATGGGCGGCGCCTTGTCCCTGTGGAAATCGGGCGGAGCTATACCGATCATGGCTGGGGGCAAAAGATTCTCAGCTTTGGGGAGTTCATGAGGGACTACATGTTTGATTCAAGATCGGATAACGACAGGAAATCCGGAATCCCAGATGCCCTAACCACTTCCAACACTTCACGACATCCACCTTCAAAATCTTCTCGATCACAAACTGGGTATCTAGCCCAACACGACCTTTTCACTCAAATTCCCTCCCTTCGAAACGATATCTCCATCCCTGATTACTGCTACTGCGAGCCCCCTTCCTCACACCCTCCATATCCATCTCAATCCTCTCCCTCCATGCCAGCGGTCTCTAAACTCGACATCCCTCTCCTAAACGCCTGGTTCGGTCCCAGTGGTACCATATCCCCTCTCCACACTGACCCCTACCACAACATCCTCGCGCAAGTCGTAGGCTTCAAATACGTCAGGCTATACCCACCCGGGCAGACTGAATTTCTTCATCCTCGGGGGCTGGAAGAGAATGGAGTTGATATGAGTAATACTTCTCAAATAGATTTAGATGAAGCTATGCATCTATTTCCTAGGCTGTCACCTTTCCGGAGAGAAGGGGGGGGTGGAAGTCTGACTAATCATGAAGAGTGGGAAATGGGTGAAGGTGAGGAAGGTGAGCAAATTGCCTTCGAAGAGCAATTTCCAGGCTTCCGGAACGCGATATATGTTGAGGGCATGCTGGCGCCAGGAGAATGTCTGTATATCCCAGAGAAATGGTGGCATTACGTGCGGAGCCTGAGCCCGAGTTTCAGTGTTAGCTTTTGGTTCAACTAATAGCGACGCATTTGAGCTTCTGATATCGTTGTAGATTCTCAAGAACCAGAAAACATGGATTTTAGGATAGATTTTCGAAAGCATTAAACGTCTTGATTCCACCGTTCCCGTTTACGTTACGACTCAGCCGCCACAGCCATCTCATTCACATCATCGCCATCCCGCCACTTGAACGGCCCAGAGAAGTTCGTCTCCAGTTCCGTAATGTCATGCAGTCCTACAATGGGAAACAGCCTCCCCTGTACCCCCGAAAAGCTAAACTCCCACCTTTCTCCATTACGCGTAAACCAGCTCGTATTCTTTACGAAGTCGACACCGCAACCCACTGTATCCCCCGGACCGTAGCACTGGTTCCTAGCTTTCTTCTCTATGGCCTCAAGGCTTTTGTACATGCCACCGTCGTCTGAGTGGTATCCCCAAGACTTTGCAGATGGTGCATTCTTGTTCGGCTCCCATCCTGGGAATGTGATCGCTGAGCTGCCTAGGGTGCAAAACCCGATAGCCACTATTGGGGGTTTGTTACTCTGCCAAGACGGCGACTGTGTCTCCTGGGTCGATAGTTCCTTGACCGTTACTTCGAAGTAGTACCGGTCAAGCCCGGCAGGAAGGGGCTTGTCTGTTGAGACACACAGACGTTCCCGCGTAGAATGGGTGATATTGAGTCCGTCTTCGGAAACAACTGTCTTCGAGGGAGGATTCACCCAGCGGGATGGCAGCAGGTTCGCCCACGCGGCTTGCTGCTTGAGATATGCCTCTGTATCGCTCTGTTGAAACTTCTTTGCGAGCTCGAGAGGGCTCCATCCATACTGATCCTGTCGGCTGAGGTCGGCACCATGCCTCCGGAGCTGCTTTAGTAGTCGGGTGCTCCCGTTGATGGCACACACAGCAGCAAGTTCTGCATCTGCGCTTGCAGCTTCGGAGTCCTTCTCGACCAGGAGGGAAACTGTCTCCTCGACGGCGGGATTGTGGCGCAATGCCCAATTCTCATATGCGAGGGCCAACGCCGTCTTGTCTTGTGTGTCCTTCAACTTTACGTCCGCTCCGGCATCAAGGAGGAGGCGTACAGCTTCAAGATGTCCACGCGCTGCCGCGCGGTGGAGAGCCGTCATTCCTTTTTTCACGTCCTGTTGGTCGATTGCAAGATCAGAGATGCACTCATCCGCTTTAGCCGCGTCAACCAACTTCTTAATGATCTCATTAAAGCCATGAGAGGCGGCCTGTCGCAGCGGGGTTCGTTTGCGTACAGTGGGCTTGTTGATCATGGGCAGAGGGACTTTGAGCCGAAGTAACTCATCGAGGATAATATTCGCGGTTTCTTCGGAATCACCCAGGCAGGCGAAGAAGAATGGCGTTCTGTCGTGCTTATCTAGCTTGTTCGGGTTTGCACTGTACTCAAGCAAGACAGATACGCAATCTTTTTCGCCATTCCACGCAGCCTGGTGCAAAGCAGTCCGTCCACGCTTGTTCGCATGATCTATATCTGCGCCCTTCTCTGCTAGGAATCGCAAACATTCTTTGTGGCCGAAAACTGCAGCCTCCTGAAGGGCGGTATCACCGTTATTGTTCTCGTCGTCAATTTCCTCGATGCCTGGTTCGAAGATAATTCTCAGGGACTCGAGCTCTCCCCACATACTTGCTAGCTGCAATGGCCGATAAGAATCGTAGACACTCTCCACATTGACGTCGGCTTTATAGTGCACAAACGCCCTTAAGAGAGGCAGCGGTACCTCGCGCCTCAAAAGTAAAAGGTAGAGAGGCGTTATACCGTCCTTAGTTGCAGCATTGACATCTGCTCCTTTTGAGATCAACAGATCAAGGGCTTCGGGATCCGTCCCTTCGTTAGCAAAGTGATGCAGAGCAGTCCAGCCGCGCTCTTTGCTTTTCAGGGCTGGATCAGCACCGTGCTCGATCATTGAACGCACGCTTTTCAGTGAAGAATCCCCCGAAAGCCATGTATGGAAGGCAGGGCGTGACTCTTCAGTCTCGGCATTGACGTCTCCACCTTTCTCTAGCAGCAGCTCAAGCATCTCGTACCGGTCCGTCGCTCCACAAGCCGCGGCTTGTAAGGCATTGCACTTGCCTGATAACCCATTCGGGTCCTCGCCTTTCTCGTTGATCAAATGCTCCGCCCAGCTTACGAGTCCAAGGTAGGATGCCACGTGAAGTGGCTGGCGTGGCTTCTCGAGATTGAAGGTGTCGTATGAGGGTTTCTGGTATTTCCTCTGCCAGCTGTTGAAGACGCCGCGATTCTCGTAGACGAGCTTGTCGAGCTCTGAAAACAGCTGTGTCCATGAATCACTCTTGGACCTTTCCTCTGGCGTCCACTGATCTTCCGCTCGGCGAAGATGATATGGCCAGTGTTGAATCTCGTATCTCGTAGGCTTGGTCTCAACCCCACCATCGTACATATCATTACCGCCAATGCTTCCTTCACTCTGATCATCATCGCCCATGAAGTCGTCAGAGTCGTACCCATCCTCGTTCTCTTGCAGTTCCTCATTCTCGTGCAGTTCCTCATTTTCCTTTGGCTCTGTACCATTATTGCTTGTCAGTGTTTCTTGTGGTTGCTCCCCTGCCTCGTCAAGCACGGAATCCTCTTTTCTGGGAGTATCCTCCTCTAGTGCATCCTCTCCCTGCGAGGCCGCGTCATCCACAAGTTCAGCTCGTCTCTGGAACAGAGGGTTATTGAGATGACGAAGACAGGTAATGGCCAACTCAAGATGGCCCTCCTTCCCCGAGATGGAAATAGACCTCGACTGTGTAATTTCCGATTGGCATCTTGCACACAGCTCGCCACCTGTGTGTTCCTCTGCGTTTGGGGGCTCTTCCATGCAGTATGGCCAGACTTGTTCAAAGTCAGGTACGACGACCACCCGACTATCTCCGAATTGCGGGAAACTCAAGAAAGGCCCGCTAGCCTCCTTTAATTGTTCCATATCTAGCTGCGAGGGCGGCGGGAACCCTGGCTCAGGATTCTCATCCTGCCTGTTTCCCGAGGAGAACGTCGTATAAACTTTGCTAAAGTCTTCCATGACCACTTCCACCGGGGGCCATACCTCACCGAGAAGAGCCCAAGTGAGGGCGTTTCGAAGAAGCCGAACATAGTTTGGGCCCATTTTCAAAAGCTCTTCGTTATACTTGTCTCTGGTTCCGACCTCGGGAAGCAATTTCAGATGATTCTCGAGCGGCCTCTGTAGTGGTTCGCGCATGAATTTTATTGCCTTTTCCAAATAACCGAAACGGTTACCAGCCTTTTCGAGTATCTTTTCCTTAGCCAATTCTTGCTCTTCAACCGACAACCCAGGCACGTCTCGAAGGGAGGCTGAGAGTTTGAGAACAATATCAGATGCATTGTACTCTCCCACATCCACGCTGCGGGTTTCGCCAACCTCGAACAACCTCGCTGATCCTACCAGTATCCGGAGCTTGATTCCCGATTCCTTCGAAGTGTGGAAAGCCTCCAGGAGTCTGGCAAAATTCTCGGAGAGCTCTTTCTGGCTCTCTGACGACAAGCTGTCGACTGCATCAACCACAACAAGCACGTCGACCTTGATAAGGTCCACCAACTTCTTTAACGTGCTGGCAAACTCTGGAAGATCATCGTCCATGCGGTGATGAGAATCTCTAGTTTGCTTGGACTTCTGGTCTGTCGACTTAGAACTCGACTTCTTTGGGTTTTGAAAGGCCTTGGTGCATAATTCGAGGAGTCTGGCGTCTTGCGATTCATTCTCACGGGCCACGGCGCAGAGCTGGTACAGTAGCGTGTAACAAACACTGCTGGCACTCCTACTAGCGCTACTGGTGCCTATCAAAGAGCTCTCATCGCAGGAAACATGAAGTAGAACTGGCTTAGTCTCCTCGGATTGCTTTTCGAGTCGGCTAACAATTACTGACAACAGAGTCGATTTGCCAGTTCCTACATGTAAGATTAGCTACTATCCTTAAATTCAAAATTGCCAGATATATCATACCTTCGGCACCTGTAATACACAGAAGTTTGGCAGTCTTAGACTGTTGCCATTCGGTGTAGGCCCATATATCGTCAAACACCCACTCACAAGTACCAGGAAACCTCTGTTCCGCGAAAGCTTGGAAGACTCCCCGGGTATCCTTCATGGGCTTCAGGACAGCCTTGATCTTATCAAATTCCTGGATTGCGAGCTCCCAGGGCGATTTCGGCCTTATCCAAGCTTTTACGTCTTTAAGTTCGTCCTTAATGCCGTCGAGTTTCCCATCCATTTTGGCAACAGATTTTTGCAATTCATCCATCCCCGCCATCTGCTCGTCATGGAAACGCTGCAGAGTTGGCTGGAAGGCTTGAATTCGGTCGACTGTCGCGCGAACGTCGCTCATCACTTCCTTCATACCGTCTAAGTTTTCTAATGACCTCTCCTGGAAGGCCGCATCAGATCCCTCGAGAATCTTCTTCTTCAGCGTGGCAATGGCTGCGAGTTTCCCCTCAAACTTCCCCTTCTGAACTCCGAAGAAGTCTTTAAAGCCATGGCGGATCCGGTCCACAACTCCTCCCTTCAGATGTCTCTTGATGGTCAACGAGAAGTCCAGCACGGCCACATATGCTTCGATGATATCGTTGAAGAGTTTTTCCACCACCGGACTCGGCTTCCAACCCCCCTTGTCCCTCTCGTCATACAAGCGGTCATAGGTTGGAATGAGAATCATAATCTCGCTGATATCACTCAGTCCAGTACCGAAGAAATTATACAGCTCGTAGTTATTCTGTATCGCCGACAGTGTCAATCTCACCGCCATCCATGCCAAACCCACACTTTCCGGCGCGCCCGTCGTCGCGTAGTTGCCCACCTCGATAAATGTCCCAATATTGCCGAGAATATTGGAGATCCATTCTTGCGGGATTTTAGTGTCGCCGACGCTGCGGCTACTGCCGTACTTGCTTCCGGCTTCGACTTGGAGAGTTTCGGCAGCCTTTTTGGCGTCTTCCGGTGTGCCCTTTTCTCTGAGGAAGTCGTAGAGGATAGCGCGGTCCTTGGTATCGGTGTATTTGGCTTCGGCGGTGGTTTTGAAGCGGGCGAGTGCTGAATTGTAGAGCTTGGATTGCGTCATGATGTCTAGCTATGTTCGCATTACTTGTCGGGTCGTGCGTATCGTGTGTGTTGTAAACAGATTTCACAATGTTAAGTCAGATGCTGTACAAGTACCATAGACTGTATGTGTATCCAAAAGCTTTGCTCTCTGTCTTCCATGTCAAGCTCAAGAACGAGATCTTCTGGACCAGAAATCCAGGTGGCTCGAGAGGTATTAATACATCTTCCCCTGAGCCAATGCACCCAGAATCATGAAGACAGGATGGCGTCAATATAACTCACCTATCCCATCGCACGAATCTAGTAGTCTTTTCCGCATATGCATCGCATGCAGGGTGCTCATCAGGCATCAAGATCGGTGAAAGTGGTCTTATTAAACTCGCTACTCGCCTAACAGCACACAAACACTTGTAACTAGCGTGATCGAAGGCGTTTTGGCCCCCGAAGCGTTGCACACTGCAAGCCAGCATGCCTGGTTTAGGAATTTGCTGTTTGGGCAGGATGCCTGCATGCTGCAGCTCAGCTGTTTTGCGAGCTGACACTGGTTTGGGGGCCGAATATAGGATATTTCGCAAGTAATTAGATGATAGAGGCAGTCTAAAGAACCAGGCCTTCAAGAATTGCGATTTGACGATAAGAAAAGGAAAGTCTAGAAAACTTCAGCTCAGACGATGAGGAGATCAAGTTCGGTTGGAATCTCGATAATCTTCTGAGGGAGGAGGGCAAAAAGAGGACATAGAAAGGATTCTAGATTCTGTTGCACATCGCGTCTTGGTTGTGGTCGGTCGCGAGGGACGAGTAATAATTAGCCAACTCTGGGTGGGTCAGATCTACTAGTTCTTGGAAACTGCGAAGAGGGAAAATCTAAAGAATGGAAGCCACAAAGCTCCATAATAAGGTCGTGTCCCGGTTTAGCTTTTCCCTCCATGCTGAAATGCTAGCCGTCGAAAACTAACAAACCAACCAGCTGAGTTTATCATGACTAATCTTTATCCAAGGTCGTTGATAGGCCACGCCTGCGTGAATCCGAAAGTCACCCTCCCTCCCGATCTATTCAATCATGAGTCGTCTACATTCCTATATCATAATACCATTGTCATATCGTACAGAAACCCACACTGTCAATGAACTCTGGCTAGCTACTGGCAATCTGGTCGGAGATCACCGTGATCCGGCCCTGATGCTATTCCTAACCCAATACCCAATGTTAATAAACCTTACATACCCCCACCCGTTCCCCCAGGCCCAAAGAAGAACCCATCGAAAAGATCATATCCATTGCCATCGCTCCAATCGTGCGTGCCATCGCCAAAGCCCATGCCGAAGCCCAGATCCTGCAACCCGCCTGCTGCATCCCCTGTGGCGTTCACGCTGTTCCCCTGCACGGGGAACGTGTCGAGGAAGTCAAGATCTGAGAAGCCGAGCTCGGGGTAAGTGGACGAGATATTTTGCGCGAAAGTGTTGTAGGGGAGGGTGTTGGAGATTTGGTAGGGTGAGGTAGGAGGTGGTTGAGAGTGTGACGGAGACAACACTGGAGCCTGGGACATACCGGATACAAGCGGGAGGTTTTGCTGCTGTTGCTGCGGGGAGGGAAAGGCTTGTGGGGGTCGGAGGTTAGGGTCGAAATTGAAGCTCTGTTGATGACTCCGCAATTGAGGAGATATCTTCAACGCATCTGTGTTGAAAGCTTGCATCTGCTGCGGCTCCTGTTTGATTGGCTGGGGGGGCGGTGGAGGTCGCATGCTCGAGATTTGATTCGATATACGGCTGAAAGATCGCTTGTCCGTCTCGTCTTCGGAGAATAAATCGCGCAGATTCATGTCGAATCTCGGGATCGGTTTTCTGGTTTGCTGGAAGTAGTTGTTGGGAGGGAACCCTGTCAGTTCAGTGTCCGACCTTGCGTCGGCATCTGAAGCGGACGTGTAGGTGGTACTTGGAGAGTGGGATGTCTGGGCCGCGGCCATCGACTGTGGGATGGAGCGGAGGGCCTGAGGCCCAAAACCCGTCGTCGACATACACATCTGAATGGTTGCTTTGCTCATGCGGTCAAAGGCGTCACGGCATGCTTCTGCAGGGGGGCACTTTTCAATTAGGTCGCCGAGCACAGATGTTGCTGCTAAAACGGTAAAGTCGACGTCGTCGAGTGACTACCAAGGTCAGATCTTCATACGAAACCAAGATACGAGCGGGTGGCACAAAGCTGTGACTTGAAAAAGCGAGATAACACTTACTAAGTGACTTCGTACTATGGGTGAATGCCACACAGCATAGAGGAACGATATTCCTAAGGGGGTCAGCTTTGCCTTGTGCCAGATGGGTAGTGGCTGCAGAAGTTACCGGCCATAAAGAGATGATGCGTCGCTAGGAAGGTGTAATTGACTAGGTGTACGCGGTGCAACTGCCGATAGAGTTTCAAAACTTTCTGCCCAGCCTCGGCGACTTTGAGGAAAACTAGCTCTTCGTCTTCTCTTTCTTCAACATTTATCACGGAGGGACTTCCGACGCTGCCGTCTGTTGTTCCTAGCTCCCCCGCCAGCCCAGACGGAACTACGAGACTTTGCCGATATAGCATGATTATGGCCTGCCAATAGTTGAGTTCAAGGAACAGGGGAGAGAATTGCACGCCAGCATCTGATTGCGTAGGAGCTGAGTCTCTCCACTCGAGCAGCCGTCTGTCAATGTCGAGGCGCCATGAGCGGAAGGATTCGAAGTTGACGAGGAAAGGTGACGGAAGCTTCGTATGCATGTAGTCATTACCCTGATTGGCGCCACTTGCTCTTGCTTGCTGAGCCTGGCGATGCTGAAGAACTTGCAGAATCTCAGATTGCAGAAGTCTGAGCCGGAAATAGTGATGTGCTACCACTTTGTAGCTCGGCTTTTCCTGATGTGCTAGTGGCTCCAAAAATCCCTCTTTCGTGATAAATCGGTCGTCGAGCGTCGAAGGAAACTCTGTCGTCACAACCTGATCGGTGATACCAAAAGGTCTCCCCACGCAAGTGCTGACAAGTCTATCAAGCGAGTAAACGCACCACCATAATCGTCGACGAAGATCTCGAACCCACTCCCTTCGGCCCCTTTCCTTTGCGTCGACCTTGCTATTGTTTGCTACTGCTGAGTTGTTCCCTTGTTCTTTTTGCTCCGGCCTCCCACTTATTTGATCTTCCGATCCCGAATCAATCCCCACTCCATCCTCGTAGTGTAACCCAAGATCAACTCCTAACCGAACAGCAACACCAACGATGTACCACAGTCCGGGAGCAACGGGTCTCAGCAGCGCGAACCCTGCCAGCAGCAAAACAGCCTGCAGCTCTTCTAGTCCGCCTCCAAAGCCGTCGGGGCGGTCTGCAGCGGGAGTGGACCCAAGAAAATTCTCGAGGTGGACAATTGCAGACGCATGATATTCCTCTGGTTGGTGCTGCTGCCCTGCAAGGCGCCGCTTCTTGTTGCTTGGTGGAGATGGCCTCGTCTTGGTAGGAGACCCAGAATTGTCCGATGTCGGAGAATCGCCAGTGTCGGAGCTTCCCATGATGATACCAGCTCCAATGGCAAAGACGATGTTCAGCATGTAGGACTCTCGGGAGGTCCTGTTTCGCTCGCCTGCGGCAAAGACGCGCTCAAACATCTCCATGAACTCGCCACGATGCAGAATCGGTATCTGCGGGTTCGCATGCTCAAAGTACAACTCGACGAGACGTGACGCGAGCTCGCGGTCGGGGAAGGGTGCTTGTCGAATAGCAGGCTTTGTGTGCAGGCCAAAAAAACTATCCCTCATGGAAGTGCCGCCATCCGCAACAATGCCCGGCAGCGTCTTCGTTCCCCGGGTGCTGCCGCGCTCTGAGGACGAGCCTGAGACTGAACTCTTGACAGCCGCGAACACGACCCTCGCGAAGGATATGCCCGAGGTAGAGCCTAGGAACCGGGGGTCGCTGGCACCTTGGACCGAGACCATGCCTATGTTTGAAACAAGTTTGGTAAGTTTCTCTCTGTCATACTTCTCGCTCTCTTCCTTGGAAAGGCCGGCGGCCTGTTTGGCGGTACCATTGCGGTTCTGCGCAGGCCCGCCAGATGGAGGTACGGCCTTGGGCACTGTAGAGCCATTGGTAGACTGGAAGGTTGGCGTGAAGTGGTCGGCCGGAGCAAACGTGATTGAACTTTCTTGCAGCAGTGATTCAAGGTACGCTACGCGCGTTTCGAGGTAGAAGACGTAACTGGGGCCGAGTCAGTAGCTGAGGCCAGAGTGTCCGAGGTCACGTCCATGGGCGATGAACGATGTATCGGAGAGCAGGAGCGACCCACCTGCGAGGAATCTCCCTCTTGGTGATCGGATCATAGCCAACACACTTGACACTGGCCTTATCACAGGACGCGCACGAGGGCAGTCGCTGGTCGCAGCGATTCTTCCGGAGGCGACAGCGATTGCAGGCCGAGACATTGCGGAACGATGATGCGGACGAGTTGGACGTGGACGAGGCAGTTGGCGACGCAGGCTTCACGTGCGAGACGTCCTGGGGAGAGCTACCGTCTCCATCGTGCGAGGACTCCTCTAGGGAGCGCTTTAGTCCGGTCATCGAGGCGCATGGCAGGATGACGGGCGGTCAGGGCATGTGTACGCAGAAGCACAGCTCAGGCAAGTGACGAAAGTTGGCCCCGCACGACTCTCCAGGGCTGAGGGCAGTAAGCGACGACGGGGGGGTGAATGAGGCGTGGAGGAGCAGCAACAGGTGGCGGGCGTTCTCCCGCCATGTCCATCCAAAAAAGCAACGAGAGGCAGCTTGCTTGGGGGGGAGGGACTAGCGACCATAGCTTGATCTCTTATCAAGACCAGATAGTTACCGCCGCGCTGTCCGGCACTTGGGCAGGTCATGTGCTCTGCCCAGGTGCTGTGCCGTCTGCGCGCTTTTATCCGTCATCATCAAGCAATTCTCAGTGCAGGTGGGCGATGTGATGAATTGTCGCCTGCACAGCTGGTCGGGATTACACTGTGTATATGTACATATTTCCCGCATCCTTCTCGGGACCGCATTCTACGAGGTGGACGGGCCGCTCCTGACTCGTTTTCATCACACTCACCTCACCCACATCACGCTCACCGATCAGAGCAGCATGATAATATGTCTGGAGGGCACAGCAGTTTCGAAGGTCTTTGAGTGGACAACCTGGAGCGTTGGCGGAGAACGTGGAGGAGGCCAACCAGATGGGGAACAGTGATCAGCACCAATAAATCTAATGGCACAGTACGTTTCAGTAGAAGATCAAAGCTCGGGTTTCAGTATTAAATCAACTATGTATCGCATGAGCAGAACTATTCTACGGCGCTTCAAACGCACTCGGGGTATTATTCTTTTGACCAACGCCAATTTGCCATACCGCTTGTAGCCTCACTTTTGTCCGAGCACCGCCTCTAAAAGATGTTGCCCCCAAAAAAAGCCGCCCATAAACATGATGCACATGAATCCTTCGCCCGGCGAAATGCTAAGCCTTACAGTTCGTTTGCATCGAACCATGTCTATATTCCCATTCCGATGGGTGACGCCAAATAAACTCCAAAGTTCGTGTCGCCGCACCTTGTCATAGGCTCGTTCGTTCCTGAAACAGTCTGGAAGCCGAAATCCTTCGACGCCATCGTCCACCTCCTGTCGTGTCTCATTTTGAGAGCACCGTCTCGACTGTCTCATCTGGGGTGAGCGTGATGATCGAGTCCACGTCCGAGTCAGTGTTAATCTGGGCTCCACCAAGGCCGACTTCTTCGTCTACGTCCTCTTCAATATTACAGAACCCCGGCCGTCTCCGCTCTTCTTTCATAAAGAAGCCCGGGATCCATCCTATCGCGGCAATTCCAGCGCACGTCCACCAGGCTAGCCCCGATACCCCAAGGTTGTCGCCAAACGTGTCAACTGCGCCTGATACAGTGGGACCAAAGCCGCGACAAACGCTGGCGGAGGAGGCTGCCGCACCGTTCAATAGGCCCAAAACCTTTTTCGATGGGGCGGCGTTTGCAAGCATGATAGCAAGCGAGGGGTAGGAGAGCGACTGCGCAGTAACTTTCCACACAAGTAATAGAATGATACCGGGGATGCGGAAGTGCTCCGGTAGCAGGGCCAGGTATGGAGCGAGGAAGTAGAGGAATGGATATGTGGCTATTGTTAGCCAGAAAGTGCGGAGGCTACCTAGTTTCTTGCTGAGCCAAGGAAATACGATGAGTTGTGCGAATAACTGCAGGACGCCCTGGATCGATAGAATGACGCCAATTGTTCGCGGAGAAAATTCAAAACCGCCCTTGAACACAAAGGGAAGGTGCGGCTTCTCCTCTGAATGGTCACGCGACATCAGGATTGGCAGCAATTGCTCGAGCGATATAGTGTGGCTATATTTAGGATTAGAGACAAGTTCAGAAGGGGCTGACACAACCTACAAAGCCAGAATGCCATAGCATATAATGTTTAAGCAGACCTGCTTAGTGAACGCTTTGCGTATGTTCAGTGCTGGTCGTGGCTCTTTCTCCAATGCAAGCAACGGAGGTTCAGTGATGGAAGAGCGAGAGCTACAAAGTGTTGGGGACCTGCAAGTGCTTCTGTAAGGTTGTCCGTCATGACACTCCAACATAGAGCTCATTTCATCAAAAGACCCGTCTTTATCGTTGAGAGGGATGTACTCCTCCCCCGGCCAAAATCTTTGAAGTATCCATTGACCAATCTCGCGGCCACGATCTCGCTCGTGTTTCTTGTCTTCATGTGTTTCCTCAAGGAATAGGATTCCAATTGTGAGACCAAAGACAACGACCACGGTGCACACCAAATTTGGGAGCAGGTATGGGTACGACTCGAAAATCGTATTTTTGAACAGGGACGGGCAATTCGTGGCAGGCTGTGCAAGTAAACCGCCGAGGCTCGCACCGATGATCGTGCTACAGTGAAGTGATTTAGTAGGATCCTAAACCGCTTTGTACGAGAGAAGACATACCCAAGGCACCATACGGAAGGTATGATTGAATAGGCGCGAGCTATAGAGTCAGATTCCGCCTTCCGTAATTCATTCGTGTCAAAGCTTACGTTGGTGTTTCTCGACCGTCACTAGTTCAGCTACGGTGGTTTGAAGGACGCCGATGTTCCTGCGTTGGGTCTTAGCGAGGTTTTTCACACTAAAATTGCACGAATGACCTCACCCATTCAATAATCCTCCAAGCGCCCGGGCAATCAGCGCGGTGGCCAGATTGCTCGCAAATCCGAAGAGTAACATGCTCAGCCCAGTGCCGAACAGGCCACCCAGCAAGACCTTCTTTCGTCCAATCCTATCGCTCAGGCGTCCCCAAAAAACACCGCTTGCACATTCGGCAAATGCAAACGCCGAAGTCACCATGCCCACGTACATGGAAATCTGCGCCTTGCCTTCTGCAATATGAAATGATTCTACCATGTAGTATGCATAGGGGAAGATGGACATAAAAGCAATTGGCTCGCATATACGACAGAGGGCTACAAGGCGGAAATATCAGTACAGGAAGTTGAGCAGAGACAATCTGGAAGGCTTGTATCTCACCTAGTATGGCCATCTGCCTGGCCGGGAAAGGAGTCTTGTCTCTCATGAGGGCAGATGCCCCACGGTCACGAGCCATTGGTGGAGGATGGGGGCAGTGACAGATGGTAGAGAAGGAGAGAAACACTTGAAAGGTTAGAGGAGAGAAGGGTTTGAAAAGGATAAATGGTGCAGAGGTAGATAGTACATGTGCCAATTCACGTCAGAACGGGCTACTACCTCTAGGGTTTTAAGGGGAATTCGGTTTGATATTGACGCGAGCGTCACAAGATATATAAGGAAGAGCAAGATTTAAGTGGCGTCCTGAAAGCGGATGGTCTGGTGCGATGACAAGGATGGTAGCGGCGGGGAGGAAACGGAGAAGCAGGCGGTGATTGCTGTGGATATGGATACGTAGTAGTGAGCGGATAGGCACAGCGGAAGTGCCAGCGAATGTAATTGGAAGGGGCTCTCGATGCCATTGCATCGTCAGAACAGGCATGATTATGTCGATAAGCGACAAGCAATGCTGTGCTGGCGCCCGAATCATAAACGTTACATGTCACTTGTGACTCCAGGGCGAGCCGGATATGAAGGACAGCATGTGTGCCCACTGCCCAAGAGAATGAATTCGAAAGATGGTGGCTGCAGCCCCTGAGCGTGGGCTGTAGAAGCTTTGGAGCACATTGGCCTAGGGCCGGCTTGAGCGGAAACCATAGCATTGGGCGCCCTAGAGACAGCCGAGTAAGGCGGGTCCAGCATGGGAGACGTTGTGCCCGTGTCTGCCATGACTTGGAGCTCGCAAAGACGATCACCGCGCACGTCCCGGCAAAAGCATGTGGGCTTGCCCTAGTGCTGCAGCCTAGCACTGTGTCCGCATCCGCGGGTTTGGCCATTAAACCTGACTACCGGGGCTCCCTTGCCGAGCCTCAGCAGCGTGAACGTCGTGCCGGCCGTCACTCGCCGGTCTGAAGCCGTAAACGCTGCCGGAAGCCCTTCCAGCTTCCCCGGGGGGCAAACCACGCCCTCATCCGGTCCGGAAGTACCATTTGCTCTCGACCTCATGAGCCTGTTCAGGGGGAGCAGCAGGATGATCGAACGCTTCACAGCTCGGCGAGTCAGGATTCAATGGAATCGGCAAATTCTTCTGGGAAACGCACTGCTGGCGAATCAGCGGGGTCCATCTAGACCACATTATCCGTCATTGAGGTTGGAAGCATGGCAGCATCAAACAGCCGCAATAACTCCGAGCGCATCTCCAAAATGGCGGTGAATATTAATGGGCAGGGCAACCGCCCCGTGCATGTACATATGCCGCGCAGTTGTAAGAAGACGACACCAAGGTTCGGCTCGCAGCAATGCGCTTTTACATCTGCGGGCGATGCCTGACGAATTCGCTGAGTAGTAAGAGTGTTACAGACTCTGAATGGTCACCGACGCCGTCTCCAGCGGCCCAGGGCGCGACTCGCGAGCTCCATCAGCCGGAGTGTAGGATGATGCAAGTCGTTTCGTGTCCTCTCACTCCTGCTCCCTGCGCGCTCCACGCCTGGGCTGGGGGGAGGGTAATATTAGACTTCTCCACGTACTACTCTCCCGGCTTGTCCAATGTCAGCGAATCCGCAGCTCCAACACGACCTTGTCATGGGCTCCAAACCTGGCACTGAGTCTCGAGGCGCCCAAAGAGGATATGGCGGCATCCTCGCGCCTCGGGCGAGTCCTGCGGACAGAAAATCCAGCTCTCGTCCCTGTCATCAGTCATCAGCAGCCCAACGACTATCAGCTGACGCTCTTCCGGTTCCGTCGCGTGTCGCCCGCTGAGCTGTTGCAGGACGGCGTGGATGAGAGTTTGCCAGTTGCGCGGCGCTGAGCAGAAAACGGCAAGCATGGCGGCCGTTTCGACGCACATTGGCACAGGTGGAGCAGGATGCGTTGCGGCGGTGAAGCACAGTCGACATAAGGCTGGGGCGGGCAGTAATTGGTCAGGATGTGGCTTGCATTTCCCACGCGAGATTGACAAGATGAGCAGGGGTTAGGAGAAGCTCTTGAGACATCCATCCTTCTTAGTGGCTTCTGGACTCGAAACTGCGACGCCAGGCCAGCGGTCCTGCCAGTCTGATTGCTCAATTGAATGCTCCGATAGGAGACGCGTTGCACTACTGCGGGTCTGCGCTCGCTTTGGCTCGCCTCGCCTGCGCGCGCAGTCTCCGAGAAAGGCTGTGCAAGCGGACGCTGGGCACTGGCACTGGGCCCGGGGGTTTCTCAGAAGAAGCAACCCCTGGCCTGTCGACCGACTTCGAGGATGTGAGATGGGGTTGCAGAAACGAATTGCCCGCGTTGGAGTGCACGCAGGTGACCTCAGACGGCTGACCCGGCATTATGGTTCAGATTCTCCGATGCATCTTCTGCTCACCTCAATTCGAACGTCACACCTTTACGTCCACGTGAAGTGCGCCCTCCGCGCCTCCGCGCCGTCCTCCGCGCCGAGCATGTTGTCAGGATGCCTGTTTCATCGTGACTGGAGCCAGCGCATTTCAATTTTCTGGATGTTGCACCGCAGCGAGCTAGACGGCATTGTGAGTTCTCGCAGCAAAATCGCAACAGAAGCCTGTCCTGCACCTCGCCTCTATGAATCCCGTCAGCATGGAATATGTATCTGATCGGTACGGGCTGAGCATCACAACAGACGCGATAATAATCAGATCAGAGGTAGCGAATCCTTGCCATAAGCGAGAGAGACCAACACTCTGTCTGTACAATAGATATTTTCACTTGTCAGACCGCACTTAATGCGCAAGCGTGCCTCCAGCCGCAATTGCACGATAGCCAGGCCACGAAGGAGCCTCTTTGCGATGACGGATAAGTACTTTGCTGACCAGCTTCTGCGGGTGGCCTTGCTGCGGCAGAACCTGATCCCGGGGAGCAGCGCTGCAAACAGGCGGGCGTCACCAGTAAAGAGCGGTTCGGATCGACTTTGATCGATTCTTGTCGTGTTACACAGGATTTCTGCATGTGACAAGAAAGCCCAGGTCAATAAGTGCGGATCTCCGAATCGCGTCGTCCTCCAGCTGTCCTTCTCACCACTGCCATGTTGCCACGTCGTTAAATATCAGGCTTCCAGGCATTCCGATTGTTTCCCGTATCTTCTCACCTCAGATAATTCCGGTGGCGTTGTGGTGTTGTGGGGTAAAGGACCATGGCGGTGCATCCTGCGTCATATATATGGCGACCGAAGATGGCTTAGCGCAAGTCCTGAAACAGATGAGCTCTCTTCGTGACATCCATCGCGAGGTCCTCCATCCGTGTCTACAGATCGCCAACACCCACAATATGCCTCTTCCCAGTCCTTCTCCGACCCTCCTGTCATTTCGCAAGCAACACCTGCTCGTCGAATTGTAGGTCGCGGCGCGCAGACTTGACATTCCAGTCTAACACTGGGCAGCTCCAGCCTCCACGCTGCACAGCTCGAGGGCGTTTTCGTGACCATCACGCCGGGAGACCCTACGCTGTGGGTGGGAGTCATGTTCGTACGAAAAGGTACTTGTCTTCTTTAGCAGATTGCTTGGAGGAGACGTTTCCCGCGGGATGCGGGTTAGTCTTGCGGCTCAACGCTTCCACTACAACCCACCAGGATCAAGCTACAGTGTCCACATTGCCCAAATGTTCACACTACAACAGGTCCCTACGCTCCTGCGGTTCTGCGTTTCCAAATATCCTTCCCGCCCAGCTATCCTACACTGCCTCCGCTAGTGACTTTCTCCACCGATGTCTTTCATCCGCTTCTCACGCCACTCACCACCTACACGTACACCACTGGATCGTCGGATACGGACACGGTCAGTGCGACCGATGAGGAGAGGTTACCACCCGGAGGATTTAGCCTTCATCACGGCTTCCCACAGTGGTTCGGGCGTGCTCGGAAGTCTGCAGTGAGTTCTCGTAATGCTAGCGGATCTGGTGTGGGCAGCCCCGCCCGCAGCCACACGCCCGTCCCCGCCGAATCCAAGGAGTTGCCAACGAGTGCTGCAGAGCTTCACTCGATTGCCGCTGCACCCGAGAAAGAAGTATCCATTACCAGAGTGCTGGAGTACATGCGTTCGACCTTTTGCGACGAAATGGTTCTAGACTCAATACCGCCAGAAGCTGCAGCGAACCCAGGCGCATTTCATGCATGGCGGACGTACCGTGCAGCAATCCTACAACCTCATCGCTCGCCATCGCCGAACTCTCCCACTTTAGACTCCCAAATCAGCACTACGGCCGGGGCACCCGACAGTTCTACGTTAGGGAGGAATCGTCGGCCCGGAGCATGGAATTGGGAAGGAGTTTGGGAAGAGCGTGTCAGGAAAGCTGTCAGGGCGAGCCTGTCAGAACCCGTACTGTTTGGTGGCAGCACGGCAGGAGATGAGATGGTATGCTTTGATTGCTCGCTCTCCACGAAACGTAGTACTAATAGTGGTAAGATTCGGTTTCGTGATGCAGATGACGAGAACATGGAGAGAATGAAGAGACACTTGGAGTCGGTGATTGCGAGAGCTGCTGAGACATAGCGTACGGTCAAACGTGCAGGATGTTCAAAAGCGTGATACTATGATACCCTGAAACTTTCCACTTGGAATGGGAAACCCAGGCAAATGCTGGCATTTGACTTTTAAGGACTTTCCAGAGTCTTAAATAAGTAGTTACGGCTTTCCGAGTGAAGGACTAGCAATATTTAGAGAAAGCATTCCTCGGACAACTTGCAGGAGCGCCCGAGTGAGAGGTCTAACGGATTCTTTTGCTTATTCCAACGTTTCTGTCTCCTTGCGCTGATTTCAATGCACCATCCCGTCCGAAATCCATTATCCCCAGTCCGCATTGCACAACCATTGATACCCGCAAGCATTGGAGGAGCGTACCTCTCAGCCTCTTCAGCGTTAAGCATCTACAACACTCAACGCATCGTCTTAAGTTTATCGTCACCGTGGCCCTTCTTCAATTCCACTCCACGGCTTTGCGCTCGTCCTCCATCCTGGAAAGGAGGCAACTCTCGCATACAAGTGCATTTACCTGGCGTCCAGTCATGGCTTGGACGACGAATGGTGTCACACTAAGTCATCACACTTCTCTAATCCCTTCACCTCTTAGGATTAGGAAAAGGCACCAGCGTGCGGTTTTAAATCGCCGCCGCGCAGAGCGGACTTCTTCTGTCGAAAGTATCAGGTTCGCCGTCGCTCAAGCGCTCGAAGATATCTCAAGTACCGGTTGGGATACCTCTCCGGATAGCTTGCTCGAACTCACTTTCCAGCAACAGTCCGTCCCAAGTGGAGCCGGCTTTTCATGGGATCTGCACACTCTCCCACTTAGTCGCACGCCCAGCTTTGAACCATTGAGAATTCGAAAAACTCGCTGCAGCCAGTCGACCATGTCTGGATCATCAGCCAGAGATGCTTGGGCGTCGGGTTCAAGAACGACAAGCCAAAGCACATCTATGTCGCAGGGACTTGGCCCAGCCTTTCATTATAAGTATATTCCGACCTCGGGGGGCGCGAACCAGAGTTTATCCAGCTCGCAAGATACCGGCTCGAACTTTGAACCGAGTCCACTCCCATCATCCGCAGCTACCAGACAACGACAACCCTCTTCCCAGGATCTTGAATCCAACCTCAGACCAACCTCATTCTGGCCATCTCGAGTAATGAGTCAAAACGGATTGAAACGAGATGGTCTTAGTTCAAGCGTGGGTCGATACTTCGGCTCGTCTTTCGGCTCACCCCATACTCGTCCATCGACACCGGAACTGAGTGAATCGCCTGTGACGTGGAGCCGCGTGGATAGACGACATGATAGCTCAACCACATTGGAGAGCTCTGCCGCAAAGCTCGCCCTTGAAGAGATTCGAGAAGAGATTGAAAGGGAAATTGTTCTTCAGGGGACTCCCAAGCAAGTAAAGCGTCAACCCTCACGCATGAGCATCTTCAGGCATCGCTGTTCGCGAACACACGACACAGAACCGCCGAAACGAGTCGTATCGGAGGGTGTTGCCACTAATCGATTACCCGCACGACGGCGCCCGTCGATCTTCCAACGGCGAGGACGAGACCCCCAAGCCCATCCGGATAAGGTATTCGCATCTGATCAACCATCAACCGAAACATTCACAATCGGTGCTTCAGCTGCAACTCTCACGATGGGTAGTTCAGGGGGGACCTTCGCGAGCTGCAATGAGGCGTGAGTTGGCTATATATCAAGCGACGCTTGAAACTCTCGTCTCCTCTCAAGCGACTATACAATGGCGTTTCCTAACAGTGATGTAGATCGAGAACAACACCGACGGCCTCCGTAGTCTCCTCAACCCTAGACAATTCATGCAGTCATTTTAAACTCCAGCAACCAGAGAAGAAAGTCCCTACCGCCGAAGCAACCCACCTGCCGTCTACCACTAGCCTTGAGGTAAGGATATTCCCTGATGTTGATATACTGCAAATCAAAGGCAATACTGCATCGTTCAAGATTGCAGTCGAGATTGAAGCTGTTCTTCATAATCCACATGTCCTTCCCTATGATGGAATTGATATTATATTTGTAATCGACAATGCGTAAGTCTTTATACGGTATTTCAGATAAACGATAGTAGGGCTGACTTACATCGAGTTACTATGTTTCTGAATCTTGCCTTCAACAAGCGAAAATGACCATGCTAGGAGCTTTGAAACATACACGCCATACAGACCAGATCGGACTGTTTACGACGCATAAAACCAACTCTCAAGATAAAGAGGCATTTTTTCCCAATGAGCTTTATCCGCTTCAACCTGTCAAAGAATCTGTCCTCCGCGACAAGCTCAAGGAGATTCAATTCTATGAACGTTCGCGACCGGAGGGAACCCTTCATAGAACGCTCTCTTCTATTGTAAAGGCCCACAAGAACCCAGGTAGGGGTCGAAGACATATCATTCTCCTATCTCCAGGTTCGGCTACCTGCGATAAGTTGTTCAAAACATATCAGCATTTCCGCTTCCACCACCTTAATCCAGCAATGCGAGCGTTCAACACCGGCGGTTCTCGGGAGAGCGCCATGTGTGGCAGAGCGTGCGACCATGCCATCGCTTCGCTCTTTAACAACGCTCGTCACCATGATCCAGTCGACGAGCTTTCGAATGTGACTATTAATCTCGCCCCGCTCGGCGGCTGTCGCATCAAGGTAGACGACGGGTCGCCATCAATTCCACGCTTGGGCGTGGGAGAAGTTCACACTTACTTCGCCACCGTGAATCTAGATGTCTCGCATGGTGAGGGACCTCTCGTGGGCTTCAAAGCTGGGTTCAGGAGCTCTTTACATCCCTCTGATGATTGGCTTGAATCAAATGGTCTGGCTTTGAGTATGCAGAAGCTCAAGGGTGTAGGACATCCCAGGGAACTGGAAAGGGATATGGCAGTGGAGTATGTAAGGCGACGCTTCTTTTGGGAAATGAGTCGGACGCCGTCATCTTCCGCCCCCTTAGCGCTTAAAAACTGGATTAGCTCTTGGAAAGGCTCTAATATATGGTACATCGTTGCTGGCATGGTAACGCAAGTGTTTGTAGAGCTTGAGCTTGAGAACAAATATATAGCTTGATTAGCTAGCTATTCATAAAATATCCGAAGATCGTTAGAGGCAAGCAAATACCTTGCTCCGTCTCCTTGACCCGGATCATTCCATCACGTCGGCAGTGGTGGTAACAATTTCAGATCAGAGAACTCTTCCAAGACCTCTTTAATGCAATCATTTGTGTCGACGAATCCATGCCAACCCATTTTCCGTGCTTTGTTCATACTTAGGTCAAGCGTACCGCCGATCAGCGAGCTATCAGTGAAGGAGAAGATGCGGTCAATGTCCATATCTTCTAGTTTGCTGGCCTGGAGGTTGTGCTTTTGGATGAGTTCGGACCAGGCCTTTTGCACCGAGTGTTGACGCGCCCATTTTGTGAGGGTATATTTTATGCGGAAGGTTTTCGGGGGACCGAACCTGTAGAGCTATCGTTAACTTCACTCGCTTTATCCTCTCCACTCACCAGCAGCATGCGTTACAGATGATATGGGTAAACACATCTCCAAAACGCTCACACACAAAAACAAAACTGCTGGAGCACGCATACCCTCTTGGCGGCGGATCAAACCGACTCGTCACCTTCGTATAAACGCCCTCATCCATATCCGGCCCACTCCACTGCACCCCATACCAACCCGCAAACTTCGGCCAAAAGTTCCCCCAAGTAAACGGACTGCTATCCGCAGCATTGAGCTTCTGATTCCTTGCCCCGTCCGTTAAAACCGCCCATTCCTCCAAATACCCATTCAACATCGACGAGCTGCCTACGTGCGTCGCCTCCCAGCTCTGTAGGTCCGCGGGGAAATCGAGCGGGATGGCGAGGTGGGCGTGTACGGCTGCGAAGACCCCGAGTGGGAAAACAAGGTTCATAGCGGCGTCTGGGACGGCACCTAGAATAAAGGACGGCATGCAGACGTTCCAGCCAATATTATGCTCTGCACAGAACTTCCATAGGAAGTCTTCTTGCGGGTAGTAGAAATTCGGTTCGAGCGTCACACGCGGCGCGGTTTCTTCCTGGGGAGTGGCGGCGGGACCGAGATGGATGCCGTAATTCTTCGCGCCGGTTTGTAGCATAATGCGTTTAGGGGTGATGGAGGCTTGGGGCAGGGCTTCAAGGAAATTTTGGAGCAGAGAGAGGTTTACTCGGCACATTTCCGAAGCGTTGGACCAGAGACCCATGCCTTCTTTGGGCGGGACTTGGATGTAACTGTAGAAAAATACGTAGTCGGCTGTTACGCCTTTTTCTTTTAATATGGCGGCGATTTCTGAGGGTGATTGGAGGAAGTCTAGGGCAATGTGCTCGGCGTTTTTTGGTAGTCCGGAGGGAATAGCAGGGGGTCGCCGAGAGAGACAGTAGATTTTGGTCCAACGTTCGGGGTCTTGGGCGAGAACGCGCAGCATGTAATACCCAGAGATGCCATTGGCGCCTGTGATAATGGCAGTGAAGCCTTTAAGGGCAGATGGGTAGACGGGGAGGCCATGGTAAATGCCGCGGGATTCGACCAGTTGTTGGTTTGACATGTTGGATGAAATTTCAGTGCTTTAGGAATGTGGAGAAAGCGAAGACAGATAGTGAGTTGGGACTATGTGGGACATGTTACCAAACTAGTAGCATAATATGGTGTCTTAGTATTTTTTGTTTCATGACTCGACCTCGGTGATCCGATCGTGACGTACTGCGGGGAAGGGAACAGGCTGACAAAATCAAGAGGGGATGGGAAGGTAGGGATTTGGATGCGGAGAAAACTTGATATCAAGGACGATCATTCTCATCCCAATTGGTCTTCTCTCAGCCCTCATTTCTGGGAATGCTTGAGTGTTTAGTACCTAGGCATGTGGAGTAATTTCCAGATCAAACTTAGAACACACCCAACGGCGCTTTGACGCTCCCTGATGCGTCTGACTTTTATACTGGGAAAGTAATGAAACAACGAAAAGAGAGAGAATGTTGAAGACTGATACGAATATCATACCGTTACATTTGTCTAATGTGAAGTCTCTGCAATTAGCCATTCACGAACAGATATTGTACTAGGAAAATGGTTTGATTTCTATGATGGCTTGGTTCCGTGCATCAGGGACCGCTGCATCCCTCGAAAAATCGTGGATCTGACATTCTTCATCATTCCCAACCTGCCAATGCGTGGTGCCTAGCGCCGCGTATTCAAATTCGAATTCACTCCTTTGCTGGGACGGTCCCTCCTTTTCAAGCCCAATCATGGGTAGCCAATAGTCACACATTAGGACTTAGGCGGATATAATCTCATGATGGTAGTGTACACTGTTCTCAGCCTTGCTCTAGGTCTTGGTCCCTAAAATACTTCTCGATCACACCATCTGAGCAGGCTTGACCGGATGTGCGTAATAATCCGAAGCTGCGCCCTGGGGCTGAGTGTGCGAATGAAGCTCAACCGGATGACCTGTCTGAGAATAATAGGCGGTGTTTTGTTGATACGGGGGTGCGTTGCCATACGGAGGTGCGTTGTATGCCGGAGCGGCTGCGGGAGCGGGAGCAGCGGGGTTGTGAGCAGGGGCGTAGTTGCCACGCTGGGCCATCTTCCGCTGTCGGTGGTAGCCAATGCTAGCGTAGATGAGGAGGGCGACAAAAGTGAAGCTGGTGCTTGTCAGAACTGATCAGGCTTAACGAACGCTACGCGCTAGGACTTACAGAACGAAGACAGTGAATCCAATTCCGACGGCGCTAGCTCCGCGAGCGATAGCGACCACATCCAAAAGCAACACAGCCGCCCAGAAGGTGGTTTGTACGACATTCATTATGAGGAAAGTCTTAGGATTCAAGGCATCGCGCATGAAGAGGAGGATGGCCAGAATGTCCATGAGAAGGACTGCGATAATCAGGAGCATGAAAACTACAACAATACTAGTTTATAGGGTTAGGAAATCGCTGCTTCGAGCGGAGGATGAAAACTAACCCAATTGCCGGAGCGCTCTTGTCTGGGTCATCGGCCAGGACCTTCAACGCTAACCCGTAAACTACTATAATAAACAGCATGAGAACAATACGAATAATCCAGAAAGGGATCAGAATTCGCTTCTTCCATATCACGGGTTGTCCAGCCATGTTGGATTGTTGTGAATCAGTGTTATTACGGTGATTGAATCAAGGGACGAGGCTGGGGCGTGAGTGGTGGAAAGGGGGATGAAGTATGACGGACTGAACAAAGCACGCAGCAAAAGTGGAGGAGAGGAGGCTTGCGCAAGGAGGCTCCAGGAGATTTTATACTCAGGTGGAAAAGCAATAGGCGCCTGGGCGAACGGGGCGAAGCCGATGGAGTGCGAAACACGAGCGGCTTGCGAGTGAAATGGAGATGCGGCAACATACATGCATATTCAGGGACTCATTTCCCAGATGCGAAACCCCAAATAGCACCTTGGCAACCAACTTTCATGATCAGGTGGATAATGAACAGCAATATTCCCTCATGTATAGGATCCGTAGTTTGTTTTTTAGGGGGATAAGCAAGATTCTGCCATCAGGAATGGGAACCGTGACATCAGATGTTGTGGAAGTCCGTGGGAGAAGCCCAATCAGAGGCCTGAAACATGAAGGAACGCTCACCCAGCCCCCAGAATTGCGAGGCTGAACGCGATCCCCAGCCACAGGAGTTTATCCGTATGCGGACTAGCGGGTCCCATGCGTCGACCCCTTGTTCACGCGGCCAGCTTGCCGGCGATAAGCATCGACCACTGCGGGGACACGGGACACCTTAATGGTTGCACTGACACAGAAGGCAGCTTTCCACCTTTCCTCTACTACAACACCTTAGGAGCGTAGTCCACTCAGCAATCTCCACCGCTATGGGTTCCTCACAGTCAAAAGTGTCCGATGTCGCCATACAGGAGAAGCTTGTGGAGCGGCTTCAAGCACTCCAGATGAAGAACGATAGCCGTGTTGTTGATAAGGACTATGTCTACGTTGACGGCGACGCTCGTATGTGCAGTGGCTTTGGAAGCCTTGGGGTCTTGATCTGACGACTGACTGAATTCAAAGCCCCTACATACACCCCCATTGTATCACACAAGCAAGATGTGTCAGCAACTACTATCGAGGAATGGGAGAAGGAGCTCATGGAAGACCCCAAGGCACGTGCAACATCCAGGCTGACATGCGGCAACTATATACTAATGTTTCAGCTCAGAATCGCCTTGCTCTGGCAGCACTCAGCTCTAACCCTGCAAATGCGGTCCTATCATCCCGCTCTGCTGCCATCGCAGACACCCAGAACTTCAATATTAAGATCCCACTCGAGGGTTCGCCAATCACGAATCAGGCCTCTTCGGGAAGGTGTTGGCTTTTCGCATCGACCAATGTCTTCCGGGTCGCTATCATGAAGAAGCACCGCCTTTCGTCCTTCCAGCTCTCGCAGTCGTACCTATTTTACTGGGATAAGATCGAGAAGGCGAACTACTTCCTAGAAAACATCCTGGACACTGCCTCTGAGGATATCGATAGCCGGATCGTGCAAGCACTCCTTGCAAGTCCTGTTGGAGATGGCGGGCAATGGGACATGGTAGCGAACCTGGTACAGAAGTATGGTTTAGTGCCTCAAACCCTGTACCCAGACTCCTACAACGCCCTCAACTCCTCGGTCATGGACCGGCTGATTACTACTAAGCTCCGAGAGGACGCAATCCGCCTGCGATCTCTGGCTTCCAGTGCTTCGACGACCGATCCATCCGTACTCAAGTCCTCAATCGCCGCCGCCAAAGAGAAAATGCTTCGCGAGATCCACCTCATCCTCACCCTTATGCTTGGCCCCCCACCAGCTCCCGACAAAGCATTCACCTGGGAATTCTACGACCGTGATGAAAATCTCTGCACCATCCGCACAAGCCCAACTGCCTTTGCAAAGGAACTCTCAGATAGCAGGACGATACGGGCATTAAGCGGCACAGACATCCACTCCCTCTTCTCGCTTGTGAACGATCCTCGCAATGCCTACAACCGCCTCCTCAGCGTCAAGCGCCTTGGAAATGTCTACGAGGGCCGGCCGGTGACTTACGTCAACGTGGACATGACCACGATGAAGAAGGCTTGCATTTCGATGCTCCAGCGGGGATTTCCCGTCTTCTTTGGTTCAGACGTCGGGAAGTACTCCGACTCAGCTAAGGGTATCATGGACACGAACCTATTCGAATATGAGCTCGGATTCAACGTTAAACTAGGAATGAAGAAAGCGGAAAGATTGATGACGGGAGAGAGCCAAATGACCCATGCCATGGTGCTGACGGCTGTGCACGTCGTTGACGGCAAGAGCGTGAGATGGAGGGTAGAGAATAGTTGGAGTGACAAAGTCGGAGATAAGGGCTACTTCGTGATGAGCGATGCGTGGATGGATGAGTTTGTCTATCAGGCTGTCGTTGATCCATCGGTCGTGAGTTCTACAATTCGAAAGGTGCTTGAGCAGAAACCGAAGATGTTGGAGTTGTGGGATCCTATGGGTGCGCTTGCTTGAAGGACTGCTCACCGAGAAGATAAGAGGAGGTTGAGCTGGTCTCTGGAGGCCGGCGACTGAGACTGAGTTGGTTATCTGAAATGGTGCAAGGTTGACTTCTTGTTTTTTAAGTAGGGATATACACAGGCACCTACCCCTTCCTCTAAGCATATTTTAATGAATCGACTTCATTGACGATGCAATCACCTTTATCTCGAGTTGGCAAGGCGGGTGATTCTAATCAGAATAACATTTGACAGCAAGTCATGGTTCTACATCCAGCGTACCTTACTCTAGTGTGCCTACCTCTGACTCCGAATCTGCAGAAAGAGTGCATTCAGGTATTTAAAAGGATCTCCTTGGCCTCTCTTCTTGCTTCTCTTTTCATTTGTCCAAAACACAATCGAATACGCAACCCCCATACAGGATAACAGCACCATATATATAACACTCGATGGGACGAATCGTGCACCCCCGACCACAATCCCAGCGATTCCTCAACTCTCAATGCCTCGGATATCTATATCTATTTCCCCAGGACACCACCGCCGATCAAAAACCCACTGCCTCAAATTTATTCACCAAACCTACCACCAAGACCCCATCCCCGCCACCTTGTCCTCTAGGTCGATGGCTCAACTAATTCCCAATCCTTCAACAAACTCTGCTCCACCACAGTCGGCTACCACACTCCAAAAGCAATGAATGGTGGGAGCATGCCACCATCAGTCTTCTCGCCTCCGGTTCGTCTAACGAAGCCGAGTTGCTGAACACCCGAGAAGGTTTCCGCCAAGTGCGTACGTTGATGGAGGACTTTAACTACCACTTGAATTTCTCAAATTCCAGGCAATGTCGCGAGCCATCGGAAATGGGTCTGAGTCGGCGTTGAAGGTTCTGAGGGAGAAAGAGCCGATTGGTGAAGTTTTTGAGGATGCAAATAAGTTGTATGATGCAGCTATTCAGGTGCAGTTGCATTGAGCTCCGGCGAATGCATATTGAGAGGCATGCCCGCATGGATTACGTCGTTAGAGAGTATCGAAAGCTCGCTGGTGGGTTTTGGTCGAGGGGTCTGGTGAATCGTGGGGAGGCCCTTGCGTCTGTCACGATTATTCCCGTAGCGTTGGAATGGGCGCGAGATGGCTTGGGGGTGGTTTTGCGGGATCACCTTGGGTCAAGTTGTGGTAGCAAAGCAGAGGAAGAAGTGGAAGAGAGAAATGCGCCTGCAGATGGTTATTGAGCAATGAAAGAAAAATCTACCCTACCAAAGTATGAAGCGGGACAACTGAGACAACAAGGTAAGAAGAGAGAAGTTGGTGAGGTCATTCACTCGGAACTGAGGCAGGGGTATCGACCAAGAGTACCCCGAGACAATGGCTTGGTATCATGTTCTACAACATAGGAACCCCTTGCACAAACATCTCCCTTTCTACATTCCTCATGTTAGAATGACGTTCCAACACAAGCATAGCACGCCAGCTCAAAAGCGAGTTTAAAATATGCATTCAGAGCTTCCGAGTCGATGAAGCTACGAGAAAGATCGGCGTCATAGTAATAAGAAACAGGGATCTCCCAATTGAATGTCTACAGGATCGAGGTAGGATAGCCAGGAAGAGGAGGCCCTCCAAGTTCACGGGAAGGAGGTATTGAGAGCTCTGCCCTTGTTGATACTAAAGACGTAATCCTTACTGAAGAGAAAATGGCAATGCGTATCGTTCAACACCTGTAGTCCTCAGTGCAGTCGATGGAAGATCGGGAAGGACCTAAGGGACGAAGGTTAGACAAAGATCAGCCGATGCCAGAAAAGGAGCGAGTTGCATGAACTATTGTGAGAGAATCTTGACTCAAGAATCAGCCACACAACCTCCCTTCAGTACTCTGTATTGGTATTTCTAAATCGGAGACCCGAGACGCGGGCGTACTTAGATTTCGTTGAGACGCTCCACCTCCTTCTTCCAAATCCGGACAAGTCGATTCTAAAACTGACCAGTTTGGCGAGTCGCTTCATGGCAGATCTTGGGATCGACGGCGCTAAGGTGTGGAAGAGGCGCTGATCATATAAGCCCATGCCACTAGGGGAGGTCACCTGCGGGGGATGTGAGGGAGGGGATATGCTATATCCCCGGGACCCTTGAGTTGATTAGCGATGGGTTATGGTCATTGTCATGGCTATGCTGTGATTTGATATTGTGGTGAGGATTGCTGCAAAGGGAAAGCTGCAAAATGATGGCATAATACGAGATGGTAAAATGAAAGGGCGAAAAACATGGATATTGTAAGTGTAGTGCTGTGCTCTAGGAAAAGTTCCTGAGACTGGAAGACTTCGCCCTTCTCAACCCCACTCCCCCTCCGAAAAAGAAATCTACCAAGAATAGCACCGTCACCAATCTCAAATCTGGACCGCCCAATCGACCCGGGTCTGAAGGCCTAAAGCCATATCCCACAATCTTCGCCACGGTTGCTGAGGCTTTGGTGAGATTTTCTCTAATCTAAGATGCTATGGCTGTGACCTACCAGAACGACATCCCGCATATATGGGTGGTAGAGGCTTGAGTGATTGATGCCAATATATACATCATTGCATTCGGGGAATATGCAATCTCCGATTTGTGCGCTTCCAACCAACATGCTTAGGAGTAGATATCATGGTAGAAAATTAGTCGACGAAGAACTTAGACGGAATAGGGGAAGCTGAGCTTTCGATGAGTGGTTTCGACGGGGGAGCGATAACGCCTGATCTAAACACCTTCGGTGGACCTTAATTCCGAGGAAGGGGACAGAGGCATTGATGATCGGTATTTGCCGGTATGAGACGCTTGAGGCGGAGGGTCTCGGGTGCGGGGGAAGAGCTTCGTGCATATCGAATTCTGTATCTGTGTTCTTGTCTTTTGTCCACTGCGACTGAGTATAAAAGAGATAGGACTGCCCAGCAGAACGTCACTCTCATTGAACAAAGCATCCACGTCAACTCCAATGCCTTTCAGTTCAATCCCCTCCAATCACGGGATCACAGCTGAGTGCTGTATCTTGCCTGCTGGCTCTGATGGATTGGTTTGTACTGCGGCTAAAGCTGCTCATAGACTCGTAATCGGGATGCAAAAGATGTATGAACGAAAGGAGGATGCTTCAAACATCCATTCTTTTAAGATATACTATATATCTGATTTCTTTTGTTAGTTGAAATTAGAGAGCAAAGGTAGTGAGTTGTGAACGAAGAGGTGTTCATTAGAATTAAATGTAATTGTGGAACATTGAGATATTTCTGCACTGTAGCGATTGTGGTGGAGATTAAGAAACGGAGAGGGGCAGAATGCCAGAAGTGCATCCTTGAGAAATGACAGAAACAAGTAGGTTTCTTCAGTCATCAGGTAGTTGCGGATGCGTGCCTGTCTTTCAGTCTGGTCCTAATCTACTTTTTGCTCCCAACCAACCTCCTGTCAAGTCCTCCTTAACAGCTTCCACATAGCGTTTAAAGAGGAATTGATCCTTGGGCGCGGACTGCTTGAAGAGTAATAAAAATTTCATTGCGAAAGGTCGCTGGGAAACAGCATCAAACCCGACCAGCTATGCATTCATGACAAGAGCCCTAAAATGTAACCGAAACGCTACCGGAACCAATTCATCCGCTCAAACACCCCTGGAGATCAGTCAAACTGTTGACTATCCCGCACACACTTCCTAACGCGTTTCTTAAACTCGGTAGGGTTCTCGCGCCACATTGCCGCTGCTTCCACGTTCGCGGGGCTCTCGTCATTGGGGCTGCTGAGCATGGAGATGACGGATAGGAGGATTGTCTCGGGGGTTTGGACGGGCGACCAGCGTTCGGCCGCAGACTCGTAACCGTACTTGTCTTCTTCGGGCGGATGCAGGATTGATATGCAAACGTCACCGCTCGCGTAGACTAGACGAATTATTAGCTTTATTAGTACTATTTTTAAATAATTTTTGAAGAGTGGGAATAGGAAAGGAAGCGTACTGTTGGGATGGAAGATGGGCGTCTCGAATCGCATCTTTGGCGGCATCAGTGGATACTCGGTGGGGAAACTGAGATGTGCCCTGAAGAAGCCCCCTGCGGTTGGGATTAGAAAGGAGAACAGGCCACATGATGTGGTGGCTTCACATACCCCCGTAGTACTTGGTATCGTCATTGATCATCAACATGACCTCCCACTCGAAGACGTTGTTATCCACTAGGCCGCAACTGATTCCTGGTATATCTTTGTCATTTTGCATTTGCTTGAGTTGACGTGCGAGCAGACCCGCAGCTGCGGAGGAGCTAGCCATCCTTGCAGTGGGAGTCTACTGAGGTAGACCGTCGGAGGTTGATGCGCTGGCGTGTGGATGGTCGGGTGCGGAAGAGAAGGAGGCGCGGGAGGAAGCCTTTAAGTCGTGTTTCGCGGGTGGCTTGCGGATGAAGAAGGTACTACGACCCAGCTACTAGATATCGATCGAAGGCACGGGTTGGGGGCAGTTCCGTTCTGCGTATGCGTTTTCTGTGTCGTGTGCGTTGTGTGGTGCGCCGACGAGGTGTGGAGGTGGGGTTGTATGGCGATACGGCTCCGATATTGGATTTTATACCTGGAATTGCCTTGAGTGATGTGCAGTGAGTGAGAATGTACTGTGGTAGTGACTTGTTGGGCTGTCCTGCAGCAAAAGATTCAGATGTCAGTCAAGTGTGAATCGCAGAAGCAAGTGCGACTACCTCCAATGAATGTGCTGCAAGTGGAGGTCTTGGCCAAGCTGGTCCGTTCCCAGCAAGAATAGCCATTCTTCCCAAACTCACTCTTCCTCCTCTGCCATCCTCAACCTCACTCGAAATATCTCCCTTGGGCGTGGAAAAATCCTTATGCTCACCCCGGGCTGACCTCCTGAGCCCACGGACAGCATTAGTAGTACATGCCTTTGTTGCTTACTCCTCAGCACCATTTTCCCACCATGGTTGTCTGTGCTCGGTTCGGCCCAGTGCACTCTTCCTCGGGACCACCACACCCACAAGAACCCCTTCGTCGGCCCCCAAATGGCGGGCATGGACCATTTCTCAAGGATACCTTCATCATCAACTGTTTCTGATCATTAAAAGTGAAATATCACAGGGGTAATTCGGGACACACGTTTGCAGGCTGTTTCTCTTCTCCTGATTGCAGCAAGACCTCGAACTGGTCAAATCCGCCCTGTTAATGTTCTGCAGTAGTGCAAATCTTCCTTCTCCCGTAGGTTCGTACTCGCGTAGCTTTAATCGCCAGTCCTACTGTATTGGAGTCCTTTATTCATCCTTCGACTTTTGTAACACCATTTGCCCCGCCCATGTCAGATCCAATGGCGCTCTTACTCAAGGTTACCTTCCAGCTGAAATACCCAAGGAAGCAAAGTCTTTGTTTGAGTCTTCAAAGAGCTTCCCATTGTGGTCACCCAAAGGGCTCGCGCCGCGCTCCAATGACACTGCAAAATCCAATACACAATTGTAGGAACCTCGCACAAGGCTTCAGCGTGTTCAGGAAATGGCCTGAGTCCTTTCAGCCCTCATCAAGTCTTTTTTTTTGCGCCCTGCAAGCTGCTTACAATCCTAGCCGGTTTACCTTCACCAGGTGTAGCCTTGTGCCCGAGCTTGAGCAGGGACAGCCGATCGTCAAGCCTATCAAGCCCAGGATATGCAAACCCCGCCAGAGCACAGGGGCTCTGCAGCAAATTGAACCGATCACACTGCGCCAAATGCTACCAACAAGAAAAGTTGATTCCGGAAACTGCAAGAAATGCAGGGACCAGAGTTCGCAATCCTCCCTTCGGACCGTTCCACCCCGGCGAAGACAATAAGAATGCCTGCCTCGCCCTCGAACCTAGGAATTTGTTAAGCAAGTTTGCTTCGTTGCTTTGCCTTTCTTGCTGCTTCAGGTTGTTCTCGCATGTTTGCTGTTCAGATGTTTCGATAGTATGGCGTTCTTGATGGACGTGGCATCGCAAAAGCTCTTCTACATTTTCTTCTTCATTTTCGTTCTCTTCTGGCAATCAAAAATTGTCAGGGCAGACCCAAGTTTTGAGCTGAATCCGATAAACAACCTCTGCGCGAGATGGTTTGCCCAATGTATGGACCTATGAGACCTATCCTTTTGGCGCCGTCGCTGATCACCTGCATCTAGCGGTCATCAAAAACGAGGTCCTTTTCATCGACGGCGGCATCCAAAAGTACAACGGAACCGATCAACCGACACCAGTTTGGGGAATCAGTGCGTTCGGCTACTCCATACCCAAGTCCAGAGCTAACACCCTTAGATAATTACATCATAACAATACCACTGAACTTCACATGGGACTGGAAAAAGAACATCATCATCAATGGAATGCCAAAGAATGAATCGAATCCGAGCACGGGGACGATTCCTCCAAGCCTAATCCGCGGGCACATGTTCCATGGCCCAGACAATACGTCCGATGTCTATGTCTTTGGGGGAACGACATATATGGGCAATCAATCATTCCAAGGATACTCTCGTCCAGATTCTTCAACTTACCCCTTATGGACTTACCTCTACAATGCCTCGAATTACCCCTGGATGCAGTATGATATTTCTCAACCATGGATGGTAAATCATGGTGCTGCAACCGAGGCCATTGATCAGGGGCTGGGATTCTATCTCAATGGGCAAATCGACTGGGGAACATCAACTAAAACTCTAGGCATTGGTAATACGAACCTTTACACCCCGGTTGACGGAATGTTGATCATTGATTTGGTCACACAAACCTCGGCCAACATTACCACGCCCGGAATCCGAGGCAACAATGCCAGGGTCGGCGGAGGATTAGAATACATCGCGCCCGTAGGAGGAGAAGGGATTCTCGTTGCAATTGGGGGACAAATTAATCGAGATAGGCCAGTTGCAGATGCCACTAAGGGAGAACTGGTATGTATTGGGGGTCTGGAAGCTATTGTCCTTGCTAACATTTGTTACGCAGCTTGACTTGCAGACAGTGGACATTTTTGACATCGACTCTTATCTCTCGAATTCATCTACCAATGGCACCTGGTACCGGCAAAATACCACAGGAGACATACCAGAGCCCCGAATCGATTTCTGTACTGTTGTCATATCCGCACCAGATAATTCTAGTCACAACATCTATCTTTACGGTGGTCATAATCCGATCGGAAACGATACCGCTTTCGACGATGTCTATGTCCTCTCAATCCCCTCTTTTACTTGGACGGCCGTTTTCACTAACGGTGGAACACCGAGATGGGGCCACAACTGCCACATTGCCAACAAACGACAAATGATCACGGTTGGGGGAAACGTCACGAATTTAAAGTGCGACTGGGAAAGGAAAGGCGTTGCATTTCTCGATATGACGTCCATTACATGGGGAAGCGTATTCCTCACAAACGCGACCTCCTATGGAGTACCACAGAAAGTCGTTGCCAAAGTGGGAGGCACATTGAATGGAAATGCGACGAGCAAAGAACCAGTCACTGGTTGGAACGATCGGGGCTTGAAAAAAGTCTTCGATACACCACGAAGAGCCCCTGGGACTAAAGCATCACCATCAGCGTCATCGACCCCTAGGCTTACAGAACAAAAGCCAAGTCACACAGGCCCCATCGCTGGTGGTGTCGTCGGCGGCGTTGCAGGTCTCGCTCTCATCGCCGGCACCCTATTCTTCTGGCGTCGCAGACGTACTAAAGCGAATGCACCCGCCGAACTACCGAATGACGAAGTCACCTACCCACGAGGTGAACTACCTACAGAGAGCAAAGAGAAAGCCGAACTTCAAGGCGTAAATGAGGATGAGCCTGTCGAACTCCCTGGCCCTCACCCAGCTGAGCTAAACGCACCCCGGGAGTTCGTTGAAGCGCCACAGGACACAGCAACAAATGCGGCAGAATTGCCTGCCACAAATACTGTCCCAGGAGGCAAACATGGTGTGCCGATTGTGCGCACGCCAGGTGACGATCTTCCTTCTCCGCCGCTATCAGAGTCCACAAGTCCTCCGCTTGAGGAGGCATCGAAACTACGGCCTTCCAACTCCTCTTGACGAATATTACGAACCTAACACCAAGCTTTGGTTTCACTCATCTCACCTCAGAAGGCCAATGGGTAGCGCCGGTATGAAAACTCTACATCGCACCTCTTCAGGAATCAGCACACATGTAGGGCTCCACGTCGCCACAACCCGTATCCCAACTTACCGGAACTTTCATTTATTCCCACTGCCTTAGGTGGTCTGTGACAAATGTTTTCTAAAAAAGGAATGTGCATTTCATCATTAATGATCGGTGGTCGGTAGGAAGCGCCAGCAAGTTTCGCCAGCGTAGCGGAAATAGGGGGTAATTGGGAAAAGATCTCCGTTTGCTACCTTGCTATATACCCCCTTTTGGAAGTAATGGAGATCTCATGCATTAGTACTAGTGAATTTTAAATGGGATTATCATGTGCTCTTTTCTGACGTGTGAGTTGCTATGTAAGACCGAAAGCGAAGGTCCTAAAACATGGCCGCGTACGTCTTCATGGCTATTTTGAGGTGCAGCTACCATTCATGAACATTTAAAGGTGATGCTGAATATATTTCTGCATCCTGTTCATATTCTATATAATTTTAGCAAGAGGGTTAACAAATTAGATGTATTTTGTTTATGTTCTAAGACATGTGCGAACAGGTGAACATATGCTAGCAGGCAGGCGTTTCAGCTTCCCAAGTGTATCTTACCCTCGCCCAACATCTGAAGAGAAAATCGACACTCCCTCATCGTTGTTACCCGCCTCGTCGTCTCTTGTGTGCAAGCATTGGCAAAAGTGGTGATGTGTTAGGTGATTGAAGGATCTGTCCGAGCCTAACGCGCTCATTTCTTAGTCTAAGAGGATAGAATGACAGGGAGAATTGGGTGATTTGGGAAGAATAGAGCACCAGCGAAGCACAGTCCGGAAGTTCTAGGAATTGATTTAATGAACTGAGGCATGCTCGTTACGGTGCTGTAGTGTGCGCCAATATGTGATGTATCTCTTCTATTGATAACAATATTGATGATACTAGCCCTCGATCAAGCTCTGCACTTGTCAGGGCCAATATGCAGACCAAAAGACTATGTATAGAGGGACATCGTCCAGTTAAACATTTCCCTAGCAGATACTATTTCAAAACAAACCAAAGGCCCAAAGCCTAGCGCACACGTACCAGGCCTTCAGATGTCGCAAGACGATGGTGCAGACAAAGCTGACCCATCCCACAGACCACCAATCACCACTAGGCCGTCCCAATCACCTGCACGGCCCTTCCAATCAAACTTTGGCGCCTAGCATAACTTCCGACATCTAGCTAGAGGGTCTGCGTCAGCTCACCAGGCTCCAGCGTTTTTGTGAATTTTCGCTATTTTGCATGTCTATATAAATTTATTTATTTGCATTTCCTTCGCCTTCGGGCATCTGGTCAATTTGAAACGATACAGAGAAGATTAGCATGGCCCCTGCACTAAGGATGACACGCTCAATCAAAGAGAAGCAACCATTTTTTTTGTTAAATTTTTGATATTTTTAATGCGTTCAGACATCAAGAGCAGGTTTAAAGGGAGAGCATGTGTTCGAGTCTTGAAGCGGGAGGTTAGGGGGCCTTTTTTTTTTTTAGGCGAGCTTTGTTCATTGTTGGTAGAGAGGGTAGGAGCGGAGCGGCAACAAGGGTGGATATAACATAAACAGTATGATAAGTTAGTTATTAAATAGATTTTTACCTTTTTACTTTTGAACTCTAATTTAGTGCTCGGCGACGGCCTAATTTTCATTTCTATGGATCTTGCGCGATGTGCGTGAATGTGGTGAGCACGCCGAGGTTTATTTTCGCCACTAACAGTTCAACACCAACCATGGTGTAAATGTTAACAGGATATGTATGAGTCTTTGGTTTAGTTAAAAAATCTATTACTATGTAGATACGCTTCGATCGCTATGTATAGCGAAATAACGAATGTCTCTCAGAGGCCAAAGCCTCAATCGCTAAACCCTTCGAACTCTTCCGCCTCCTCCTCAACAATCTTCGTCCTCACCTGCGCAATCATATCTTTCAGCTCATCTTCTTTCCTTCTTTCATCCTCTGTCATTTTCTCCTTACGGTCATGTTCCCTCTTTGCGTGTTTCTTCTCCCGCCGCACCTCCTTTGTCGCTCGCTGCTCTGTCTTTTGACTCCACGCCGTCAACTTCTGCTTAGCCTTCTTCTCCTGCAAAACCAATCTTTCATCTTTCCCTTCACGATTCCTTTCCAAAAGTCGCTGATTCTCGCGACGCTTATCCTTGTGCGCATACGCATCCCAATCAATTTGCACGCCGAGGGTGCGGTCACCCTCCCATTTCTTTAGTTCTGGCATGCTGGGGAGTTTGAGGAGGCCCCATGCATGGCCCAAGTCGGCCCAATCTAAATCGCTGATGCGGAAAATGGAACTTGCAGCGTGCTTGCTGTATGCGCGGACCCAGGACACGAAACCACGTTGGGCTTTGTCGTAGAGAGTTCTGTCGCCTGTTACAACTTCTCTTATCTGCCTGCTGGCCGTTTTGGCATCAGTAGAGGAGATTAAGATTGAAGGGGTAGTAAGGGGTGTTATAGGTGTCTGTCGAACGCGGAGGAATTCAATATAGTCTTCTTCGCGACCGGGGGTAAGAAATGTGATAGCGAGACCTTTGCGTCCGGCTCGCCCAGCGCGGCCGCAACGGTGGATGAATGTTTTGGGGTCACTTGGGGGGTCAAATTGGAGGACAAGGTCAACGGATGGGATGTCGAGTCCGCGTGCTGCAACGTCGGTGGTTAGGAGGATGGAGGCTGTGAGGCTGTCGACGAATTTGGAGAAGTTTTTGCGGCGGACCTTGTCGGGGTGTTTGCCATGGAGGGGAATAATGGTTTGTCCAGGGAAGATAGAGGGAAGAATATGCTGGAAGTAGTCGACGGAGTAACATGTTGCGAGATAGAGGATAGATTTATGTGGTTTAGGTTGTAAAGAAGTGAGCAGCTTCTGGATGGTAGGGAGTTTGTGGGACGGAGGTGTGACAATGTATGACATTTGTAGACTTGCCGGTGTCCGTTTGTCTTCCAGTTTCCCTTCTACTCCACTTTGTCCCCCAATCGTGGATCGTGCCTTTACTTTTACTGCAATGCGCACTGGATTTCGGAGTCCAACCCGCACAAGCTGGTCTACGGCCTCGCTCACACTAGCGCTAAAGAGACCTGTTCGACGCTGTTTCGGAAGTCGAGACAGGATCTTCTGCAAGTCCTCTTTGAATCCAAGGTCAAGAAGACGGTCTGCCTCGTCTAGAACCAGAGCGTCAAAGGACGACTGTGGGCAGTGGACATGTGGGGAGGAAAGAAGTTCTAGAAGTCGTCCAGGAGTACCGATGAGGATGTTGGGTGACCTCTTCAGAAATGCACTCATGTCCTGTGCTGGAGTGACCGCGCCGCCAAGAAGGAGTTGTGGGATGACTTTGAGAGTTGAAGTTGGGAACTTTTGAGGAGGGGTAGAATCGGCATCAGCTTCTTCGATGTCCTTCTCGTCTTCGTGACTCATCAAGGTTGCTGAGGGAGCATGAAATCTAAGGAGGGAGAGAAGCACAGTATAAATTTGGGTGGCAAGCTCTCTCGTGGGAGAAATGATAACGGCTCCCACGTGATGCTTTTTAATTGGAGCATCCAGACGAAGTAGTCGTTCCACGACGGGTATCAGAAAGCTAAAGAAACGTTAGAATACGGTAGTAAATGAGTATTCAATGACAGAAGCTTACGCCAGAGTCTTCCCGGATCCTGTGACCGCCTCCACCACTACATCCTTATTTCCCATGAACATCGGAATGGCGGCCTCTTGTACGGGAGTGGTTTTTGTGAAACCCAGGAATAATATTGCATCGAGGATCCATTCTGATAATGCAGGTGTGAGTGCATCCCACTGCCGACGGCGCTGGAGTGCGTCTGCTTTTAACTGTGGAGCCATGGTTCAATGACCCTTCGCTTGACCAAGAGTCGAGGCTGTATGAGCGAAGAGAAAATCCTCATCTCCTCTCCTTGGGCTATGCCCTTGTTTGCGGCCGCGGTATTCGGTGTAAATTTGCTCAGCGAAATTTCACTCTGCTTAAAAATTACGTTAGTGTGGCGGCGGTGGCGGTGCAAGGAACCACGGGCTAGCAGCTGGATACCAGCACGTGGCCTCTTCGTCATTCAAGAAAGAGCGGGTTAGAAAGAATGAAAGACCTGACAAAGAGACAATGTAAGCATAAATGATGCTATAGACTTCCAAACACTGTGAGACCACTTCCAGCTTTCGAGATGCTCGGCTTTCTACCAATCTATATCTAACTTTCTTCGCCAAGGCTACTTCGACCCCCTGCCACGATCTGAGCGGTGACGAGGCTGCCAGGTGCCTCGCTGTTGACGCTCGCAAAAAAAAACTGCCCGAGCACAGCCTGTCACTCCCCTCTCACCACCACCCCTTTCTCGCAAGCCCGTCCGCCTCAGGCTGCGTCTCTCCCGGCTACAACTGTGGCCTCTCCTTCCTCCACAGACGATGCTGCCCGGCCGGACGAATTCGCGTCAACTGTGGCTCCCGTACCCCCAGTAGTCGGCCGTTTGACATCCGACACTGATGTATCTGCCACCATAACTATAGTCGACCTCGACGAAACTTCCACTCCACCACAACCGCGCCCGCGCTCGCGCCCGCTGCGGTCGGACCGTCACTCATTGCTAGAAAACGTCGCATATTTCTGTACTCGGGCGCGTCAGTCGCTTACCGGGCTCATCCGGTCTCCACCGCTCGCATCCTTCCCACTGTGTTGGCAGCAGGCCATGGCTTCCACAAAGCAGTATCAGATTCCGCACACACCGCGCGTTATATCCCCATCGCCGACTCCCTCTGAGCTCAGCGGCACAGATGGTTATTTTGGTCCCATAACGCGCTCGGCAGCGCGCAAAAACAGACGTCCGCCTTCACCCCCGCGCATCGATGAGGATTCTTCTGGCTCCGATCCCGAGAAGAGGGCAAGGGCTAGGAGTCGGAGCCCCTTCGAGGGGAGGAGACGGCGCATGAGTGGTCTGACAACAGTGAAGAAGACAGGGAGTGGGAAAAAGGCAGAACTCACGCTACCAAATGGCACTGTCAACGGGCACTTGTCGCCCGCCGCGGCGAACAAGAATTACTGGCGAGAGATGAGCAGGAGTCCAAGTCCGCTGGGCCTTATTCCAATCCATCAGAAATGGAGGTCATTTGTAAGTACACCATGTCATCGTCACGTCTCAAGGCTTAATGAAACATAGATCCATCGTCACGAGATACCCCGCAAGATTCTTCATGTCTCTATCGGCTTCCTCACAATCTTCTTGTACTGCACCGGTCGACAGCCTTCGCAAATTCACCCCGTGCTCCTCGGCCTGCTCATCCCTATCGCGGCCACCGACGTCATCCGACATCGCTATCACTCAGTCAATCGCTTCTACATTCGCTGTCTCGGCGCTCTTATGCGCGAATCTGAAGTCGATGGCTGGAATGGAGTTATATCATACCTTCTCGGTGCATGGATTGTTGTCTGCTTCTGTCCTAAAGATGTCGGTGTCATGAGCGTGATGCTGCTCAGTTGGTGTGATACGGCGGCCTCTACCTTTGGCCGACTCTGGGGCCACCGGACCTGGCGTGTACGACGCGGTAAATCCCTCGCTGGGACCATCGCAGCCTGCATTACTGGTATCATCACGGCGGGCATGTTTTGGGGTTGGCTAGCGCCGCTCATGTCCGCCAACGACCAAGGGGAAAATGCATTCGCATTTCAGGGTGTTCTTGCGCTTCCTTACACGGCTCGCGAGGCTATTGGCCTGTCTCTCTCGCAAAGCTCAATTACGGGTTATCTCGCATTGGGTGCCATGTCTGTTTGGGCTGGCGTCGTGGCTAGCTCCAGCGAGGCCATTGATCTTTTTGGCTGGGATGACAATCTGACGATCCCAGTTTTGTGTGGGGCGGGGCTTTGGAGTTTCCTGAGGATTTTTGGTTGAACCAACATCACTCCCTACTTTTCTTCTTATTCCCATTCTCCTGCATCTTCCTCCAGATTTCTAACCCTTGGAATACCACTTGTATGTGTTTTGACCCAACCATTCAAAATACATACCACCACTTTTCTTCTTCTTTTATGGAATGACGGCGTTTTGGTGTGGATATTTCTTGTAATGCATGAAGCGGTATTGGATATGTGGGCTCTGTAATCACCCTAGGAGGACTAGATCTCAATTCACTCCATTTTGGCATAGGCAGAGATATAGATGGGCGGTCGCTCTTCTGTATGAACACGAATGCAAAAGTAGATACAGTTTGGTAATACAGGAAGTTTTCTTGCCATATGTGTTCACCTTCACTTGCCTAGCTCTGGGTCCACAGTCCGCTGCCATAAGATAAGGGCATTCGGTATGGAGACGGTGAGGAACGGAGTGGGGCATATGTGGTACTTCTTGAAGGGAAGGCACGGCTTTCTCTGGACAATTCCCCTGACCCTCTGTACTCGAGGTAACGTCCCTCCCTTCGTGCCGGAAAACCCGCCGTGCCCGAAAATATGGGGGAAATACTTGTATGCACGTGCTCCCGCCACGTGAGTGAGCCCTCCTGTTTTGTACTAGCTCGGACTCGAGAGGCACCGAGCTCACAATCGCGCTCATTGTCCTCGAACGCCCCGTCAGGCTCAATCATCAGCGCATGCCTACGAACTCTAAATTGACCTACTTGAAACTGGTATTCTTCGCCAGGGCCTTAGGCTGTGGGAGAAATGGAAGATTCATCTGGCCGTAGTTATAAAAACTTGGTCGCAAGGGACCACGCACTAATTGTCGCCGGAGATATTATCTATAACAGTGCGCATAGTCTTAGTGCCATTTGTTAAACTACAAACTAACCTAAACTCTAGATCAAGGCCCACCTCCGCGCGACTATAAGGGCAGCTACTCGTACTCCTTCCTCCGTGTGGTTGCAACTTTTGTGCAACGGCCCAGCCTACACGACAATCTTCAGAAACAGCTTACACGCGAAAGATTTCAGGACAATAACCAGGGTTCAAGAGTCGTCGTTGTGTGTGGCCTAGGCGGGACCGGCAAGTCACAGCTGGTTCTAAGCTACTTTCAGCAACACCGATGGGAATACACTGCGAGCTTTTGGATCGAGGCAGGCCGGAAAGAAACTATTGAGCGTGACTTTCTGCGAGTCTACCACCTACTGTTTGACGTAACTGGGCAAGGAGATGTGAAGATTGAAGATGCGGTGTTGGGAGTTAAAAAATGGGTTGTCGAGCGAGAAGGCAGGTGGCTATTTGTTTTTGATGGCGCGGATAGTATTGATAGGACGAAGAGCGACAAGAACCTAAACAATTACGTCAATATTGAGCACTTTATCCCAGATACGCCCTCTGTTGATGTTATCCTTACCACCCGAAGCCCAAGCGCCGAAGGACTGACGCCAGTAGAAGTGGTAAAGGTGGGCGAAATGGAAGCTGTGGAGGCGACGGCACTCTTCCAAAAGTGCTCAAAGATGGATTGCAAAGGCCACGACAAAGCTACCGTCAACAAAATTGTAGGGGAGCTTGGCTTCCTCGCGCTCGCAGTCAGCCTATCTGGGACATATGTGTACAATACCCCACGGCTGAAGCTAGATCTGCAAGAGTACCTCGATGAATACCGAACGCGTCGAAAAGAGATACTTGCTGAGATGCCTACCTGGCTCGTCCACCAGTACGGAGACAGTGTTCTTACCACATGGGAAACAACGTTTGAAGCAGTCACCCAGCAGTGTGATCAGGCGTCAAAATTTCTAACGCTGCTAGGATTTATTAACTTTGACGACATATTCATCGACCTCTTCCTACCTATCAGCCAAGACAATAGCTACGAGCAGAATAAAGAGGACGGAGCCGGGGTTGTATGGTATAACAGAATATTCGGAGGGGCGGAACCCGACATGTATACGATTGAGAAATGCTTTAGGGTCTTGCAGTCGTATGGCCTTCTTCAGTGGAAACCAGAAAATAGTTACGCCATGCACAAGCTCGTGCACGCTTGGGTGTTCGATCGGCTTCATATCGAAGACCAGCGCAGGTACGTTCTGCGCAGCTACGTTCTTCCGTCGTTGTCCCTCTTGTTCAACGCAATATCAAAAGCCGGCCACACGCCTAAAGCACGGCAGCGACTTGTGCCACACATTATGGCCAATTTTGAGGCTGTTTCTAAGGCGGATCTACAAGATTTGGATATAGAAATTGCCATTAGACTTTTTAAGACAAGTGGCGACTTGCTTAGCAACGAGGGGCGTTGGATAGAGGCCTATGGCATACGGAAGTTTGTGTACTTCAAGACGCTTGCAATGCGGGGTGGCGATCATCGACAAACTATCTCAGCAATGGGAGACCTCGCCAACACGCTGGGCGGTCAAGGCAAGCTAGAAGAAGCAGCAGCGATGAATAAGGAGGTGCTGGAGAAGAGGAAGCGGATTCTTGGCAAAGAACATCTTAACACTATCTCAGCCATGAACAACCTCGCTGTCACGCTGGGCAATCAAGGCAAGCTAGAGGAAGCAGCAGCGATGAAGAGGGAGGTGCTGGAGAAGATAAAGCGGATTCTTGGCGAAGAACATCCTTCCACCATCTTGGCCATGGGCAACCTCGCCAGCATACTGGGCAATCAAGGCAAGCTAGAAGAAGCAGCAGCAATGAAGAAAGAGGTGCTAGAGAAGAGGAAGCGGATTATTGGCGAAGAACATCCTGACACTATCTCGGCCATGAACAACCTCGCCAACACGCTGGGCAATCAAGGCAAGCTAGAGGAAGCAGCAGCGATGAAG